GCGATCACCATCGAAAAACACCAGCGTGCCTCTGCAGAGCCTGAGACTGCACGTACACTCCAACCAGCAAGAACCTAAAAATGTCTAAATCAAACTTAAACCTGGTGTCGTCAGGTATGATATAGAGGCTCAAAACGGTACAAGAAGCTGATCTCTCCAGGTAAAAGGTCATTGGCCTCTCTAAACAGAGCAGTAGGGACACTTTAAAATAACATTTAGCTCCTGAATTAGTCAGTGCGGTGGGTCATGAGCTGTGAGACGTGTGTTATTGTAGGTGTTATATACGCACCTGACACTTACAACTTCATTGGGCATAGCATGTCTGCAAATGATGAGACCAGGGAAGTGAGCAACGCGCATGCACTGTATGTGTGCGCGTGCGCGTACACCTGTGTGGGTGTGCTCGCGGGTTGGAGGGACTGAGAGGGATCCAAGATTCATAATAAACTCAATTCCTCCTTATTCTCTTATTTCTTTTTAATATAAAAATGCATACGATGAAACTGCATTGTACGGTGGCCGAGAACTGCCAATGCCAAAAAAAAAGCCATAACGAAAGTTAATGATGCAAAAAAAGGTGGCAATGCAAAAAAAAAGAAAAAAAGAAAAAGTGGCTGTGCAAAAAAAAAAAAAGTGATTCTTACTGCAAAAATAAAAGGATGCTAAAATAAAAATTAAAAAGCCACAAAGGAAGTTATATAATGAAACTGCATCTGTGGTGGCCGAGAACATCCACTGATGCAAAAAAAAAAAAAATGCCATCATGAAAGTTAACGATGCAAAAAAAGTGGCAATCCAAAAAAAAAAAGGATGCAAATAAAAAAAGCCACAATAGAAGTTAGAGATGCAAAAAAAGTGGCAATGCAAAAAAAGAATGCAAATAAAAAAAAAGCCACAATGGAAGTGAGCTGCCCGGAACCACTAATGATGATGCAACAGTTTTTGACGATCTACTTACTTTTGACCTTTCCACTTACTTTTTTGCTCGTCTTCTGGCCGTTGTCATTTGTGCCTAGATGGCAAAACACTGGTGAATCATCATTATTGGTCCCCGGCAGCTCACTTCTGTTGGGGCTTTTTTTATTTGCATCCTTTTATTTTTGCAGTAAATAAGTTTTTTTTTCCATTGCCAATTTTTTTTTTACGTCGTAATTTCTGTTTTGGCTTTTTTTTAAATCTGCACTGTTTCTTTTTTTATTTCGGTTTCTTTTTTTTTTTTTTTTTTTGTATTCTTTTTTATTTGCAGCAGTTGCAGCTCTCGGCCACCGTACAATCCAATTAAAAAAAACAAGAGGACTGTACTTTAAGTTAGTTTTAAAAAGTACTGCAAAGACTCGTGGATTGTACCTGCATGAATATGCTTTACTTACCGTTCATTTTTCTTATCCAGCTTCACCTGTCTGTCCTCCGCTGCCTCCTTGCATTGCCTGGATGTGCCTTGCTCAAGGGTATCTGTTGACAGAAAGGAAGTCAAGCACACTACCTGTATTATTTATTTACATCTTTGCATTAATAACAATCTAGAGCAGCAGATATGAGGGGAAGAAAGTTGTGTAATGTTCTTTAAATCAAACACAAATTATGAGTTTCCTGTATTGGCCATGGGGCAAAGAAACTGGCCTCATTTACGGTCAGTTAAGAGATAGCCGCCTGACCTTTTGACCACCAATGTGTGGCAACACCTGCTGCAGACATCTGTGTGATCAGCTGATGTTAACCGGGGGGTTTAACTACAGCTTTCATGTAGTTGCAGCCCTCCATCATGACAGTTTACTGTGAATCTTCGTGCCCGCGTCACACATGACAGATACGGGTGAGTATTTGCATGCATGTACAGTACTACCCCGTGTGTGTGTGTGTGTGTGTGCGTGTGTGTGTGTGAGCGTAATCCTCAATTGAATGTGTTTGCGTGCGCCTCGTTGAAGTGTGTGCTTCCACGCCACCAGCACCGTTCACCAATGTCACCTTCATGGGTGGCTCCATTGCAGGAGCATCCTTCAGAATGTAACAGATTAGCTTTGCAGGCATGGATGTTGATGAGGTCATCACTTCCCAAGGTCACACCTACACAAATCTAGCTATAGGCCCACTGGCGTTCGAGCCCCCCCCCCCCTCCTCCCACCTCTTCAGATCCTATAGAGGCTGGATTTTACCTCCTGCCTGCATGCAGACCTGAATAAAGCAGAATAAGCCATATCCAACAGGATAAGCCTTATTGTAATACTCAGTGATAGAAAAGGTGGCTCCAGCCTTTAAGGCTTCCTTCGCCCTGTGAACTGACTTGAAAAAGGACTTGATAGCCCTGTGTTACAACATCCTGTATGTCACCTATAGTATTTCTAAGCCCCTATAGACTAATCCTGTCTGTACGCTACAGGGTTTCAGCTCTGTGTTGCAGTGATTGATGATCAAATCAGCTCTTTGAATATTTCCTTCAAATGGTCATCTGAAAGACAAGAGAGCACAAAGCTCTGGGGAAGTTAAGGTAATAGCTCGCATTTGTGGGACATGAATGAATACAGAGAGAAAGAGAGAGAACTGGAGCTTAGCAGCAAAACTAGAGGTAGGAAGAAAACAGGGTGTAGTGACTATGCTGACTTGAATTTTAGTCACTGTCTGGGTGCGGGAGGGAGGTGTTTTTGAGGCGCTTCTAGTACAATCCAATGTCAAGTCCAAGCCATTCATTGATTAAATAAAAAACAAACAAAAAGAAGACAGATACGTGCAAATTATGATGATGGTGATGAGGGTGAGAGTGGTGTCGGAGATTAGCGGTAAAAAATGTGTGCTCTTCCCGTTCCCCAGATCGCTGCTTCACCTGTGTGCCTTATGTACCGTTTACCTGCCCATTCACCTGAAGTGCCCCTTGTGGTTATTGTGCGAGTAACAAAACAAAACCCAAAATAATATAAATAAAATGGCTCATACACAGGGTGTCTGCCTTCTAGACGTACGCTGTATTTGAATTTTTTTTGTATATTTTAACATTATTTGTTTATTTTTGTTTATTGGTGGATTTTAAAAGTTTTATTATATAATATTTTATTATTATTATTATTACTATTATTGTTGTTGTTATTATTATCATTAATATTATTATTATTATTATTATATATTTTTTTATTGTTTTATTTCCTTTAATTTGTTTATATCTTGTCATGGTTTTATCAGTTTAGCTTCAGCTCCAGCGTTTCCCCATTTTAGTTTAAGATAGCGTTTCCTAGGTCCTCTGTGGCTTCCTGTTGAGCCCTGACTTGGTGTCCCGAAGGTCGTAAGAGTGTGCGTAGATGTGTGTGTGGACGGGTGGGTGGGGTTTTTGCAGTTTGTATTTTATTTTGTATTTTATTTTGTATCCCCTGTGTACAGCACTTTGTGATACAAGCCATGTTTGAAAAGTGCTTTATAAATAAATTGATTGATTGATTGATTGATTTAGTTTAATCTCAAAACTTTTCTGTGTATGTTTAGACTCTGAAGTGAGTAGCTAGTGACTGTTCCGGTTACATCCTGGCTCTTGTTAAGAAGCAGTTATGTTTTATCTCGTTCTTCCACATGCGTTAAAAATAAATACAAATATTCGTAGATCGTATCCTTGGAAACTTGAGGTACTACAAGCGAGCCTGCATTCTGGGATCACAGTTTTCTAGAGATGCGATGGTGCCTGACCGTTGTGCAGGGATTTAAAACTCTTTTCTTGATTTCAAATAGAGCAAAAGAGCAGAATATACGTCCTTATTCTTGTCAGTGGATATACAAAAGCATTTAAAACCTTCAGGCCTATATGGACGCACCACCATGCACCAGAAAGCATTCGTTTTGTTTATAGACAGTCGCATTTCTAAGCCCCTGCATATCTCCGGCTCTGTTCGGTGATCACACTCTCCTCCAACAGCTCCCTTTGGGCCCTGAAACTGTTCAGCATTACCACACCAAGCATGTAGGAGCTGGACGTCTACAGCAGCTACATCTGCATGTGTGCTAATTTCCTCCGCTGACTCTCTGTGGATGGCAAATCTCTGCGCCGTACAGTGCTACATCTCTTTCTGTATTCCTCACCCCCTCGTGAGACAATGAAGGCATTGAGGCAAATCTGTTTCCACAGCTTGTGAATAAGAGACAGTCAGTTTTGTATCGAGTGCGCACACATATGCACAAGAACAAATGTGTTGGCGCACGGACATGCGAGTATTTGTGTATCTGTGTGTATCTGAGTGCGAGATGCTTGCGTCATGCGTCCGCCTTGTGAGTCACTTGCTCTCGTGTAAGTACTGAATGAGAGCCCTCGATTCTCTCTGGGGCCCCAAATGCACAAGCAGAGCTCTTGCTGCTGCTGCTGCTGCCGCCTCCTCCTCTGCAACATCATCGCCCAACAGGTTGCTATGTCAATAATGAGCATTTACAAAGCAGTGTCTGAAATCTGAGACACGTTCAAACATACGAGCACAATCACCTGTCTGCCCATTATCCTAAAAAGCATAAAACAAACACTTTCCGAACTCTCTTTTCTGTCAGAAATCTCCGCACGATGAGGCGACTCAGGCTTGGTATTTGAATACTGGCTCTGTGTTCTTTGGCGTCCTGCTGGGATAATTGCAGGTGAGCCATGGAGGAGATGGAGAACAGCAGTGCAGAGAGAGAGAGAGAGAAATAAGTAAACACAGAAGTGACGTGTGCAGCTGGTGACTAACACTGTAGTGACTCTGGTTCTCTCGCTTTCTGCGGGACTGCTGAAGAAAAACTGTTAAAGCTCTTATTGTCATTTTCAATTATTTCCTCCCTGTGCCAAAAAATATTAACAAAATATTACTCATCTGAAAAAGGATATTACAAAAATAACACACTTGTGGGTTGAGGTGTGCGGCTGTTTTTGGACTTATTCCACCATCTAGTGGCGGTGCATATGCTGTTGCATACATGCATCACACACACACACCCCTGTAGATAAATCATAATAGCTTCAATCACAAGAGGTCAGTAACGACACGACTGTGCTGACAAAGTTCAGTGCGCGAGTGTGAAATCAGCTGTTAATCATCCACGCTTGATTAACTTTATTTCCAGGAACACAAAATTAAATACAGTGTGCGCACAAACAAAAACAAAAAAAAATCAATGAATTTTCTACACAAAAAATGGCGGTTTTAGGTGAAACTACGTTGGCACGAATAGAGGAAACACTGGAAAAGTGCTCATTTAGACCGACAGAGGTAGAGAAGAAGACACTGAAGGTCTTTTAAAGTTCTCTTTCAAAACAAAAACTCAACACTTGAAGAGATTACATGTGGCTGAAGAATAAAATTATTCATTAAATAGTACCAGTTCATTCATGATTACAGTTGTAGCACCTTTTTCACTGGAGGGTCACTGTATTACTCCCAGTTTCTGAGTCACTTGTCCTCCCAGAAGATTTAAAAACATAATCCCTCCGTTTTCATTATCGTCACACAAACCTTACCCACAGGTCTCCAGAGTGGGGTATAAAAAGATCCATCATGGCAGAGACATGTGAGGGATGTTGTTTTTCTTTTCTTTTTTTTAGTGCACTTCATCCCCTCTTGAAAAGCAGCACCATTTCCAACCTTATTCAACACTCGAGATTTGAGCAGATTTTCCCTCTATGTGGCACCGTCCTCGTCCTCCTCTTGTTCTGGCAGGCTGCCGGGACAGGGTTCCATGGTAACAGCGACGCCCATACCACTACGTCCGACGGGCATGTCCGTGACATGCGTCCATTCGTTCCTCTCTGGGCAGTAACACTCCACGCTGGACAGGAAGCCGTGCTGGTTAAAACCTCCTGGATGAAGTTTAAAGACATAATCAAAGACTTCATAAATCTGTCTGAGTATCGGAGAGATGTTCTCTTCATTATTGTGTAAAATTATATAAAAAGACTAATATAAGATTTTATCTACATTAGCTTTAATGTAATAAAGAAAGAAATAACAAAGAACGTTGTCGCTGAACTCGTGTGTGTTTTTGTTTATTTTGTTTATTCTGTTTTATTCTAGTTGACTGTTGCATTATGAATTTCTATTATTTACTTTCTTTTCCTATCTTGGATTTGTCGTAAAGCCAGTGTGCATTTTCCAGAGAAGGTTTTGGTGTATGCGGGAGGGATTTTGGGTGGGAGTCTGGTAGTGTGCTGCTTTATGTGTTTATGTTTGTGTTATATGCTGGCTGATGTACACAAAGTGAAAATGTTAATAAAATATGCAAAAAAAAAGCTAATATATGATTTAGCTTTAACGTCCTTTCACACCGGGACATTTTATTTCGTCAATACGTCTATTTTTTTTTTTCGAACCCGTATCCTGGCACTTATTTTTTCGGATCATGGTCCATTTTTTAAAGTTTCGTATACTGTGTGTCCACTTCTGACCAATCAGATTGCGTGTTGTTGCAATGTCTGATTCACCGGTACATCCAAGAGAACAGAGTGCTTTTGATAAAAAACACAAACATTACAAAGATAACGACCTGAAGGACAACATGTGGAGAGTCATAGTGTCGGATCTCTCATATGACGATGGTTTGTGCGCTTTAACAGTTTGATAAACATCTTTGTTTTAACTTTCATCTGTGCTAACGTAAGCTAACGGTTGTTACCATAGTTTCATGTGCTTATCTTATCGCCTCTGATTGGCTATAAATGCGGACCGTTTGGCTTGAGCGTGTAATGACGTTTCCAGCTTTTCTAACCAATCAGAGGCGAAGGGGGCGGGACTTTCCCCGGCAAAAGTCTTCCCCAACATGCGTCTTTTTACCCTGGAAAGTCGCAAAACCGCATCAGGCTTGATGTATATAGTCAGGCGCGTCAAAATTCTCCTCTGGATATTTCGTACTTTTGTGTTCTATATTCTTGTCGGCCCTGGTGTTTAAAGACCTTTAATATAATAAAGAATGAAATACAGGAAACAGCCAATCATAGCAGTGATAATATAACATCATCTATGCAATCATCTTGTCCTGCAGCTCATTTTCCCCCCTTTCAACTTTCTTGTTTTTGTTTCCAAGTGATATTACTGACCGAAAACAAAGATGCGCCCCTGGTGGACGGCGACTCCATGTGCACTGCGGCAGTACTGCATGGAGGCCCTGGTCTCCCACTGGTTTCTTGCGATGTTGTAACGCTCCACAGTGCACAGCTGGCTCTGCCCATCATAGCCTCCTATAGCATACAGGTAGGAGTTCACACACACCAGCCCTGCGAAGACACACAAACAGATCAATCAGATGTGTGCGTTATATTTCCTCTGAGTGCTGTAGAGACGAGGAGTGTATATCCGGACACTCACCCAGTCCACTGCGTATGGTGCTCATAGGTGCCAGCTGTTGCCACGTGTTGGTGTCAGGTTGGTATTTCTCCGCAGTGTTCCAGCGGTTATTCCCGTCATATCCCCCCACCACATACAGAGCCCCCGAACATGCCGCCACTCCAGCACCCAGACGGGCCACGGACATGGGGCACACAAAAGACCAGCGGTTAGACTCAGGGTCCCACCTGCAAAACAAGCCGAATCGATTCATCAATAAGCTGTCTTATAAGCTGTTTCAGATTTGTCTATGAAAATAACCGAATGACAGAACAAGAGCTGCGAACTTTATAGGATTCAGTGAGCAGAGGCTCTCCGAACAACCTCCTCAATCTACACGAGCCGGTCAACTTTAAGTGGATTAGGTTAAGCTGGCAACCATGTTTGGCAACTATTGACGAGCTTTATTTGAAGCCAAAGAGGTCGGAGCAGCACTGGGAGCAGACAGACAGACAGACGGACAGAGGAGAAGGTCCACGTGAGTCTGTAGTCCAACAGATATCTCCAAACACTAACAATGTGAAGTTTTTACTGTGAGGCCGGGACATGTGGAAAATATCTACTCAGTGTCTAGAGTAAAACAAGAGGTAACACTTTAGAATAACCATAACTTAGAAATGGTAAATAGCATATAGATATAAACTGTAAATTTTACAATTTTAAAAACCTAACCCTAACTTTACAATAACCATCTCTAAGTAATGTTTATAGGTGGGCTTTCTGTCAAAATCATACTTTTTAAAATTAACCCTGCCTGACGCAGTTAGACATGCTACATCAGTAGCCATCTTTAAAAACAGATTAAAAACCTTTTTTCTATGACGTTCTATTGAACTGTGTGTGTGTGTGTGTGTGTATATGTGTGTGCATGTGCATGTCTCCATGTGTGAGTGCGTGCGCATATACGAGTTTAAGTGTTGTCCACTTGCACCTACACTCTTAAATTGATTTCTAATTGATTTTTATATAACTGTTCTTATTATATACCCTGTTGTGAAACCTGTTGTTGTGCATGAAATACGCTTAATAAATAAAGTTGAATTTAACCGAATATAAACCACTTATCATTTACAAAGTATTACAAGCATCAGTTACAACTTTACAGTAACCATTTAAGTAATGTTTATAGATGGTTTAAAAACCAAATTAACCATTTACAAAGTGCTACTGACACACATTTTAAACAGTCCATTAATACTTAATGAAAATTATTAATCATAATTTCATTGCTTGTTAATGCTAAAGTAACTTTTAACTTACATTAATAAACTATCTTTTTACCATTTATAAATTATAGTTATTGTAAAGTGTTACCAAAACAGTCTCCATGTGCTATAAGGAACGGGTCTTATCTAACACGTGTCTTCACTGTGTTTCTCAGAGATGGATAAGAGGACTGACAGGACTCAGATACCTGACATGAAACTCAAATCTGTGATCTGAGTGCAGCAGACAGAACACTGCAGTTCCTTGAGTGTCCACTTGAGGCTGAAATCTTGCCTTTTCCCTCTGTGTGTGTCTACTTTGATTTTAAAGTTTGGATGAGTAAGCCGACCATAACAGGACTAAAGGGTGGCATATAAATACACTTCAGGCTTTGGTTTTAATCCACACAAAAACAGGACCCTAACAATTTATTTAGGATTTTAACTGTGCAACAAAATGTGACTTTATTTTCACTTTGGAGTTTGCACAGATTAAACAAACAGAACACCACATGCTAATTTGTGGGGTGTTTTAAGACTTTGCTTTCGCATCAGCCTCCCTGCTTTGACCTCATATTCATGCTAAACCAGGCTAATCGCCCTCTAGCTGTGATGCCATGTTTTACCCATAGAAATAGACAGTTTCCTTCGAATGGTTTCCCTTCAAACCCCTAAAACATTGATCTGCGCCTTTAACGCTGGAACAACCGAGAACAAGAGGCTGGACTTGGTGTCCTCTCTGCCGGGTTAATGATTAGAGGGTCTTTGGGGGCAAGGTGTTGTCACACTGTAAACTGCTGATAGGAAGGTGTCTGATATTACATCACCGGCCCTAAAACGTTGGCAGGGAGCCCTTTGGAAAAGTCACTTTAACCCTGATGTTCCTGTAGAGTAGATCAAATGATACCTTTAGCTCCCTGTTGAACGTCTCTTACGTGTTGCTGGGATTCATTTGGGAAGCGTCCTCAGAAGCCGCTCCTGCCGACCATTGTTAACATAAACCGCTTTCATCTCTTTTGACGTGTTTCACGATGAATTTCCATTCCGGCACTTTTATCAGCCTTCATTATATTTAGCAGCTCCTCATGAAAAGACTTCCAAGTGGCGCCTGATGAGTTCTAACAATAATCCTCCTGTGAATAGCGTCTCTTTTGGAAATCCATACCTTTAAATGTAAAAAGGGATCGAGGTGAAATTTGAAGCGGTTATTTGAAGATGACTAAGTTTTTGTTTTACTCGATTGAGGCGGATTTGAACCACATTAGTATAAAGTATCGAATATGATTAAACCCCTCCCTGACCGCAGCAGGAGCAGAGCGCTCCCGAGCAGATCCACATTCTTTGGAAATGTGTTTGAGCATGTTTTAAAGAAGTGTGTGTTGTTTTCTCTAATTGGGTTAAAAAGGAGAACCTGCAAACTTCTCGACTGCTCTTTATGTTGAATGGCAGCTTTTCATGTCAGCCCTCTCCGCCATTATCCATACTTACACTCAGGTAAACGCTTGGAGCAAATCCAAAATGATTACACTCATCCTCCTGAATAAGATGTCATTAAAATCAAATTACGTCTTGAGTGCCTGGTTGAATTTAAAAACACACACACACACGCGTGAACACACACACCCTTGAAAAGTCTCACCTCTCCACTGTGTTGTGATGCGTGGAGCTCTGGGAGCCTCCGATGGCGTAGATGCAGCCGTCCACCACGCCCACGCCCACCCTGTTCCTGGGGATGTTGAGGGAGGCTCGCTGGCTCCACTGGTTCGTCATGGGGTTGTAGCAGCACAGGGAACTTGACTCAGTGTTGGTTTGAAGCGACAGGTTCCTGCCTCCGACCTGGAGTCAGAAAGAAAGGAGGATTAAAGAAGAGATTATGTTGATCTCTTCAAAGTCTCAGAACAAACACTGCACTGATTTCTCTCTTGTTTCATAACATAAAATCATTCTTCGGTGTATTCCACTGTCATTTGGCGCCAATCAGAACTGGAATAATGAAATCCCTCTGAGTGTAACCTACAGTGTAGAGAAGTCCAAATAGCGCACAGGCTCCCAGACCGCTGCACGGGGTCCCCATGTCAGCCAGCCTCAGCCACACATTCCTCCTGGGATCATACGCCTCCATGGAGGCCAGTGAATGCTGCTGGTATCTGCGTGGAGATAAGAAAACGCTGAGTGTGTTACACATAATGCGCTCTTGATTTTACATGCATTCTACACAGGATGCAGCTCGGCGGCACAAATGTGCTCCTGTGTGACTGAAAAAAACTCCTTCAATCTGCTGATTTCAAAAGTTTTCAAAATCAGGACAATATTATAATCGTTTTAAAATGTCTTTATACTCTACTGCCAAAAAAAGGTTAACAGAGCCATCAAACAACCCATAATTGCTCATTCAGCATAATTCGGATTTCAGCAAGGTATGAATTTTAAAAAATATCTTGATGGTGGTTCTTTGGCTAAAAATCCATCCTGTGCTCTCTTCACTGGCTTCCTGTGTGTTTAAGGATTGATTTTAAAAATTTTGTTAATTAATCTTTAAACGGGCTTGCTCCTTTTTTTACTCTCTGACCTTTTAAAACCCCGTATTTCATCTCGGACTCTCAGATCCTCTGACCAGCGCCTTCTGACTGTCCCTAGGTCAGCGGTTCTGAAGTCCAGTCCTCGAGGCCCACTGTCCTGCATGTATTGGATGTTTCCCCGCTCCAACACACCTGATTGAAATGATCAGCTCGTTATGAAGCCATTACAGAGCTTGATAACGAGCTGATCATTTGAATCAGGTGTGTTGGAGCAGGGAAACATCCAAAACATGCAGGACGGGGGAGCTCAAGGACTGGACATGAGAACCACTGCCCTAGGTTAAGATTAAAGTTCAGGGGTGACCGGTCTTTTTCCGTCGCTGCGCCTAAGCTCTGGAATGCTCTTCATGTCCGACTGTCCCCCTCACTGCCTGTTTTTAAATTAAATTTGAAAACGCACTTTTACTCCTGAGAACTTCACCTTTTAATCATGTTTTTACTGAACCATCTATGTCCCCCTGTTTTTAATGTGTTCCTGTGTCTTTGTTTTATTGTTCGTGTTAATCGTCTGGTTCTTTTTATTTTGCTTTTATTTTTTATTTATTTATTTATTTTTTAATTTATTTATTCAATAATGAGTCAGAAGATTCATCTTAAAAAACAACAATACATAAGTGATTTTTTCCCCCCTCAAACCCCCCCCCCCAAAAAAAATAAATAAATAAATAAATAAATAAAACTCAACAAATACACACCAGAAAAAAGTGAGAAATAAAATTAAAAAAAAGGACGCAAACTGCGCAAAAAATAAATAATGATGACAATGTATATCTATATATATGTACATATACACACATACAAGTGCTATACAAATAGACCTGGATTGGATTGGATTGGAATAAACCTTTTCTTTTCTAAATTTGAGGGAGTCTCTCAGAAAGCTGAGCTCCAGACTGGAGGGCTTTTTGAGGCCACTGGGTGGCAGCCCGAGACTTCTCTGCACCCATAAATCGCTTCGATTTGCCAGGTTACAAAACCACGGCATGCTCTTGCCAGATATTTTTGAAGAAAACCAGAAAAGGACGATGATGCTGCTGAAACAGCTCACTCATTTATATGTGTTTACAGGAGGGCGTCAAAGCCCCCAGCAAACTGTGTTATCTCTCTGTGATGATAAATAGCTTCTTTCAATCCTACTTAATAATGCTCAGTGTCTCAATCATGCTTTACAGTACAACACTGTAGATAGAAGGTAAATACCCGCCGGCCACATAAATGAGCTGAATCCCTCGGTTTGGAGCAGGAGGAAGCTTCCTCAGCGTCATATCCTGGAAGATTTTAGACAGGAAGTCCTTACAGGCATTGGCCTAGAGTTAAAAGAGAGGACAGGAGAACTTTTGAATACATCTTCTTTCATCCATAAACCGTGATCCTTGTTGGCCAGAAATCATGGAAATCTGCGGCTCACCTTGCTGAGGATGGGGCAGGAGAGGAGCTGGTTCTTCAGGAACTTTGGAGGCAGAGCGTAGATGTGGACAGCATTCAGGAGGGCGTGAAGGTACTGAGCTCGACCTTCTGTATCCCAGCGGACCCAGTCTGTACACGCCTTGTACACCTGATGTGAAGAGTAAGGGTTGATGAATAAACTAACAGTTGCTTGTTTAGACCTGTTCGACCTCATAAAAAGTAAAAACCTGACTCAAGGACTTTGAAGAAATTCTATGAGAACAATTTTGCTTCTGTCCTTCCCCTTTTCCTGTCATTACGGAGTCTGAAGATGCTTTATTTTTACGGCACTCACCTCAGACTCACAGAGCACCTTCAGACTGTCCTGACTGATGAGCTCCAGCAGCTGACAATGAGAGAGGCTGAAGAACTCGTCCTCTTTCGTCACCTAAGATGACAAAACACACCAGCATTGTACAGACAAACCAACCACTGAATTAATATGAAAAACATCACGTTTGAGCAAAGACCTCTTTATGTTTTGACATGCACTGAGTCTGTGTTGCCTCACCTCATTGAAGTGCATGTTGATGTACTCGCGGCTCCGCTGGTGCAGCTCCGTGCAGCCGATCTCCTCGGCGAAGCGAGAGATGCCGATGACATTAGCGGGCTCCAAATGCTTTATGAGGAAATCACAACACGCCTTGGCCACGTCCTCCATCTGATACCTTGTCGGAGAAAGAGAAGACTTGCTGTGTATTTAAAGTAAAACCCAAACATTGTTAGAGTTAACTATTAAGTGTATAAATTCAGGTTTCCTTTCTGTGTCTGTATCTAATAAGGTTATCATACTCACCTCATAGCGCCCAAAAGCACATGCAGAACGCACTTCTCTCCCACTGTGATGTTGCCTGTGTACGCAAAGTCGATGAGTCTCCCCACCACCTGGGGGCAGACGTCACGCAGAGTGACCTCAGAGGCTCGACACTCTCTGAAGCTGCTGGTGAACATGGCTCTGAAGTACGGGCTGCAGGAGGCCAGGACCACCTTGTGAACCTGGATGTTAAATATCCGACGATAGAGAAACACTGACGTTTAATTCGTTAACGATTAAACAGCTGCTGTTCAGATCTGATCGACAGAGTTAACAAACACATCATAAATAATAGCGGAACAAATAATCTAAACTTTATTTATAAAATGTAAAATAAGTGAATAAGAATAACCTGAATATGTTCAAAAACAGTTCAATATTCCATAGAATTTTCAGCACCTTATAGGTATTATGCTTTACTCTATATGCACACATATAAATATAAAGAGTGAAAGCGATTTTCAACAAAACAACAAGACAGAACTTGACATTTGGCAGCTAAGGTTCAGTTATGGTGTGCTGGTAATATGCAAATGAAGCCTTTGGGAAGGTCTGTGTTACATAACACGCTAAGCACTTTGGCATTTGCATGTTGTGGCGAGGCGGATAGCTGAGGCGAACTTCTATTAATCCGAAAAAGTTCATTTGATCCAAACAGAGCTCTGATTTATCTCCTATCTAGACTGCCGTGTTTCATTTTTCACCACGTATCACGCATGTGGCGTACAAATACTGTATTCTACTGCTATTTACAGTAACTTACAGTACCTGCTGACTTTCTGACAAACAACCTGAGATTAAGAAAAGTTGATTTTATAATTAGTGTCAATGACGGATGTGAAGTAAAGAGGCACGGTCAGCATTTAATGGTTTATCGTGTTGTCAGATTGTCTTCAAACTCTGCTTAACTCTTAGAGATCTGGCCCAAACTGAGGTCTTATTTTTGTATTTCTCTCACCTTGAAGTCCACCGTCCTGTCCTTGTACGTCACGTGGAGCACCAGATCGCACAGCAACTCCTGCTGTCTGAACTCCTCCATCACCTTAAGAGATCTGGACGCATGGCTCTCCACTGTGTAGTCAAGATACCCGGAGCCGTGCATAGAGGGAACCACGATAGCCGAGAAATCAGAGTCACGTGTGGGACGTTTCTTCCTCACTGGGCAATTCATCCTCAGGCAGAGATAAAGAAGTAATCCGATTTTTTTTGTTGTTGTTGTTGGCAGGATTAACCTTTTTTTTCAGATTTCCAGTCTTTTACAGTCCAAACTCTGGTTAGTTCTTACCCCATGGGGGTCAGAATGTCAAAAGAGGAAACTCCTTTGGTCTTTAAATTGTTCATGTCAAAGCTCAAGAGAGCGGATGTTCTTAGTTCCTCCATTTTGCCTCAAATTTCACTCAATAATCTGTTCAGCAAAAAGACATACCCCTCAAGATTAGGTATGAGAAGAGCGTGGTGGTTCTATCCATGGATGGTCCCACCCAGAGCCACCAGGCAGAGAGAGCAGTCCAGTGAAAGCACTTGTCGCTTTATCAAAAAGGTCCAACTTGTATGTTTCTCTGCTTGAATACAGAGGGTAAACAACAGTGCTGAGCAGTCCATTATCCACAGATCCAAGTTCCCACATGGCCACTTTCATGCTTCAAATCCAGTCGCCACAGCACGAGTCAAACCCTGATCAGGACATTGATGCCGGTCCGGTTTTTACGGGTTTCAGGGTTTGGAAAGTAATCCATTCTTAAAAAATCAGAGTCCTCAGCGCTTCAGCGTCCCCTCAGCAGGGATTTATATGACCCAGTTTGTCCTGATGCTTCTCCTGCCAAAACAAACAAAAAAAGAAACACAAACATAAACTGACCAACTTTTGGGAGACTTTGAGTGGTTTGAAGAGAGTTTTATAAAAGCATGTGAACATCCTTTTCTTTTTCCTTGTGTGCGTGTGCGTGGGTGAGTAAGTATGACACACGTGGTTTCACTTCCTTGCAGCCGAAATGGAAAAAACAAATTAAGCGGAGCTTCTTCATGCCACAGCTTTGATTCATGTTCATCTTCTCTCTTTGCTTTTGGTTTGATTTAATCAGAAAAACTGACAACTTTAACAAATTATCACTTTTTGATTATCACCCAAAAGAGTTCAACAACGAGAGTCATTTAGGGCCTGACGGGACTGTGGATAGAGTAGGAAATTGGGAAATGACATGCAGCGAAGGGTCAGAACTAAACCGAGACTGTCCACAGGGGGTTTAAGTTTCTGCACATTGGGCGGTGCCAACCATTAGTTACAAGTTAAAGGCCTAAAAACATGATTTCAAGTCCAAATGTGGGAGATTGTGGCATTTCTTTTCCATCCTGTCCTCAAACATCTTGTACACATGTTCATTTTACATTTAAAGGTTCAATATAAAGAAAAGAAAGAGTGTGACTTTCAGATGACTTCCTCTCCAGTTCAAACTATCACCATCTCTTTTATAAAAACTGTATTTTCCTGTTAATTAATCCAAGATGCAGCTCTCTCATTTGTTTCAGATCCTTATATTTGTTTCTAACTTCATTAGTTTCCGGGCTAAGAGAGGAAAAGAAAAAGACAAAGTTGGGGAAGTCGCCTGTTTTCGGTTAAATCAGAAATGAAAATAATTTTCATCTACAGCCTCAGGTCAGAGGACATCAAAGACTCGTCAAAACTTTGCTTTAAAGTTTGACATTTGCGCTCTAAGCTCTCTAATCTTCTTGTTTCTTCAAAGCGCTCCCCCCCAAACAAGAGGCTGATTCAAATAACAGTCACTGTGAGTCACGGAGGAGTGAATGAGCCAGCAGCCAGATGTGAAACGCACAGAGAGCACACGCTGTATCTAAAGCTACAAAAGGCATGAATGAACACCTACCAGACGCTAGACGCTGCTCTCCCTGCCAAGACACTCCACCGCCTGTCTAAACCTCAGTCACGTCTACACTCACACTTATTATCAGAGCGAGTAAAGACACTCCTCCCTCGTGACTGAGTAGGCAGGTGTCAACATCCAGCTAATTTGAATATTAACTGGAACCAGTTTGACCGTCTGTCTTAATTTAATATAAAGAAAAACAAAATAACCGCAGCCACGTGCCTCTGATGTAATAAAAGAAAACAGAACAGTAAGGGAGAGGACTTCACACGACTGTTATCTGCATGTGTCTGACTGAAGCTGAAAGAGTGTGATCCTAAAGCAATATTTGATAATCACCGAGTTAGTAAATGTGAGTAAAGAGAAGGAATATGATTACACTTTCATTTAAAGATCTCTATCACCCCAGTGAGGCGCCAGCAAACAGCACACGCACTGTAATTAAGTTGAATGTAATCACTGTAAATGGGTTTAAATGGCGCACCTGCCTCCGATAAAAAGCTACTTAAGACTCTCATTATATTATATTAATAAGCCCCCTGATACAAGTGTAATGCTTTGTGCTCTTAGCATACAGGCTAATGTATGTATGGAAAAGGCAAGGCTGAACTAATACTTGGGATGTGCTTAGTTTGACACCAAAACCGCTAAACCTTACAAAAATATCAACATTGTTAATTCATGTAGGTCAAATGTCGTGTTTTAAGTGTAGGGTGCCTTGCGAGCAAGTTGCTGGTAACTTCTCTAAAGCTACAACGATCTACTACCCAGATGTAAACAAGCACAGATGGCAGATGGCATCACTCAGCACGTTTACATGACATTCGAGAAAACCGAATTATTGCCTCACTCCAGTTACGACCGGACAACTGAAGTGCATGTAAACACCTTAGTCCGGCTATAATCACAGTTTGAGAACTTGGATTGGAGTTGGAGAAGTCCGATTAAGACACCCAGATAATGCGATTGGAATACGATTTTCTCTACCATGCAACTAAGGGAGTATGATCGGACAATCCATGTGCATGTGTGCCACGCCCCCGTAACCCCATAACAAAAACACCAGAGGAGTAGCGTGCATTTTATCTGCAGAAAAAGTAGCGCACGTACATCATGTACAACAAAAACAACGCTGTACGATGCTCCACCTTCTTGCTCGAAAAATGCCCAGCAGCAGTTGTAGCCACTTCTGACGTCTGGCACGGACCTGCGTTGTTGTTGTCGGGTCAACTGAAAACAGCGCCGCTGAAAGGACCAATATCGCCCCCTAGTTTCTGGGAGGGGGACACGTTCACATCAATAATTTGATTTTCTCAGCTGCATGTATACGCGGACAAGGAGCGAAGTCCGAAAAAAAACGAATTATAAGCTTAGTTTGATTCAGCTGTGCGTGTAAACGCACTGAGTGTTAGAGTAGGGACTTTGAGGCACTGCAGCCGCTTCAGTGTTACGTATATGGTGCGTTACATGTCTGATATTCGTCTTATGTTATATTTTGTTATATTTTTGTAATGTTTTTGCTATTGTTGTATGGGACACTTTAAGTACAAACTAACTAACTAATAACTTACAGTATTTGATCAAGAAAATTGAAAGTTATATGAAGGCTTTGGCTTGTTAAACTGGCGTGTAACCACCAAGCTAAAGCAAAGTAATACATTAAATAGAAAACCAATCTGATTTCATACACATAGACGCTGATCCTGTGTTCAGTGCTAAATAACTGACAGTTTTTGCCTGTTTTTCTTACCTTTGTACTATTAAAAATTCAATTTCCATTTGAAAAAGCTAGGGAATGCGTCCCTTCAGGAGACTCCTCATTAATACCATTATTAGGTCTGCCCTTGGCATTTCATTAAGATCGGCTTAGGAGAAAACAGATGTTACCCAAATTATGATTCTACAGATCCAAATCAAAACGCACTTTAATGACTCAGTCCAAGATGACCTTTACCGTCATGTACAGGAGTTATATTTAACAGCACAGTTCAGTCACACATTCATGTTACAGTGTGAGTGAGATATTAAACATGGCAGAGTAGACGGTGAAAAGACACCCAGAGGGGGAGACAGTGGTGGAGTCAAATCACGCTTTTTCATGAATTATTAGCGATCAGTCATGTAAATAACCAGCCTTGATATATAGCAGATAACTTATTACTTAAAAACTCATAGGTAGTGGTTGCACATTCCTGAAATGCATGGTAGTCAGACATTTTTAATGTGTCTGTGCAAACCAAGGGCAGCTGCACACAAACACGAGGTCTCTGCATTCCTTCAAGTCACTAGCTGGCTGCTGCAGATTGAAGCAGAACAAATCAGCTCGTGGACTGGGGAATGCTGCCTGTTAGCAACACTGTATGTATCTGTATAAAAAAAAAAAAACACTCAGAATCAACAGCAGTAGGTTTATTTTTAGCAGTAAGGAGAAAAACTCTGATCCCGCAAGAGATAAAACTACTCTGACCTCTGTGAAAACTTACAGCACCAGAGGTTTGGCCTTAACTTCATAACAAATCAGCTTCGATCTCATTAGTCAGTGTCTATCTGATACTATGTCTGAGTATGTGTGAGCTTCACTGAACGGACCACAAGAGAGTTGTGAGTAGTTTGGTCCAAAAGCTTTGCAGAGTTGCACAATCAAATCTGTTGAGCCTCGAGCTCCCTCACCTCTCACCCTGCAGTCAGTCATATGACTTCAACAACAAGAGACGGAAAAGGGAGGGAAAGTGGAGCAGAGAAAGAGAGAGATTTTGAGGGAGAAAAGACGAGATAGAGGAGAGAAACTGAGTGTGGAATGAGCTTTGGGATGGTGCAGTCAAAGGCGGGAGGAGTGAGGGAAAGAAAGTCAGAGGTTTTAATACAGTAGAGCTCAGTCAGTTTCCATAAAGAGCCGTTATGTTTGGATAGATCTGCCTGCACGACTCTGCTGATCAGGCTTTAAGTGGGTAACAGAGGCTGATTGTGCAAACCCATACTGCATAACCTGGTTACTATTACTCTGAAGCCGCTGTCGCACTGGCTCTGAACAGTTTAGTGATTTCACTGAGGTTTTCTAGAAATGCCCTTTTCACCAAGCGCCTGACTGTTAGCCCAGCAGGCTGTCGAAGTGTTAAGTTTTGCCAGATTTGACCCAAACAGCTGTTGAATGATTGAAATAATAGAAATCCGTGCTGTTCATAACATGTAGTTTGTTACTTTCTAGAAACCACGAATGAAGACAAATGATTTTGGCACGCAGGAATGTTTGTTTTTCATAAATCCTAGGCCTGGCTCACTGCAGATTTATAAAATGAAACTACAGAGGCACAAAGCTGTCGAGTTAACTATTTACAGACTGTTCCTGTTGGCAGTTGGCAGACAGGACAGCACCGCAGCCCGTGCAGTCTGATTTAACCTGAACATATGAGATATTACAGAGCAACCTTTTGCAAAGTCAGTGAAGATGTCCTCATGTAACCTTGAAAAATGTTGAGTCAATGCTGAGTTGTAATGACCACATGTTTTGGTGAAGTTTTGTAACGTCAGTGATTCAGACAAAGGCTCTTCTGCTGTTTCATCTCTTAGCTGCTGTGACGGCTGAATGGGGTCAGAGGTTAACGATGACAAAAATGATTTTATAACACCAGAGAGAACGTCTAACAGCTTAACAGTAAACTCCCCATGCAGCAAAGATAGTACATGAGTTAATCTTTGAGAATACAACTGCTGCACATTCGTTGCTTTAACCTAAATCAAGAGAAGTGATCTCAGTTTCGCCTCCTGAATGAAAAACTACCATTTCAGCAACAACAGACAGAGTAAACTCATTTGACTTATGACTTATTAAGGACAACTCTTAGTCATCTGTTGGAAGAGTCAAGCCAAACAAATGTCACAGAACATGCTGTCCTTAACTCACGTATTGATTTGGAGATTTTTAACCCTGGCACCTGTGCACAACTTCAGCTTTCCTATGTTTGGTTTTCAAATCTTTATTAGTTATTTGAATATACTTCATTCCTCTATTTCTTTAAATGTTAGGTTTAGCACCATGTTACAATTTATGACAAAAAGTAGATCCCATAAATCTCAGACAGTCGTAAAAATGTCTAAAACAACTAATAAAATATCAAGAATTGTTTCTGTTTAATTGTTAATCTTTCTGCGAAAGAAAAATGCAATTATTTTGATAGTCAGTTGTTCATTTCAGTCAGCAAAAAAGCTGTTGATAGAAGTATTATTAAGAAGCATTATCATAATATCACTTGTTTTGTTTTATTACTTTATGGACTCAACAATGAACTGTTACTAAATTCATGAACATAGAGGACATTTGTAAATTTTAACTAAAGATAAAACTGCATATCTGCAGGGCTTTTTACCAAAAACTATGTAAAACGTAATTTTTTGTAAAAAGGTTTTCGTAAATTAAATTCCCTAAAATATTGATATCTGCATTTCACAGTATTCCTGAAAGATTTTCGATTAATCGACTCTGACACAAATACCTACATATTAAATCAAATTTTAGATATGAGGGAAATCTGCAAATTCTCACAACTCAATCAAGAACACATTCGAACATTTTTACTCGGAGATCTTAACGATTAATCGATTATTTTTTGACGTTTTGGTCGTAAATCCTACACACTGTAGCTCAGTTGGACACTCGGTTACTTGTTCGAGGACAACACAGGACTGAGTCAAAGTTTCGCATCACTTTTACAAATCTCCACTCTACACAGGAAACTATCTGAATGGTCGACTGGTCGACATTAAAACTACCGGATATGCTGTAAAGAAATGCTGCTCTCATGGCGAAGTGGTAAGAAGTAACACAACAAATGTCACGAGTTCTGCTTACGACAGCTTTAGTCGAGTTTAACGTTGATTTTCCCCACAACAGCCCGTTTATTATTGGTATAAAACAGCACTTTTTAGTGTTGAAAATGTTGTAAACACTCACCAAATATTCACGCTTCGACAAAAGCCGTTCAACTTCGTACAGAAATCACGTAAATGCGTCGGTCGTTCACCCACCGGTGGCAGCGGCTGTACACCCGGGTTACGAAAGGTTTCCGTCCTGTCAGGAAATCAACACATCTGTCATTCTTCACAATAAAGGACTAAATGTGCTTAGCTATGAGTTTCCCCTGCTGCTCTGAGTCCACAGCCCGTGTTCCTGTCCCTGCTGGGGAGGAATTTCTACACCAACATGACTCTGCAGCCCTCAAGTAGCTCCACTGCGAACACGCCGAGCGGCTGTAACACGCATGTACAGAGACCTACATGGCAACAAGTCAGGAGCAGCATTCCTCAAACTGAAACTGAACGACGGCCAGGGCACGACAGCTTCAGCGGGGATTATATAACTGTTACACAGCTGAAACACGCCACAGCAGAGTCATTGCGAGAAAGCCTCTTCCCTTACCAGTCCAACCAAAACACACGCCTACACACTGGGAAAGTCGATTCAAGAGGAAATCCAACTATTCCTAGGAAGTTTGAGAGAAAAGAAAACCTGCTCTGGATCTGCCTATCTTGATGGCTCTATCTTGATGAGTCATCATGGCTGCTTTATCTGACAAAGAACAGTAAATCCTCCAGTAACACTTGTGCAAGTACAGGACTGTGTAAACCACACTGCAGACATATATCAACTGATAAAACACTGAATCATGTGGGATTGGAGCCACAAAGTAAAATGTACGGTGGCCGAGAACCGCCACTGTTGCAAAAAAAAAAAGAATGCAAAAAAAAAAAGTCAACAGAAATAGGTGATGCAAAAAAGAAAGAAAGAAAGAAAGAAAGAAAAGGAACAGTGCGGATAAAAAAAAAAGCCACAACAGAAGTGAACGGCACAGAAAAAAGTAGCGATGTGAAAAAAAGTGACTAACTGCAAAAATAAAATGAAGCAAAAAAAGCCACAACAGAAGTGAACAACGCAAAAAAAATAAATAGTGGTGACTCAAAAAAAAAGGTTACTGCGAAAAAAAGGATGCAAAAAAAAAAAAACAACAGAAGTGAATGAAGCAAAAAAAATGGGAATGCAAAAAAAAAAAAAAAGCCACAACAGAAGTGACCGACTGAAAAAAGGGGGGAAGCAAAAAAAAAATTACTACGAAAATAACAGAAGCAAAAAAAAAAAGCCACAATAGAAATGAACGATGCAAAAAAAGTGGCGCTGAAAAAAAAAAGTTCTTACTGCCAAAAAAAAAAGCCACAACAGAAGTGAACGACCCAAAGAGGTGGCAATCCAAAAAAATAAAATAAAATTACTAAGAAAATAAAAGGATGCAAAAAATAAGACAAGCAAAAAAGTTAGTGGAAAGGTTATTGTTCAATTTTGCTTCATTGTTTTCAATGTGGTTTGGCCATGTAGCACCTGAGTCGATATGAAGTTGAATACTGACATTTTTTTCTCTTTTTACTTAAAAAAATAACACAAGTATCTAAAGGCATAACATTTTTGGTAGCTAAACAAGGGCGATCTAGTCAAAGGATAGCATATGAAACATTAAGGATCTGCGTAGTGTGTATTTTCTATCCAAACCAAACGCAGGTCAGCATTTTCAGCATTTTCAGCATTCAGCGTGTTCAGCATAAAAAGTTACCACCGTCTCGGCAATTTGAGGTGAAAATAGCTCACTTCTCTGTCACTGACTGATTAGAATCCAGTCAGGGGGATTTTCTCTTTTTGGTATTTTTGGAAATAAGAAACTAACCACACCATTTTTCTGAGGTAATTTTCTGCCCAAATTATTAAGAGTTGCTGCTCAAGCAACCATGAAATCTAATGTGTAAGTGCCTAAAACTGCAGTACCTCAAGTGTCCACATGAGGCTGGTTCCAAAGGCCAGCCTCGACTCCATCTAAAAACAGCAGCTGGATTAACTGGAAATTGTGTGTCACTGAGAGCTAAAAACAGAACATTTATTCACAGCTCTCTAAAGCTGATATGTTGAGAAACACTGTTAAACACAACAGCAACAATAGGATAAGTTGATCATCTTCATGGTCTACTGCAAAGTAAATACGTCACATTATGCTCTATTGTTGGCAGCTTTGATTACGTAAAGACTCTGTAAGACAATCTGACAGTCAATGAAAGGACAAACATGCCTCAAGAAAAACACACTTTTTCTAAGAAGGCTTAAAGGATTTTTTCCCCTCATTGTGCTTTCCTTTACAATCTTTTGTATGAATCAACTCCTTTAGTCTGGATAACACCCCCCAACGATCAATATCAGGTAAGATTTTTATACGATAAAGTGCTCATACTGATCACATCAAACCCACCCAGACTCCAGATGTACCTCAGTGTCCCGTCTGAGGATGACTTAAGCAGCGACAGCGGTGACAGGCACACCCTCATCAGATGGCAGGGAACATGCTTGACTGGGATCCAAAGAAAATATACACATCTGCCACTCCAAACCCGCAGAGAATGAAAACAGGAACCGCTAAACTTTTTGTTTCCAAGAATTTGTGACATGATGCAACCACAAGATTTGACAAGTTCATCAGGAACCAACAATCTCATGATGAGCTGGGACACAGTCGGACAGATTAATCATACTTGGATGCAAATTGCTTTATATTTGCATGATCTCTGAAGAGGAGATAACAACTGAAAAAGCCAAAATAAAGGTTTGGAGTCTGGGCTCTGTCGTGTTCACACTAAGCATGAGTAAAATCATGTGCTTGCTTAATTCAGGCATATCTGGATGTGCAAATGTGTAATTACTTGTTTAATTTGCACAAAAATACAGCTTAATTCCGGCAAATGGTCCACTCAATTGGTGGTATTTGCACCGTGCAATTCTGAACCTGCATCTAATCCTGTCTTTGAATTGACTTTACTTGTAATCCGCTCGATACGTAGATGATACTTGATGTGAACTCAACATCAGAGTTCAAGGTTTGTCCGATGGAAACTTTTGAGATCACAGAACTTTCACTTGGAATTTGTTCAAACATGTGAATATCTTCTCTGTCCCTTACCAAGTATTGAGTAACGTGACCGTTTAAAAGTTGTATGCAAATTCTCATCGAACATGATACACAAATTGTACTCTTTGTTCACACCCTCTGCTAGTCACAGGTGGGTGTGTTTTTTGACTGCGGGCCATTTCTGACAGAGGAAATAAGTCATTAAGTCAACACCTTCAGTGAAAACACTTATCGACTATTAGCATACCACAGAGTGCTGACTTGGTGTTTACTGCACGAGTAAATGACTTCAGAGCTGTATAGTTTGTTTTTATTTATTAAAACACGTGGAAGAAACACCAAAGTATTGATGTGCAAAAAAGTTCTTATTAATCTTACAAACTTTCTCGATGATCACCAATGGAATCTGAAGTGGAGGAAAAAAACTGTTAGCTACTCAGCAGCTCGTTTATCAAAATTTTCATTTTTTATGTTCTGTTGCCTGGTGACGAGGTTTCATACAACAAAGGTGAAAATATAGAAATTGTGATCTGATTGCCGGCCGTCTTGTTTGCTTTTTTAAGGTCCTTAGACACCGGGAGCGTTTTTTTTCGTGCGATTATTTCTGACGTCAATATTTTTTTTCGAACCCGTGTCCTGACAACACAAGCGTTCACATCAACAACGTTTTCCCGTCGATATTGCAATCTATTTTTTCGTATCACGGTCAATTTTTCTAAAGTTTCGCATACTGTGTGTCCACTTCTGACCAATCAGATTTGGTGTTGATGCGATGTCAGATTCACCGATATATCCAACATGGCCGACTGGCTGATTGTTTACGTGTCGGAGAACAGAGCCTCTTTTTGATAAAAAAACACAAATATTACAAAGATAACGACCTGAAGGACAACTTGTGGAGAGGTATAGCGTCGGATTTCTCATATGACGATGGTTTGTGTGCTTTAACAGTTTGCTAAACGTCTTTGTTTTAACTTTCATCTGTGCTTAGTAACTTTAGCTCGTAAGCTAACCTGTTCAGATACAACATACCATATGTATTTTCACTGTCTCCAACTCGCACCATTAGGTCTCAGTTGTTACCTTATGTTTACTGATTATAGTTTAATGTTTTTATCTGGTACTGGCCCCGACTCAGAACATGCTATCATGACATCTCAACACTAGTGTCTAATCAGAACTGAAAAACAGTCAGTCTGCTGTTGTGTCAGTCTTCTCGCTTCCACCCGGGATGCATCTTTTTTCCGGATGCGCCCGAAAAGTCGCAAAATCGCATCTTGCTTGATGTGTATAGTCAGACGCGTCAAAATACGAATATTTCATAATTTCGCGTTGTATATTTGCGTCGTTCCGGTGTGTAAGGACCTTAAGTTTGCAATGAAGCATTTGTGTCAATTTGACTTTTTTTCATGTTGAACTAAAATCTCCCTACAGGGTCTTTAAATCACACTGAAAAGAAAACCAGTTCAGTCTGTTACACACTGACTGTGATGCTGCTGTAAACTAGTCACTTCACTAGAATTTACTGCATAGTTTGTCGGCTGCTAATAGTTTCTGTTACGACATTTTGACATGTTTCATATTTTTCCTGAGGAGTCAGGTGTCGTTTTAAAGTATTAGTTTAGCCTCTATTTGTATTTGTAGTGTTTTTTTGTCTCTTGCAAATATGCATTTTATGTGCTTCTCTAATAAGTCCTTTTTTTGGGTGTGTCTTATCCTTTCATGTGTTGTTTGCGGTTTCCAGACAGCTCTCATTTTGCACAATAAAGTCTCATCTTTACTGAAATGGTCAATAAAGACCAGCCTAACTTCCAGTACGATGCTTTTATAGCCTTTTAAGAAGATGATTCACATTTGATGATTCATTCTGAGTCCTGGACAAAGCAGCTTGAGGTGTGGTTCGCTCATTTGCATAGTGTGTTTGCACACACATGTTCCCATACTGTAAATTTCTGCATGGGCTTAAACCTTGAATTTAACCAAATAGTTAAAGTAATAACTTGGCGGCTGCATAAACCACATTTCAAACTGGTTGGACTTGAGGTTTGCTTTGGGCTAAGCTTGTGTATTCTCCAGCTGCCAGCATCAACTGAAAGGTAAAGTGAGGACAGGTCGAGTGAGCTGAGTTCCTCCGAACTCCACACCTCCAGATTTTTGTCATTTCATGCTTGTTGAACGAAGTCCAAACTGTCGCTGAATCACTTACGATTTCTTGAGGCAACTTTTTAGTGTTTTTTGCAGTTAAATTATTAACCACAAAAGACAAAAAATGCAGAAGAAGAACATTTGGTAAGTATAACTCCAACATTTAAAACCCTCTTAGCTCTCAGTCAGCTCTGTTGACTCTGTTGGCATCGGCATATATTTAAAGCTCCAGTGAGGAACTTTCTGTCCTTGTTGATACTTTCTCCTTTTGTTGTCATGTTACAGTAAAATTTGCCACCTAATGTGATTTTTTGCTGTTGTAAAAGACACCACGGCTGTTCCATCAGTATACCTACCCCCTCACAGCCATTAAAAATTACAACATATGGAAAGATAGTCAATCTTATTGTGAAAGAGGTCTTATTTGCTTTTGTGGATCATAAAGACACAACACTGTTCATTTCCATCTGTTTTATACCTTATCACTAACTTCTCAAAGGAGCTTTAATGTTTTAATTTTCTAGTTTAGTCCCATCTGTTAACATGGAGGAGGCGGGCCTTATGACCATGAGTAAACTTACAGCTTTAACAGGAACATTACTCACTGTGAGTCTGTGGAAAAAAGGACAAAAGGGCCGAGACCTACCCCCTCCCTGAGGTTTCAGGTGTAAACAAGGAAATGTTACGACTGTAATCTTGTTTCTGGAAGGTCGTGATAAAGCGTCAGACTCTTTGCGAAAACACCTCATAGGAGCTTTAAAAATAGAGTACATCTGGCTGCATTACGCTACCATCCCTGACCTGAACATTAACACCAAACAAAACAAACATTAGTTAGATGTTTTAGAAGAAACAGTGATGACTTAACCAAATGTTTTTTTATTGTTTTTAGCTTTCAGCTTTATTGTTTGTTTTGCAGATTAATGCCTGTGTTTAAGAGCGCTGGCCTCGCCCATTCACTGTCACAAGGAAGTGGTTTGAAGAAAGCACCACAGCACGGTGACACAGCACAAAGCTTGGGCACGTTTCTTTACTGTCACAGTGTTCACTCATCTTTCCTTTCCTCCTTCACTGCAGCCTCTGTGCTTCCTCCTTTCCTCAGCTCCTCTCTCTTGTTCAATACTAAGTGCGTATTTCCTCCTTCACCATCCCCTTTTTCCCAACCAGTGCAGCAGCAGTAATGAGAGAGAGCCGTTGATGGGATCAGTCCGTGCACCAGATTTTTATTCCCCCCGAAAATGAAACAAGTCGTGCAAGTCTCCAAAAAAGACCTTGTTTGTTTGTTTGCGAACACACTTTTTAAATTAAAGGCTGATGTGAAAATGCTGCTGGGTTTACATCAAAGCTGCTTGTGTTAGCTGGAGAAACCGCAGGGTTTTATAGACCTTTGTGTTAGTGTGATAATGAGAGGGGGGAAAAACCTGACACCATGCCCTGTGGATGTGCTGCCCTCTGCTGTTCAGACACAGAAACACAAGCAAATCTGAAAGGGAGGGGTTACCAGATTGTTACAAAATAAAGCTCAGTTTATCAGTGAGTTAAAGTAATTTATTATGTTTAGTGAGAGTGGAAAGGTTGGTAAATATTCAGCTATAAAAGTGAAAGTAGAAATATCAAAACTACTGTGATACATCGAGGCAATAGCTTTCTGAGAGCGCTGCACTTTTATTGGTTTATCATACTTCATGTTGTATTTCTCCATCATGTGCATATAAGGTTTAACATATTTAAAGAAATTATATCAGTATTTATATCAGGTTTAATCTGCAGAGTTGAAGTACAAGTATGTAAGATCCTGAATTGTTTTCAGATGAGCTGAAAACCCAACATCTCTGCAAAATACCACTTTCGTACGTCAAAAAAAAGCTATGATTTCCACCTTTTGACAATATATCATCATATCAATGTATGTTTTCTGATGGGAACATTTCTAAAAGCCCACTAAGATTAACTTAATCCTTCAGAAAAAAAGTCAACATCAAAATCAACAAATCTGGAGAAGTGTTTTCAGGGCTATCATTGAACCCTAAAGTAACTAATGTTGCAGGACATGAACGCGTATTATTACCATATCAACTTTTAACAACGCAGACTGTTTGTAGAGAAACTATTCCTCCAAAAGAACCCGAAAAGAGAAGATCCCTTTTTCTAATTTTAATCGTGGTTTATGGCTTGATTCTTGATGCCCATCACCAACAACACATTGGCTCCAGATGAGAGGAGGCAGAGAGGGGAGGAAAGAGAGGGCTGGAGACAGAGGGATAAAGAGAGAGAATGAGAGAGAGAGAGAGAGAGAGAGAGAGAGAGAGAGAGAGAGAGAGAGAGCACGGTTGATGTACATCTGTCATGCATTATTGCAGCGAATGCCAGTGCTTCTATCCTGGCTTTAGAAACTATGTGAGGAGGGGGCTGATGGGTCCTCCTTAAATCACAGTCTGGGTCCTCCTCATCTTCCAGCCCAGTTATAGCGACAATATCAACACAAACACAATGGCTGTTACACTTTTAAGACACATATGCACGTACAATAAAAATATACAAAATAAAAAAAATTCACGCACATTTGGGGAACTATTTTCCAACCTCTTCACACACACACACACATTCACACAAACACACGCACACACACATTGCTCACTATCCCCCCTATGAATTCCTCAGGAAGGAGTCAGCCTCCTTCATTCCTCTGGACACAACTTTTCCTTAACAAGGTACTGATGGTCTTGACCTCCTCTTCAAACAAACCCTTCGCTCCAATCAGCGAGGATTGTGCAGCAGGGCTCAGCCGAGGAGGCCTGTGGGTATTACAGAGGAAACGTCCTGATTCTCCTTGATTACTCCCCCCCTCCTCTTCTCTCTCTCTCTCTCTTTCTACCCCCCCGTCTGCCCCCACTCTCTCTCTTTCTCCAAATATCTCTGTCTCAGTGGCTCCTGGCTCTCCTGTTGTCTCTAACCCGGTGTCGAACTTTTCTTTCCTGTCTGTGTCTGTCTGCTCACTGTGTTTTTTTTTCTTCTTTTCTGTCTCGTTTGCATCCATCGCTCTGATCGCTCCCTGGAACAGACTTTTTACTCTCTGGATGATGAGCTGTGTTATCATTTTCCTTGTACCTCATTCAACAAGTGTGTCAATCCTGAGTTCAATAAAGCTGTCAGGATATTTTATGCATGCTGTAACGCATATTAAGTGCATTTTCCCGACAGAAGCCAAAACACACAAATATGCTCCAAAGTATTTCAACTCTAAGTCCCACAGCTATTGAAGTTGGTTTAAAGTTCCTGTAGGGAGTTTTTAAGATTGTAAATCATACAAATATTTTATAACACATAAAAATTGTTACTGCATTAAAAATTGTTACTGCAAAGGTTCTCATGAGTCAGACATTATGGTGTCAAACTTAGGACGGATGATTTTTTTTTTTTTTGTTAAAGCTCCTGTGAGAAACTTCATTGTGTTTTAATTCTGGCGCCCCCCTATGGACAAAGCAGTCTGTTTATCGTGTCTTTACATACTAAAGTAGTATCTTCTCACAAAAAATAATCCTGCTAACTCTTAACAGACTGTTGTATCATTTGTTGTGAATAAGTGAGGAGCTGCTTCTTCAGATGCTTGGCTAACACCTATCCCCTCGACTACCCCCTTAGTCGATTTTGTTGCAGGTGGTCTTTTTTGCTTATTTATATCATAAAAAGGCATCACTAAGAATGAATGTTTATTTCATTAATGTCAAAAACTCCATACAAGAGCTTTAAATAATCGGCTTCTATACGCTAGCAGCTAATAGCTGTTCTGAAACTACATATTTGAGACAGTGTTGAAGGAATTTAGGAGACAAAAATGTTGACACACTGTAAGTCATTACCAGAACACCAGAGTGGTAGGCTTCCTGTTCGTCATGATTGTAAAACCAGAATATTACTGTATTTTTCAGACTATAAGACTTAAAATCCTTAAATTTTCTCAAAAATTCACAGTGCGCCTTATAATCCAGCGCACCCTATGTATAATTACTTGTTGTGCTTACTGACCAATTTTATGTGGTACAATGCGCTCAAAAATCTGTCGAAATGTGTAAGTACGACTTTGGTAAGCAACGAAGCCTCTCTGCTCAATGGAAATCACAGATAATACAACAAAGCATCACGGTACACTGTGTCACTACCTGATCTGCCCCGTAACAGGACCCATGAGCAGTCTACAAGACTGCCTGACTGTAATGTCTAAAGTAGAAGTGCATTCATGTAAGGCAGCCCGGGCCGTAATTTTTTTTTTTTGTTGGATGGTAAGGAAAGGTCCCGCCCTCCTTCGCCTCTGATTGGCTAGAAATGCTGGGCTCCGATTGGTAATTCCTTATGGCTGTGAAACGTCATCGTCTGTCGGGTTAGGGTTAGGGGATTCAGAAGTGTGATAATGTTCATTAATGTTCTGTTCGAAGTACAGAGCCGACAGCCCGCGTTTGGCTTGAGCGCTAGATGATGTTTCCAGCTTTTCTAGCCAATCAGAGGCGAAGGAGGCGGGACTTTCCCATGCTATCCTACAAAAAAAAATATTGCAACCGTGCTTGGAGTACATGCTAGCAACAATAAACCAATCAATGCTTAATGCACCTTACAATCCGGTGCACCTTATGTGTGAACAAAGACACATTAATTCACAGTGCGCTGTATAATCGCCTGAATAATACAGTACTTTAAATTAACTATTTGATGCTAAAAGATGATTGGTTGACAAGTGCGCTAACAAAAGAGTCACTGAACTTTCCATAACCGTGAGTTTCTGCTTTGATTCAACTCAAGACTCTGCTCTGTTGTGGATTACGCAGACCCGAGGGACCCTTCATGTTTTATCGGTGAGTTAAAAGCATGTTTTGATGAGACGAGTTGTGACATCGGTCCCACAGCTCCACCAGCGCCCACTGAGTGAGGCGATATTTTGGCTTCACATCACATGACGGGACGAGCTTGAGGCGTGCTGTCCATGTTAATACACAGTCATTGGGTCATGCCCTTGAAAATAGTAGAAAACTTGATGATGCCATTTCGTTTCATGAAAAAACAACAATTGGGAGGGTGGTGATTGAGGAAACATCAGGGGACTACCAAAGATATTAGGACTAATAACCTGGGAACCATGAATGATGATCTTTCCCATGGTTGTTGGGTTATTTTAGTCGGGACTAATGTGGTTGACAAAACAACCCAACTACCCATAAAGCAGGACTGCTAGCATACTAATGCAGGTTGATATTGTGGTTGTCTTCTCATGTTGCAGGTTCATCCACAGGAATATAAAGACTTTTGTCCTCATATGACTGTCATTGTTACCGAGCAGCCTTTCTTGCTTTATCTGCTTTGTAGGCTCCCACCGCCTCACCGCTTGCTGTTCCTGGATCTCACTGCCTCCTCCGCAGCCCTCTGCTCCCAGTCTGTGGTGTTCTGGGTTGAAGAATGTCTGGCTGGAAGATGTGGTATTAAAAAGGCACTGTTTGTGGGTTTGACTATACAGTACGGCGCATATTTGTGCGAGTTTGTATGCATATGTGTGGGAGAGTATATGAGTGTGCAAACATGACGTTAACTCACAAGAGGAGACGGTGACACGTTTTCCCCCCGAGGACAAAGACGATGACCACTGCACATCATAAATCAGCTATTCCAACTTTGACACCGTGAATAGGCGTCGGAGAAAACGACCGGAAAGTGACCACGACCACTGTCACGACATTCTTTTGACATTTCCTGGACGGTCTCAGCCGGGCACAAGCGGGAAACCTCCCCTCGAACAAGAGTCCCCTCTGAGTGAGGAGAAAGGGGGACATTGTAGGCCAGGACCCAAAGGTCGTCATGGCTGTCAGGCTCGCGCTCCGCCTGGACTCCTGCTGACTCATTGCTGGTCCACCAAGAGGAGGACCAGGACTAATTTGTGTACGTCTTAGGCCACCATTAGTCAAACATTTGTCACGGTGCCCATTTAGGTGATGAACACGGGGAGAGTTTCTGTTCTCCAGACACACTCTGGGGCCCAAATGTGGATTTCTCAATTCCACTGTGACCCTGATGTGATTACATTTCCTTTGCCTGCTGGGTTTCCCTGGTCTCAGATTCTCTACAGAGTCTTTCAGAGTGGCGGAGGCTGCGTCAGAGGAGCCGTCGACCTTTCACTCAGCTGATACCAAACTGTGCTTGAGGGAAACTCCTCCTGCAAAGAAAAGAAACTGAAAAAAAAAAGGTATTTTTTCTTCTATAGATGACTATCTTAGACATGAATGCTGATTGGCTGATGTTTGATCTAATCTCTTGTGTTTCTAAAAGTAGATGCTTGTCGGTTCACAATCACATCACTCCCCAACCAACAGCTGACTAAGCTCTAAGACTCAAGGACCTCTGAGTTTCTGTTGGAAAACTTTGTTTTAAAACTTAAACTTTGAATTAATAATAATAATTCAGACCTACTTTGAGAAAAATTCTTATTTATTTACCATTTTTTGCACTTAAACTACAATTCCTGACCTTCTTGGGGTCATTATTAATTCTATTTTCTCTGCTTTTGTTTTTCCATTTTGAACAGGTTACACCAGGCTGCAATCTCTAGTGTTTAAAAATCAAAACAGCAAAAAACTGCAGTTCTTTGAGTGTCCAATCTGGCTACGAGCCCAGGAGACCCGATTAACACCCACATTAAAATGGCCAACTTTACAGCAGCAAATTGCCCCTTGAGGGATTAATAAAGCTGTTTGAATTATACCGAGCGCGTGTTAAGAGCCCGGTTCAAATAAACAGTTGAAATCTCTCTGGCTCATTTCTTTACACTTAGAAACTGTGGATATTGGTGAATGTGCGTCCATTAAGATAATGCAAAAGCACATTATATATACATAAATGTGTATGGTTATGGTTGTGGCTGGTTTGACTTGCAGATGAATGCCAGCTCCACCTCTTTGTCTGTGTTCTGGGTTGACAGGAAGTTCATTGAATCATTGCCTAACTTCCAATATGGTAACCACCACCAATGGGCTCCAAAGACCTCCTTAGAAACCAATGCAGGACCTTTTCTGTCAAGCCAACAAATCAAATCTAAAAGTTTATCACTTTTTGAACTTAGACCCAAGTTTTCATGAGTCATCCTGTGAGAAAATATCAACATACAGGCATCATAAGGTACATAAAGGCATATGTCTGTCCTTGAACAACCTGGCTATCAGTTTCATCCGGCTCCCCCAACAAACATAGGCTGTCCCTCTCTGGAGAGTCATTAAACTGATGGCTTTTTTTTTTTTATTAAATCTCTGTTTCTCATTGTGAGCCATGTTTTTGCTGTTCACCTAGAATAAAAAGCTTGGGTTGAAGTGAGATTGATTACAGTTATGATTTAGCTTCTGCTTCTTAAAGGTACAGCGTGTGGTACATTGGTCGCTCACGGTGGCTTTGTTAGATGTTTTGGAAGATCATACTCATGTGTTGACCCTCGAAGGCCACCATCGCTTCACTGACAAGGTAGCATGTAATCTCTGACTCCTTTTGAAGAGGTAATTTGGAGAATCATGTTAACTATCAGATTCTTAAACTTCGAGAACACCATGAACATGCTGTGTGAATATGTTAAATAGCTGCTTCTGCTTTACGATCCTGGCATTGTGGATTTTGTTCTTCGTCCCGGCAAGATGGAAAGAAGAAAACCACCGTGATGCTATTAGCAACACCTGTGGTTTTCCTACAATGAAAAATCTGATTTCCTGGAAAAAGTCTGACGATCAAACTTTGCGGTCTCCCGAGTTAATTGTGCATTATGTGTTTAAATTGGACTTCTGGGATTCTTGTTTACATATCTTATAAAGGTCAGCGAGACCTAAAGGGCACGTTAGATAAATATGCAATAAATCAGCAGTAAGTGAGACAGTTTGTGGCTGTTTTGGGACGTCATGCTTTTACTCATGCTTAGTCACTGCCCTTTAAAAAATTATGAGCGGCGTATTCAGTACAATAGCATTGTAAACAAAGTAAACAATGGTTTGATCCCCTTAAAAGAAACCACAGGGTCATGTTTTATATGGAATATTACAGTGAGGGAGGTTACGTTACCCTGAGGCAACGTCCACTTTAGAAAAAACTTTAGCTGAGTCTAGAGGCCAGTTAGTGTTTTAAACTGGTTTGTACTGTCAGACCAGTTTGTTTGCTCTGAAATAAGTTAATTACAGCTTGAACAGTGGCTGTATTAATTCATGAAAACCCTAAGATGTTGGCGACCTTCACTCATTTCAACCTAAGACCCTTATTTCTATATAAATGTCTGAAAGAAATTAGCCTCGGTATTTTTGCACTCGATGGTCTTAAAAAGGACTTCATTCATGTAAAACCCATGACCATAAAGTGAGCAGAGGAGAATCTGACCAATAAAACCTGTGTCTTGTAACATAGTGGTACAAGTATAGGAGAAATACAACATTAGCAGTGACTAATTAATGTTGGTTTAATGGTTGGTTTCTTTATTGATTGATTTATTTGGATTCTAATTAGCTACTACCTAAGTAGCAACTACGCTTCCTGGGGTCTGCAAGAAGACAGTAAACATTTATATAGATTAAAATGATAAAAGTCCAAACAGACGAATTATACAAGATGTTAAAATTATGATGATTTTACATTTCCAATTACATTTACTCGTCAAAATATTAGGAGTCACAACCAAGTGTGGTCAAAGTTTTAAACTGAAGTAAATGGTTGTTGGAGTATTCCTTGGATAATATGCAATTGTTGATTGGCTTAATCAGTGATTGCATACAAATGTGTCTCATTTGAAAAAGAAAAGCATGATTTTGTTGTGTGACAACAGAGGAGGAGGCTTCCAGAATGTTGGGTCCTGGAATGCTGGGAGGACCTTAAAGAGACGGTACCTCAAATGAAGCCATGACTAGATCACTGTCCTTATCCCAGTTTACAAGTACTTAGCAAAAATCAGATTACTGACAGAGACATGTCCCTTTTCACCTTGTTACAATTAAGTTGACTCCTGGTTGGTCTGTTCTATATCAAAACAATCAACAAAACATGTTAGCAAGAGGCTAACTGGATGCACGTTAAACGTTCAAAACACCGTCACATTTACAGCTCAGTACTGTTTCTTGCACGATAGGAAAGTTTTGTCTTTTTTAAGTCCCATTTTTTGTCTGTTGTTTTGTTTATTACCTGGTTTCCAAGCAACACATCCGTGCCATTCGACTTCTGGCTCAAAGCCTGGTGAGTAAACGCTAGGGCATGCACTGGTTTCAGTCTGAATAAGCCTTATACATGGAAGAGAAAATCAATTCCCAACTGCATTATCCAGGTATGTTCGTCCAACTATGAGAAGTTTGATTTAGTGTGACTTCAGTCGGACTAAGTTGATTTTTTAACATGTTAAGTGTTTTTTTTTTAGCTGTAAATCATGTAAAGTTAGCACAAAACTATCAGAAGACTAATATAAAAAATTAGCATGGTTTCCTCTATATGACTCAATATTCTAAGTATTTTCAGATCAGCAAACGTTGGCCAGCATGAACTAAACTCAGCAGTGAAACTCAATAAGGTTTAAACAAAACAAGACTTATTTTTATTTCACTGCCTCACCATGAAGTTGTAAAAAATTCCTGTTTCTTCTGGCTTTTGATTGCCCCTCTGTAAACAGACTCACACACACATTTTGGTGGGAAAAAAGGGTAACAGGCCAGAAAAGATAAAAGTCCCACTGAGCATTTTCTGGTCTAAAAGAGGTCCAATAGACGTCTACATATTGCCTAGAAGACTAGTCTAAAATCAGGCTACCACAGGTCCAGAAATTTACCACGTCTAATTTTAGACCAAGTTTAGACTAGCCGGCTAACAGAGGTCTAACTGTATATTGCTCAATGGCTATCATAACTATTTTGGTTAAGTACCTGGAGTTCAGTTATGCAACTCACAGTTGCTTTTTGAAATAAATAGTTATTGAATAACGGGTTAAAGTGCAACATCTAAATTCAGTCTAAAAGCATAAAAAATCCAGACACAGTATAGGGCCAATTTCCCCATCTACGCCAGTAATACAGTCTTTAAGTTTTTACACGCTAGCACCTGTGACGTGGGCTGCTTTGTACTCACTGTTTTGTAGTTGTTGGATGATGCTTCTTGATGGTGATTGCAAGCGGTGGGATTTGTTGTGATTGTCAAACAAAGTTTCAATCAAAACGGGGGCGAACAAGTGAAACAAAACAGGCTCCTGACAACTTAAACAACAAGGTTTCAAAACAAACACGCGCTGAATAAGGGTTCAAATAAAGCTCAAAATAATTCTGTACAGTCTTTCTTTCGTTTGTTCAAAAATACGCACTGTGAATGCGTAGGTGCGGTGCGTCGCGGTTGAGAATCTGTTTCTCCACTAGTGGCGTCGAGCCACGCACAGCTGATGCTTGATTAATAGAAAATCATGGTGCCATTTCTCAGGTGGCCAAAGGGGGCGACATTTCACCAAAATATAAACTAAACTGAGAATGGCTCCAACACACAAAATGCGAAACTTTAGAAAATTCGACCGTGATCCGAAAAAATAAATGCCGCAATATCGCAGGACGGGAAACGTCGCTGATGTGAACGCTTGTATTGACAGGATATGGGTTTTAAAAAAAAAAACATTGACATCCGAAATAATCGCATGAAAAAAAACGCTCCCGGTGTGAAAGGACCTTAATAGCCGTCTATTGCTCAGCGGGGTGCTGTCAATAATCTTAATTGCTTAAAGATGCAGCCATGGAAACTACATTCAGATCTTTCAGTCCAACTGATAATTAATGAACATAAAGAAAAGATTACGAGTCAAAGAGTCGGAGGATAATAGCACTTCAGTATCCAACCATTTACCATTTTTACAAAAGGGTTTTTGTGTGTGGAAACAGTGTATTTCTCAATGAGATAAAAGGAGAAAAAAAAAGTATTTTAGGGTTTGGTAACCTTTCCTGTTACTGTCAGTGACTCAACAGAGGTCCTATGGTGAAAAGAGTAAAGCAGAGACCTGAGGCAAGGAAAGAAACAGAGTGAGTGATTCAGTGAAAGTGAATGGGCCTGACTCCCCTACCAACCCATCACTGAAGAGGGGGAGAGGTTGAACAGAAGAAGAAAAAAAAAAGGAAAAGGACTGAGAGAAGGGAAATGACTGGCGACTGTGTGGGAAGAGAGAGAGAGAGAGAGAGAGAGAGAGAGAGAGAGAGAGGGAGGAGGGGCCTAAAAAGTATGAACTTGTGTATGATTGAGCTGCAGGAAGCATTAAGAGGAGAAAGACTGCAAACAGGGCGCCGTACGCTCACTCTTTACGCCTTTGCAGAGGACGAGTGGCCTTATGGGTCCTCAAGAGGGACTTTTTTCCACCGGGTCACACTTTTTCTCCGGCGCTCCTTCACTCCTCTAACTTTGTCTTGTGAATAAAATCCGAAGCACTCAGCTTGAACCCGGGCTGTTTTTTCCTCTTCCCCCTACTGTGCGTAATTTCTCTCCTGGATCGAAAAAAGAAAGGCGACATCACAACAACACGCGGACGAGGGATCAAGACAAGAAATTGAAGAGTGTGGGGAAACATGAAAACCGTCTTGGATATCTGCTTGGTTTTCCTCATGCTCAACACCCCCGGCGTGCTGTCCCTGTCCACACGTAAGTTTCACACAGATGTCCAAATCGATGCGCAAAAAGTCTGATCCCTACTGTGGGGAAGGGTTCGGGTTTGAGTTCGGGGTTTGCTTCTGGTCAAGCAGGTCCAGATTAACCAGGTGTCATTTGAGGATATTTCCGTAAACAGCACTGTGACACTGTGTTAGTCTTGTATGCATATACTTAGACTGATTTTTTTCAATATTACAACACATTTAAGCAGGTTAAAAGTCAATGCAACCTAAATTTACCTAAACTAGAAACCTTTACAAGACCATTAAAGGGATATGAGTGATATCAGATAGTAATAAAAAGCTAGTTTTAGGAGGATTAGTAAAGGCAGACATCATAGAAATACTCTCAAGAACCATTAAGTGTTGTGATATGGATGAAAACACAATTTTAAGAGGGTTTCACAAACATCAAAGACAAACTGAAAGAATTATAGTGATGCTAAAATAAACAATAATACAAATTTTGAAGTATTATATAATAGATGAACTAGAAAGCCTTTACATGCCTGCTAAAATAATATTAGTGCTTAAACACCAGAAACAAACATCACAAAAAGTGCATTTAAAATATCTCATAGAGGACAGGAACGCTACAAAGAACACAAGAAAGACTAAGGGCCTTTAATTTGACTATTAAAGGATAAAAATAGTGTTTATGTGTCAGTACAAATACTTAAATATTGGGGCTCAAACAAGGTTATTAGAGTGAGATGATTTATGAACTGGTTGCTGTTTTGTCAGTCCAAATCAAGCACAGGACTGTAAATGGCTATAATGAAAATATTTAAGTGATCTAAAAGTTTTTTGGGGCTCTTGGCTAAAAAGAAAAACACCTACAATCAAATATTAACTAAATATAATGCAAAATCAGAGGAGATAAGTAATTAGAAATGATTAACTGCTTCGTTTATAGTTAAAATAATGGATGAAAATATTCCTAAACCCTGCAGAGAGAAGCAAAGAGAACAGGGTTTCTGAAAGAGGTCAAAAGCAGCGTAATATAACCCGAATCTCAACTTACAATTCACAGAGATCTGGAACTGTGCTGAAATATGTTCAAATGCAAGATGTCCCCACAGACTCTTCCCACATTTCCTTACATAATATGGACTAACTTGCTCGTTGGATACTGGACACACCGAAGAAGTACAAATGCCACTTTGTCCACCTGACACCTCTTGTTATTGATGCTCTTCTGCTGAAGTATAGCTGTTGTATCCCTGCAGAGAAAACCCATCTCCCAGGAGGCTGAATTTCAACAAGTCGGGCCATAATTCGTTTAACACATGGAGGGCGAGGGGCGGGGAGGGGGGGGCTTTACGGACCGCAACAAAACAGTGACATCACTTGCTCGGGTTTTGGAGAATGTTAACCGGCAGCTTAATGCACAGTAACATAAATAAATCAAAGTTATGTGCGCTTCCCTGTTTAAGTGGCCCGGATTAGTTTTTATGGCGAGCTCGCTGGCAGAGAGCAGCTCCTCTGAAAGGATCCTCTGTTATTCATCCTGTTTGAAAGGCACTAATAAAAGAAAGTGTAGTTTCAGGGGCTTAGAGGAGACAATGGGCTGTGATCCCGAGCTGCCCTGCTGTTTATTACAGGGCCTAATTGGTCGTTACTGTTTTATTCGCTGTAATAATGAAGGGTGCTTCCCCTGCTCTCTCTGTGTTTTGTGGTTTGCAGATGCCACTAAATTAAAACACTGTAAATGTGGAATTCTCCTGCTAACATGTAATTAGTTTTTAGTGCAACTCATAATTTTGAGTTTATTTATCCTTTCAGTGCATAAAAGAGATGATAATGCTGCATGTAAGTGTTTTACTCTTTACTGCAAAAAAATCTCAGTATTGAACTCAAAATTGCATCCGTCAAACACGTTAAATGTAAACCAAGATCAGAAAACTTACAAACATGGATCTCCCGACTGCATGGCTCATTGTCGCTAAATGTTGCGTGACTTCTTCTACTGGCCTCTCAAAACGTTCCACATGCACGTCTATTGTGGAGCAGACAGAGCAAAGCATGAGTTGTCTTTAAACTCCTGCATGGATGAGCGAAGGATAAATAACTCTTTTCAGAAACAGGAGGGGGATGTCGCGCAGCTTTTTGACGACTGACGGTGTTAAAGAAAAGTGTTTTGAGTCCACCCTCAGCTCCATCTTCTATTATCAGAGCTGTGCTACAAGCAGCCTCTCCAAACAAATAACATTTACAAGCCATTTCCTCCAGTGAGCGTGTCAAGTAGAGACAATAAACAGCGGTAATTTTGTCTTTCACTGTAGCGTTTGAACTGTTAAATTCAGGGTGTTAGGGGGGCGTCACAGTCCTCCACAAGTCCCCCCTCAAATACATAAACACTGCTTGTTATTCAGCTGGATCAGCAGCACATTACAAGCTAATCACAGCCCGACATATCCGGTAACAAAGAAAGCTGCCCTCTGTGCGTGTGTTGCATGTGTTTGTTTGGGTTCATGTGCGAGCATGAAGTGTCGTGTCAGAGTTATGATATGAAAATCAATGAGGAGGTGCTGCTGGATGAACTTCTTCAAAAGGCAGCTCCTCCATGTGAGTGTGAGAAGGATGGCAGCTGAAAAGATGCGGCCCCCGGGCGAGGATTTGCAGTGGTCTGACAGAGTGTTTTTATGCCCTTTTCTGCGCAGACGTAATCTAACCGGAGTGTTTTTATTAGGTAGACATCATTACTTCAAACCTCTGCTCTCTTAAAGTCATCTTTTCTGTTTACTGTCATAATATTTTCCGAGCAAAAAAAAAAGGTCTTCTTCAGTCACTCCTTGTTTGTTATTGAGAACAAATGTTTTTTTCCAGTAGAGACCTGTAAATAAATTACACAACAACACAACGAGACATGTTAGTTACACATAGCTGTCATCACCCTCGGAAACAAGAAGGGACAACATTCACAGATATAGTTTTTTTTAAGTTTCGCTGCAGGACTTTCTATTTTACAGAAGTCTGTAATGATAAAAAGTGACAAGTTAGAAAATAATAAGTAAAGCTGCTGGAATAAAAATCACAAAAATGAAAATTGAGAATTTTTAAGAAGCTCTAAGAGATAAATTTGAATTTCCACCAAAAGTGAACCTGAAGACACATCTTTAAGTAGTTTACAGAATAATATCTGTTTAAATATCTTAAGTATTCTTTCTGTTTTTATTGTTTTTCTCCTGAATTAGATTTTCCAAGAGCATTTTCAATCTTAAATGCAACATAATTAAATGCAAAATGCTTAGAAAGAGGTAAAAAGTGACATGTCAAGTCCTAAAAAGTTTCTATGTTTTAGTTTAGCACAGCCATACAGCTCTGGGATGAGCAAAGTTGATTTAAAAATCACTCATTAAGCAGTTGAGACGGCTCCTACAGTTCCCATAATGCACCTGTAAGAGCATCTCTTCGTAGAATCTTGAAAAAGCAGATTTGTAAAGTCACTCCTCTTCTCTTCTGTTTCTTTCAGATGTTGCTCTAATCTACCCTCAGGACCCCGTCCTCCGCATGGGGTCCAACTTGACCGCTAGCTGCTGGGTCCACCCCGACCTCGGCGTCCACGCCAGCTCTCTGTTCTGGACGCTAAACGGCCAGCAGCTGCCCAGCTCCCTGTACAGAGTCCTGAGCCCGACCAACCTGAGCGTGACTCTGGCGGGACTGAACGCCTCCAGGCAGACATCCGGAGACAACCTGGTCTGTCACAACCACAAGGGACACATCCTGGCTGGATCCTGCCTCTACGTGGGGAGTGAGTATAGCTTCATCAGGGTTATATGATTCTTCACCTTGATTTTATTTATGTAGAGACGATTTTGTTTGAAATGGAGAGAAAAGAAGGGTCTGTTAAGGAGTCAAAAGTTTGAGGGAAGGGGGGAAAGGACAAGAAAGCGAGAACAACAAGGAAGTAAAGGGCAGATTTTTAGTGTCCTAACACAGTCCGGCTGTATTTTATGTTTAGTATCCCTGCCTCCAGGCGAGTTAGAGGCCTCCTGTGTGGTCCATTACTCGCACTATCACTCATAGGGCATGGGTCACTTTAGACAGACACATGTTTGCACTTCTGTACTTATGAGGACCACCATTTACAGGATCTGTCATTTACAATAAAACGTATATTTCTGTTTTTCAAATGAACTCTCGCGGGTAAAGTCGTATTTTAACTGTTGTAACTCCAAATTTAGTAAATCCTCAAAATCGTACCTATCCAATGAGCTTCGTGCAAATCCGGAGAGAGTATTTACATCAGATTCTCTTGGTTAAAGCCAAACCAAGTGGTCTGACCTGAAGCTTTTGGACCCGAGTTGTGATAAATTGAGATTGTTTTGTAACCCAAACGACACACTTTGCCGTCTTTGTTTTTCTTTCCCCGCCGGTCGAATCCACAATAAGAGATTTCGAAGACTATAAAAGGTGTCGAGTTGAAAAATGTTCAAAAACTTTCAGAGGCAAAAACGTTGACCATAAAGAGAAACACGTGTTGTTGTTATCTCATGCAGACACAATCTTAGAGAGAGATGTAAGTGAGATCCTGATCTCTGGGCGACGCTGGTGTGTGGAGCACCTTGTGTTCTGAAAGACGGGGAATGTTGGCAGGGATCCTCAGAGCGAACACATACACACACACACACACACACACACACACACACACTCAAACTGATACACCAATTAAGAAAAAAACAGGCCATTTTCTGAGGAACATCACCAGTGGGTAAATTACACTCAGGAGGATGGGGCTGGAGTAATGGCAGCAGGTGACTTAGTAACCCTCCGTACCTTTTTCTTCCACCTCTTCACGTTGTTCTACCTTTTTTTACGTTTACCCATGTCTCTCACCCTTCTTTCCAATCCCTCTTTGGTCCCCCATTTTACCGTCTGCTCCTCTTTGTGTCCCAGTGCCTCCGGAGAAGCCTGTGAATCTGACCTGCTGGTCCAGGAACACCAAAGACCTGACTTGCAGCTGGGCTCCGGGAGGAAGAGGAGAGACAAACATTAGTACCCAGTACAGACTCAAGTACAAACTCAGGTATACACACACACACACACACACACACACACACACACACACACACACACACACACACACACACACACACACACACACACACACACACATATACTCCTGCTACTGTGAATTCAGTTTTTCTCCTCACTATAACATCTTAAAGTAAACTCTTGATGGAGTTACAGACCTGAACTTTTGGACATGAATGATCTTACTTGCACAACACCCCTCAATCAAATTCGAACCTTTCATTAACCATTACCCACCAAATATCGGATGTCGAAGAGACGGGCAGATCAAGTCAGTATTGGGTCAGTCCGTCAACGACCACATCTAGACGTCAGTGCAACGTGCAAAATAGGTTAGAAATTTAGACGTTAGAATTGGACATTTTTTAGACGTTGCTCTGAAGACCAAATCTAGATGTCGGCAAAACATGCAAAATGGATCCAAGATTTAGACTTCATTATTGGACCTCTTTTAGACGTACTCATCGTTGACAAAATACGTTAATAGATGTCATTCAGATGTCGCATTGCGCAGTGGGTACTGCCTTTGATCAACACTGACTTCTAATAAAATCATGAAATCAATTAGAAATGCCGGTGAAGTGTTTTTAGTTCAATAACTTCCACAGAGCTAAACTTTTATTACATCCCCTGCTGAGGGACTCAGACCTTGCTTCCTGTATAAGTCTGGCTAAACTTTAATAAGCCGACAGCAGAGCTAGTGAAAAAAAAGGAAGTTAGAGGCGACTCAAAAAGAAAGTAAAAAGGTCAGAGCTTTGTTACAGAATCTGTTGTGCAAAAGTGGCTAAAAAGTACAAACGGATCAGCTGCTTGGCACTGCCCTCCTTTCATTACTGTCGCTCGGCCTTCTTGCTGCATGTTTGCATTTTCATGACGTATAGCGGCGCATTAACCTCCTAAAATGCTTTATTATTTTACAAAAATGGTTCCCTGGTGACCTTTCAGACCACCTCATTATCAACCAAAGCTCATATAAGCTTTATGGGTAAAATAGTCCAGGACCCGAGGTCAACAGTTTAGCGGCGCTACAACACAGCATGATGAGAAACACTTCTGTTACAGACACTTGGCTTACTTTGTTTAAGTGTTTACCTGTCCAGCAGAAAGGTTACAGGGTCCGTAAGATCTCGAAGCGTCTCCCAAATGCTTTATTTTTTTTTTTTTTTTTTTTTTTTTTTTTAATACTTTATTTTCAGTTTTAAACTTTACAAAACTGTACGAGACAAACAACGGTAAAGAAACAATCAAAAACAATCAAAAGGGCTGCCAGACAATTGTAGTTTTACATGAATTTTCAGAAAAAAGAAACAGTTGCATCAGTTGAACCAAGTACCATCATATGAAAGATTAAGTCAGGTATCACACCTGACACTGAGCCAAGAAGGGTCCCCAAGTTCTCTCAAATCTGTTCGGGTTGTTGGGTTTGTGCAAGCGCAGTCTTTCCATTTGAATAGTCGACAACATCTCGTTGAGCCAGTGAGCAAAGGTGGGAGGAGTGCTAGACTTCCAAGTTAAGAGAATAATCTTCTTGGCCACCACCATCCCTAGGTTCAGGGCAACTTGAGTGTCATGCGGAAAATCAGAAGTCTCAGTCGAGCATCCAAGGATGGCCAGGACATGGTTAGGCTGAATGGCTCTGGAGTAAGCTTTGGACAGATGTTCAAATATAGCTGACCAATAGTTGTGCAACTCAGGACATGACCAGAAAAGATGCGCTAGTGAGCCCTCAGCAATATGACACTTATCACATGCAGGGGACACGGATGGGAAAATACGATTTAGTTTTGTTTTGGAGTAGTGCAATCTGTGCAACACCTTGTACTGAATTAACCTGTAACGTGAGTTAATAGAACAACAATGGACTTGGGACATTGCATGCTCCCAAAGTTCTGCTGATATTTCAGAGTTCAAGTCCCTGGACCACGCTTCCCTGATAAAATCAGAGGAAACTGACTTAGTAAATGAATCCACAAATTTCGATATTAACCGTTTGGATTCTGGAGGGAGCTGGAGGGTCTCAAGGAAGGGATGGGTGGTGGGGGTGGAATTGAGATGTGGCCAATTCTCCTTAACATAGTGTCTGACTTGGAGGTAACGAAAAAAGTGAGAATTCGGAAGATTAAATTTTTTGCTTAGCTGAGCAAATGATGCCAGTTGACCGTTGATGTACAGATCTGAAAATGTTTTAACACCCTTCTCCCTCCAGAGCGCAAACACTCCGTCCAACCGGGCAGGCAGGAAAGAATGATTTTGACATATGGGTGCGTGTACGGAGACACTGGGAACCCGGCACGCTGCTTTTATTTGCTTCAAAATGCGTAAAGAATTTTTCACGGTGAAGTTATGTTTAAGTAGTTTCACTACTGGGGCGGGGTCAGAAAACAAAAGTGCAGGAAGTGATGACATGTCAACCGCGGAGGCTTCCAACTGTAACCACAAAGGGTTCTCCTCTGGTTTAACACTTCCACCCTTCCAGTAAGAAAGGGCCCTGGAGTTGGCTGCCCAGTAGTAATGTTTAAAAACAGGCAGTCCCAGACCACCATTCCTGGAAGGTTTTTGAAGGTGAGCCTTAGATATCCTGTGTGATTTATAACCCCACACAAAGGGCAATACGATAGAGTCAAGCTTCTTAAAAAACGATGCATTTAAGAATATAGGCAAGTTCTGGAAGAGGTATAAAAACCTGGGTAGGCTCACCATTTTGATTGCGTTTACTCGGCCGATCATAGATAGGGGCAGTATTCTCCAGGACTCAATATTTGTTTTAAGTTTTTCTATGGATTCTGTAAAATTAAATTTGAAGAGATGCCCAGGACTTTTCGTCAGTTTAAGTCCTAAGTAGGTGAAATATTCCTTTGTCACTTTAAAAGGCAGTTTTGTCAAAAAATCATCCGTGAGTTGGTCTGTTAAGGGCATGAACTCACTCTTCCCCCAGTTTATAGTATAGCCAGAGATGCTCCCAAAGTCATTTATGTATTCTAGTAAGACAGGAATGGAAACCATGGGGTCAGCTAAACAGACAAGGAGGTCGTCTGCGTACAGAGTCACGCAGGTCTCAGTACCGCCTGATCTAATACCTTTAATATATGGATGTCCTCTAATACCAATGGCCAACGGCTCCAACGCTATATTGAAGAGCAGGGGGGACAATGGGTCTCCCTGACGGACGCCGCGTTGCAGGGTGAAAGAACCTGATCTGTCCCCATTCGTTAGAATGGAAGATTTCGGATTGCTGTATAATATCTTGACCCACTCTATGAAAGTGTCGCCGAATCCAAATTTTTTAAGTGTTGCAAATAGATAGGGCCATTCTATCATGTCGAATGCCTTGCGAGCGTCTAAGGACAGTAAAGCTGCTCTATCATCTTTGCTATAATCTGCATAAATTATATTAAGGATTTTGCGAACATTACAGAAGGAGTACCTGCCTGGGATAAATCCTGTTTGGTCAGGGTGAATAATACTTGCTACATTCTTCCCGAGCCGGTTCGCTAGAACTTTTGTAATTATTTTCAAATCGTAATTTAGCAGGGCAATAGGCCTGTAGCTGCCCGGGTCTGTTTCATCCTTGTCTTTCCCAAATGCTTTATTGACGTTGACCCGGCTTTTTACCTCTTGTTAGGTCTACCTTCATTTTTAACCGCCCATTATTCCACCAGAGTCTCCGTTATTTACTTTTTTTTCTTGTTTGTGTTGGCAGTCGTGGCCAAAGGAGGATTCAGACAATTTTCCGTACTTCCTGGTTGGTTTCTACTGTTCGATAATGTTGCACGCTAACTTTGTTTGGGCTCGTAAACGTTATTGGAGGACGTGGAACATGCCTCACAACCAATCGGCACTAAGGAGCAGCATCCGCCTCACAACCAATCAGGTTGGGGGAGGCAAAGAACGGCTTTGTTTACAGTCAGAAAGAGCGGGCTGCTCCAAAAATTTTAAATTTTGACTACTGTCAGACTGATGTCAGACAAAGGTTAAAACAGTTTTGTCAGCTAAAATGACAGCTGTCAATCTAAGAGTCGTTCCAGGTTTAGCTGAAAGCAACGTCACCCTGGAGAATCAGCTCCGACTTCTTAAGTTTTTGGTTAAGGGTTAAGGTCTGAGGGACTATCATCCACTGGTATGTTGGAAGCCGTTAGCCAGCCATGCTAATAACACAGTAGAGCTGACAGACAAGCTGATGAATCAAATCCTCTGACTTTTGATCGTGTATTTTGTTTTTTTAGGATTGGCATACATGAAGAAACCACATGTCAGACTTTGTAAAAACTCCAAAACCACCCCTACCACAGCCCCGTGGATGATACTGTAGAAACTGTTTTGCTAAACTGATGTTCCAGAGAGGTTAGCCAGAGGTCAGCTGATTATATTTTTGAACCCTCTCGCTTATCCTGATCACAACTGGAAGAGACGCACAACTATTAGGATGTAGATTAAGGTACCACCATGTAAATCAACCTTGGGGATCACGTGTCTCATAATGGTCTTCACTCAAAATATCAAAATATTTCAAAAGATGTTTCATGGTACTGTCACGCCTCAAAAAAGTAACAAAATAAATTTGAATCTGAGCTGGAAAGAGGACAAATATTTTATCTCTTTGGCAGACCTTCACCTTAAAATAGTCGGCGCAGCGGTTGCCGCAGGGCGAAAGCACTTTATCTACTGGAAAGCCAAATTTTATTGGAATTAGGGAGACGGGTTTTTCATCTGGGAACAAAACATTTTTGAAAATGACTTTCAGATGGGTTGTAAGCACTATTCACATATTTTAATAATTGAATCAGGGATTTTAAAAACACCAAAAGGGGAAATGACTTGACATGCAGTGCCCAGAGGTTGCCAACTGTATGGAAATTTCTTACGGCAGTCAGCCTAAATTTAAGTAATGACTAAATAAAACCACTCGTGCCAGATGAAGTCTTAACTAGAAACACATTATGCAATAAATTCTTTATCACATGAATTATTCAAGGATTACTGTTTTCTGTTTCCCACCAGATGGTACGGCAAGGAGAAGGAGTGTGAGGATTACACTCATACGCAGCCGTACTCCTGCAGCATCACCCGGGACCTGCACCTCTTCACACCCTACGAGATCTGGGTGGAGGCCTCCAACCAGCTTGGGCAAGCGACCTCTGATGTCATCACCCTGGACATCCTAGACGTGGGTGAGTGTGGGAAGAAGTGAACTTTGACACTCGTTTTTTTTTTCAAAGCTCTGTTTGTTCGGGCTTAGATCCTGGTGTCGATGAAGCCTCGGGCTGCAGGATGGGATGATTGATGGCAGCCTTTTTTAGACGTGCAAGGTATTAAAACAAAGCATACAACATCAATCTAATGGAGAGATAGAGAGATTATGTCACACCCCGAGAAAGAAAAACTGGACTCCTTATGTATTTGGTTGAGTTTTATACTTAGAAATATGACAACTTTAACAAAACACTTGAAATCAGAGTTTTGATTTGAACTTTGTCACTTAAGTGACTTTTACTGGAATATGATCACAAATAGAGACAGACTCCCCTGAGACTTTTGGTTGCAAAGTTCCCCATCGATTGACAAACTAAAAATAAACTGCAGTTGACAATTACACTCCCAAAGCAACGTGAGGAAGAAGAATAAGCAAACAAGAGTGATAGAAAACAAAGGAAGGTATAAGAGATAAGTACACCTTTAAATGATTTAAGCCCAAATGAGAAACTAAGTAAAATACTTATTTAAACAATCGGTAACCTGTTCTTTTTCGGTACACTTATTACCAGGTAATTACCTGGTAATTACCTAGTAACAACATGAAATTATCTGGTAATTACATGATAACTACTACGTCAATACTGTCTAGCTACCAGGTAGGTAACCTTCTGGTATTGCTCTGGTATTTCCAGGATTTTCTCCGCTTCCTGGAACCACCACTTGCGCAGTAGCATTGTACGCATTCGGCGGGTGAGTCGCTGTGATAATGCTCGGCTCAAACAGCGTATCGCTACGCAATCTTCGCACGCCCATGGGCTGTATCAAGTGTCAATCATAGAAATTAAGAACCTCAAATAAATTTTTAAAAATGGAGCTGCACAGAAAAAAGAAAAACTAGACAGTATTGACTTAGTAGTTATCATGTAATTACCAGACAATTTCATGTTGTTACTAGGTAATTACCTGTTGATTACCTGGTAATAAGTGTACCGTAAAAGAAAGGGTTACCAAACAATCAATCTGTCAGCTGGAAGAAATCTTTTTATAGACACTTTAAAGATATTTTAATATTTTGTTGATTTTCTGCGATGAATAGAGTATTTCCCATGAGCCCCATCGCTTACATTAAAGTGTGTCTCTGAATGTAATACAGATTTATTTATTTTTTAATGGATCAATATTGTTATAAAAGATTATTTTTCTGACTTCTCATCGCCAAACTCTACCAGCAGAGATTAAAACATAGTTTAGCCATTAAAATTCATTATGAAATAATAACCAATCTAATGGCTGATAATCCCATGTTGTTATACAGGGAATTAAAATGCATGACAAAAAAATCAAACAACTCGAGGAAATATGCCTGAATTCTTTCCAACCAAGAGATGAAGAAGATCGAAGCCGCTCTCATGTCTCTGTGTTGACTTATTAACAGCCACTCTACACATGAAAGTAACGCTTCCAGCACCTCATCAGTGTTTTAATTAACATGCTTTTACTTGTTGTCTACTAAACCGTATAAAAACTCAAGTGTAATGACAACAATTTGTGGTTCACAGAGGGGGGTTTGTGCCAGAATATTTCTTGGCTTGGAGCTTTAAAAACAATAAATCTAGTTTCATTTTCTATCTGTAGCTTTAAATTATAGATGAACAAAAGTGAGATGTTACAAGGTTGTATTTAAAGTCCTAAAGATAACAAATATACTGTATTTAAACAGCAGGTTGGTGTGAGGATTTTATTGATTTGTCAAAAACACAAAGTGACGTAAAGGTGAAAAAGGGTAAAACTGTGAGTTTGGAGTCCTTTTAAACCCTCAGGTTAAAAATCATGACTTACTTTAGCCTCCTTAAAAGTTGAATGAGATTATCGTTTCTCATGCAGGTGCTCCTGCAGTGAACTCCTCATAAGAGCTGAGCTATGTTTCCTTTTAAAGCTTTGTTTTGCGGTTCCTCGTCTAGCTTAGCGCGGTTTAAGCAAACCGAGCGCGCACCAGAAGACGGATGGAATTCTCCTCTTTTCTCGCTATCCTCTAGAGACGCACACTCACTCATACACACATGCACGCACACACCTGGACAGACATAGGTGTGCGAAGAAATGGAAACGCCCTCCCTTTTGATGAGCTCATTTTCTCTTTACTCATGCTCACTGGACACACACACACACACACACACGCAGAGAAAACACTAGCTAACCCCTTTTATGTAGCGCTGGAATGTTCCACACTGATCCCCGAACCTAATCCTGTCTCTAAGCCGGCTGCAGACCCCCGAGGACAGGGGAGTCTGGGCTTTGAGGCTTTGAGACTTGGACCTGAAATAATAAAACATGATTAGCTCGGAGCTCCTCACCTGGTTGACTCCTGACACGCTCCGAACAGTGTGTGGGAAATGTACCGAGGAAAAACCATGTAGGTTCAGGGAGGGGGGGAAACACCAGGGGTGAGGAGACAAGCGTCCATCAAACTCTAATCCTTTTCTGTTCCCTAATGTATGCACACACACACACACACACACACACACACACACACACACACACACACACACACACACACACACACACACACACCTGTTTACACACCCTGAGGGCAGGGCAGGGCCTAGTAACCGTATAGAAACACACAGCCGGGCAGATCGTAGGCGGTTTCTGGACTCGTGTGTGTGCATTTTGTTTCGCTCAGGTTGCCCTGGCCATCTTTGAGCAGTTTCCACAACAGTGGCGGGTCATAAAACACAGCAACCACACCTCGCGTCAGGCTGCCATGAGTCACGTCTACGGTCATGTCTAATCAGTTACGAAGGCGAGGCGGAAACACCTACAGTTTTCTCTGCATTCCTCAGTCAGGGGGGAACCCTCTGAACCAGGAGACTAGAGGCAACTTGTATTAGTGTCTGACTGGGAGATGATGATGTGATGAGGAATGACACGGCATATGTTCACCGTGATTCATCAGCAATTTGTCATGTTTCGCTGACTTTTATTGCCGATGCTTGTCATGTAAAAGAAAAACACTTTGCCTAAATCAGGAGACGAATAACTCTGCCCCCGATGATAAATGTCATCCTCATATTTTTCTTTTTTGTGCTTTTACTCGGTGGGGAGAGCAGCAGCAAAGACCCTGATTTTACACTGATTTTAGAGGAGGGGGAAAAGAGGAAAGGAGGAGGACTTCATCACTTATTTATCATCATTATAAAACAACATATTAGTCACCCAAATTTTACTTGATTGATCCCAGATTCAATATTTTTTAACTTGTAAAACCTTCACACAGGCACTTGGTTCAAATGCTTTAACCCATTTCAACCAGGACAGCATGTAATAATAATAATAATAATAATAATAATAATAATAATAATAATAATAATAAGAGATTTTATTTGTAATGCACTTTACAAATCTCAAAGTGCACAACAGAAAAAAAAACAATAAAAAAAAAAAACAGTAAAATCAAGCAACAGGGCAAAACGATAAAAACAGTCAGCAGATAAAATCAGATAAAATTAGTCCGGGTAGGCTTTCAGAAAAAGGAAGGTTTTGAGTCCTTTTTTAAAAGCATCCACCGACTGTGGAGCCCTGAGGTGGTCGGGGAGGCCGATGGGGAGCAGCAGCCTCGAAGGCCCTGTCACCCATGGTACACATTTCTACTCGCATTTCAGGCCAAGAGCGCAGATATGTCATTTTATAGAGACTGTAGAGTCTTTACTTTTATTTATACAGCTGCTTTATTTCATTTGAGTTTGTTTGTTCAAGGTTTTCAATAATGTGATGAAGGTTAGGAAAATTGGGGACAGTTATCAAGAAAGCCACATGTGTAAGCTCTCAGATACTTTTTGAATTTTGTTTCTATCAGCTACAGAGGCCGAGATATCAGCTTTTTTGTGAACCTCAACACTTTGGGATCTGGGGGTCCTTCTCAAAATTGCCCTCATGATTTCAGAGGTGCGTCTCCGACCAGGTTCAGGTCTTAATGGGTTAATTTTGATTTTTCATTTGTATAATCCTGATTATAGCGTTTTCCTCCCCCGTCCTCGGATCATTTAGAAAAGTTTTTAAACTTTCATTCTCACTTTTTCCCCTCGATATTGATTACGAATCCTCTCCTTTAATGGCTGACTGTGCGTGCCACCAAGTCAACTTCTCTCCCCGCTGAATCTTTCTGATTTCCATCTCTCCCCTGGGTCTTTATCTTTGTTTATTAGTCAGAGATCACATTATGAAAATCAAATCAAGTTGACGCTGAAATGATCTTAAGGACCAGAAGAAAAGAAAAGAGAGTAAAAGTAATGGTCTGTCACCATGTGTTTGTTTGTCGAAAACATAATGGTTATCAGATGAATCGGCCTCTTCAGCCGACTTTCAGAGGGTTCAGAGACCTACAAACCTCCGCCAACACACAACAACCCTGCTCTTACACATTAAGACATCACTCCTACTACTTTAAATTGGGATTGAGTGGATTTCCTGACCCTGTAAACGCGACTCTGAAATGTAGCGAGAAGCCCCTAAGCTATGGATTTTTGGCTTAAAACGATAATTTAGACCATCTGTCCACCAGAAGTGTATCACACAGTTCTTAGGATAGAAATAAACTTGTTAATGAATGTAATAAATTTAAAAAATACCCCAGTGTGTGCCTCTAATTCAAGATGTTGGACTGATTATAACATCAGATCCACATTGACAACACTTCAGGCAATGTCAGACACGCACTGGTTGATGTTTAAAGGAATGACGGCCAACGTCCCGGTACTTAAAGTGAAATCTCAGAAATCAGAGATAGAAAACCTTGAGTCGACATCTTTGTTTTATCCATGAGCTTCATTGTTTACAGTCTAATTGTCCCTACACACCGGGAACGATGCAAATATACAACGCGAAATTACGAAATGTTCGGAAGACACGTCCCTGGTAGAAGCGAGAAGACTGACACAACGCCAGACTGAGTGTTTTTCAGTTCTGATTAGACTCTAGTGTTGAGATTACTGTCTGTCATGATAGCATGTACTGAGTCGGGGCCAGTACCAGATAAACACATTAAACTATAATCCATAAACGTAAGGTAACAACCGAGACCTAATGGTGCTGTGACAGCAACGCTGTGATTGAGTTTGAGTCAGTGAAAATACATATGGTATGTTGTATCTGAACAGGTTAGCTTACAAGCTAAAGTTACTTAGCACAGATGAAAGTTAAAACAAAGACGTTTAGCATACTGTTAAAGCACACAAACCATCGCCATATGACAAATCCGACGCTTTGACTCTCCACAAGTTGTCCTTCAGGTCGTTATCTTTGTAATGTTTGTGTCTTTTATCAAAAAGCACTCTGTTCTCCGACACGTAAAGAATTAGCCGGTCGGCCATGTTGGATATACCGGTGAATCTGACGTCGCAACAACACCTAATCTGATTGGTCAGAAGTGGACACACAGTATGCAAAAGTTTAGAAAAATCGACCGTGATACGAAAAAATAAATGCCGCAGTATCGCAGAACGGGAAAATGTCGCAGATGTGAACGCTTGTATTGACAGGATACAGGTTCGGAAAAAAATATTGACATCCAAAATAATCGCACGAAAAAAACTCACCCGGTGTAAAAGGACCCTAATAAGAGTTTATATCTAAGCAAGGTGAAATTCGCCCCTCTGGATCTGTAATGTCAAAGAATCGCATTATTTGTTGGCGTTTCCCTGTAAATCACGTTGCGCTCTGCCTGCTTTTGCTCTCCATACAGACTGTTTTTCCTGCTGATGCACCAATGGTCAAAATGGACTACAAATGTATCCCAAACTGAAACCAGATAATTTCTATCCCCATAGTGCAACCCTACATGTAATGATGGAATTTGTCAACAAAGATCATGTTTTGTAAAATTACATACAGCCGCTCTTTTGCAAACACTCAAAAACAATCAAGATGCTGTGATCCAGATTGTCGGAGCGTCCTGATGTCTTTCAGCTCCTCGGTTTGGATATCAGACTCAGAGTTTTAAAGCTTTGGTCGACTCTAAAATGCTTTCATCAACCTTATTTCAAGAAGCTCCATGCAGCTGTTTTTAATGAGAAGACTCATAAACATCTGTTTAGTAGGAGCAGTAAAGAGCAGGCAGACCGAGTGAGCGACGAGCTGCTGAACACAGCGGAGTTAATATAGCAGAAGACACATGGCTCCAAATGAACGGTGATGTGTGAGAGTAACTATTGTCAAAGAACAAAATGGAAAAACAAAAACAAAACTAAATGGAAACTTGACTCATAGTTTGAATTTTATTCCCATATTTTATGTGAGAAATAATTATCAGAATAGTCACTTATTAAAGATATCCCCAGCTGCTGCTCTTAAACTTCAGATGACTTTTTAATATCTCATCAAAGCAGAGTTGATTTTGGGGTTTTCAGACTTTATCAGTGATTTTTTTTACAAACTTAAAGCTCCTGTGGGAATTTTTTTTTGTTTTTGTTTTTTTAACAATTGTGAAATAGCAAGAAATTTAAATTGATGCATTTTTATGATATCTAGGAGCAACCAGGACTGTCAACAACATGATTGGTGATTTATAATTTTGAGAGCCTGAAATCAGTGTGAAGGAGTAGGTGATAATTGCAAATAAAAACTACATTTGAATCATCAGGATGAGGTTTGTTTTTGTCAGAAGAGAGTTTAAGAAAGATGATTTAAAGCTCATCATGGATCAGATGTCAGCGTTTTTACCACTGGAAAAATTAACCTTGGAAAAATACAATTGTGCTCATATCTTTCAAGATTTTTGGACTCCATTGTTTTCAGAATTAGAGAATTTCTTTAGGAGGGACCGATGACTATTTGTGGTTTGGTAGGTATGCATTTGTATGTGCATGTATGTGGATATGTTCACATGTGTGGCCTATATTTATGCACATTTGGATGGAGTTCATTAATGTTATTGTTGCTGCCTTTTTCTTTTTTTAACTTATTTGTTTGTTTTTTGTTTACTTTTCTTGTTTTCTTTCTTTTTAATGTGCTTGTCTGATTCTGTGCTCTTTATTTGTTGGTATATAGATATGTTTTTTTGTTTTATTTTATTTTCTCTTTTTCTTTCTGTTCTGCGTCCCTGAGGAGTGATGGGGAGGGTAGGAAATTATGTGGTTAAAAAAACAAAGCAGACAATTTATTTATTTTGGTTGTTATATTAATATGAAATAAAAAAAATGTAAAAGAAAAAAAAGTGAGTCCCCTGTGGACTGCTTAGTCCACAGGGGGTGCAAAAATGAGCACAAACCAAAAGTTCCTCACAGGAGCTTTAAAGTTTGATGGAACCACCTTTTTTTTTTATTAATCAGCTCAAACAATCTTTAAAATGTGAGAAAAAATTTGAAGTTATCTTTAATTTTTTTAAGAGCCCAGAATGATGTTAAACAGTCTTAAAACTAAAGATTATTTTTAATAGAAGAAGAGGAGGAGGACGAGTTTATTTTGAGTATTTCAATGTTGGCTTCTCCTGATACTTTCATGATTAATAATTAATAATGATTAATAATCTTCTCCATGTTCTGTTCCTTCAGTGACCACAGACCCTCCATCAGGTGTGACGGTCAGCCGCGTCGGGCTGTTGGAGGACCAGCTGAGTGTTCGCTGGGAGGCCCCGCCTGCTCTCAAAGACTTCCTCTTTCAGGCCAAATACCAGATCCGCTACAGACTGGAAGACAGCCAAGACTGGAAGGTAAAGGACAAGGACACACATAGTTATGAGGACGTAAATCTTTTCTCTTTGTCTCTCTCTCTCTCGCTCTCTCGCACACACACATGCAGATATATCAGCGCAGCACTGTCCCAGCTGTTTCTCATCCTAATGCTGTAATCTGCTCTAATCTACTCTGATTGAGGCCTCCTCTGCCAGATGAGTTAATAGCTGGGCTGTTCAAAAACTTTCATCAGTCATAAATCTACCAGTCAGGGTTTTGATCAGGAGAAAAACACAGGCCGGAGCCACTGTGTATACCTCTGCTTTAACTTTTAATGAATGAAAAATACAGTGTAAAAACCTTCAGCCACGCAGATGGAGCTTCCCAGAATTCATACGAGTCCTCTGGGTACGAGTGAAGATTCTCCAGTAATTAAGGGGGAATTACACAGATGTAACATAAGCAAGTCTTTGCTCGCAACGTGGAAAAAAGAAAAGACGGGGAGTGGAGCGAGGTGGCGGAGGGATGAGACTTAAATCCGAGTGGCTTTAAGGGTTTGGTGGTGAAAACAAAAACGCTGTTTCCCTCTGAAGCGGCCCTAATCATGAGGTCATGCTAAGGAATGGAGGATACATCCCCGCTGTTAATGTCTTCAATATGGCTGCAAAGACACTCAGAGATTTGGCTTCCTCGTGTCACATCATTAGCCCTCTGATGCCTGTAATTTTCGTGCTCTGTTTTCTGTTGTAGTCCTTCTTAACAAGTGTTTACAGACCCAACGCCAGAGAGAAAGTGGAGACTATCAGACGACATTATCAGCTTCGCTTTCTGTCTCGATTCCCCCGTCTTTATTTTCACCGTCTGTCTGAGTGTTTGGGTACCTGCGCACGCTCCTGTGTGGCTTTCTCAGCATATCCAGCGCTGTAATAAGTAATAGAGAGCAGATTTTACCCAGCAGGCACCATTTTCATGAAAATATTTTTATAAACATGCTGATCAGGAGCCACTAAACAATGTGGTGTGCATGCGATGTTTAGGTCTGTACGTGGTTTGCGGTTTTGTTGATCCTGCCCTTTGTTTTACTTTTTGCCCATTGGTATTTAATACTGTGGTCGGACCTCCAGCGCTCAAATCCTTTGTGTTTGTGTCTCCTTTTTTTCGCCTAGGTGATGGATGACGTAGGGAATCAGACATCTTGTCGACTGGCCGGACTGAGACCCGGAACCGTGTATTTTGTCCAGGTACATTCTCTTCCTTTGACGTGATTCGGTCGATGTTTGCGTATTTCCTGGTTATGTATATTCATGTATTTTCCTCAGGTTCGCTGCAACCCTGTGGGCATTTACGGCTCTCGTAAAGCCGGGATCTGGAGCGAGTGGAGCCATCCCACCGCTGCATCCACACCCCACAGTGGTGAGAACACACACACACACACACTCGGACTAGTTTTTCCCTTTAAGACAGTTTTAAAGGAGTAGTTTATACCACTAAAATCTGTTACAGATTTTTGGCTCGCCACAGAAAAAAGCATAAGTTTTCTCAGTGACATCTGAAGGTTTATAATTTCCTGCCCTCAAATGTAACCCAGTTGATACGTAATTGTTTTGAGTTCCAAAATAAGCATTAGTAAGATATTAAATCTTTCAACTACAATTCAAGTTGCCATGATGGGATGATTTAGAGACGGAGGAGAGGCCGATAAAGCCTGGTATGTGTTGCTGATGTGTTGTCAAGGGTGGATTACATCAATAAAAAATGTAAGGTCGCTGCGATCGACTTCTGCCTCCACTTTCAATGAGTTAAAAATTATTTACAGGAGTCAAACTCGCTGCGTTTTGAAAATAAAGCGAGAGAAAGTGCGATTAGAAACGACCAGAACGAATTCTTTGCTCTTAAACAAGCAGTCTGGAGTCCTTTTCTGTGTCCGTGTTTCTGTCTCCATCATTGATGAGGGTGTTTTGATTTAAGACTATTTCTGGAGCTTTTTTTTTTAATACCTCAATTAAAATGGTATGAGGCTGGATAGAGTGAGTATCTGAGAGGATACTCTGCTTCAAGGACTATAACCCTCGTACTTAGGGGAACATTTTTGTCTGTTTTGGAATTTGAGTAGGGGGGTAGGACGGGGGTTCGAGCACTTAAAGGTCCTAAAGACACAAATAAGTCATTGAGGATTGTAATGAATATTCTTAAATTATAGACACAATCTTTAAAAAAGTACTTGAAAATTTCTGATTTGTCCCTTTCAAATGATTTACTATAACTTTCAGTACATTGAGGATCTAAATGAAGTTAACTTGAGCTTTCACTGCCTCAACTTTTATGTCTATCTATCTATGTATAAGATACTGATATAAACACACAGCACACTAGCCTTTGTGTTGGACTTCTTATCTCTTTTTTGTCCCGAACACGAGTTATTAAAGATTTTTTCATCATGTGTTTGCCGTGGGAAATATCTGTTTTGGTAACTTTTATCTTAACTCTTCTCTTCTCTCTCTCTCCTTCTCTTTGCTTTTCCTCGTGCAGAGCGGTTGATGTCGGGCTCGTGTGACTCGAAGTCGAGCGGGGACTCCAACTCCACCCTGCGCAGGGAGCTGAAGCAGTTCTTCGGCTGGGTGCGGAAACACGCCTACGGCTGCAGCAGCATGTCCATGAAGCTGTACGACCAGTGGAGAGTGCTGATGCAGAAATCCCATAAAGCTCGCAACCAGGTAGGTAAGCATCACTAATGCAGAGACACACAAAAAGGACACACAATGTATACACACTGAGAGGAAATCTGTTTTTACGAACGCTGATTTGTAACAGACTTTGTTTTTTCTTATTTAGGTTCTCCAAGGGGATAAATCCTAGCACAGGCTGGCTTTGCGAGCAGAAAAACAAGTCAAAGAAAGAACTGTGTGTGATGAGTGTGTGTGTGTGTGTGTCTGTGTGTGTATGAAAGAAGAGATTGTTTTCTTATGCGGGAATTATAAGACATCTTTCCTTGGACATTTGTGCAAATGCCAGCCGTGGCTAGGAGAGGACATCCAACAAGAACCTGTGGGATTTTTCTTCTTTCATGCATCTTTTCCAGCCAACATGAGCACTTTTTTTTTTGTCTGAAAAGGTGCAAATGAGAATGATGTACTCGCCATGGGTATCCTGCTAGCATTATCGAAACAAAAAGAGACCACTCTGCTTACCAAGAGACGTTGCAGCATGAATAAAGACATATTTTCTCCAAATGTGCGCAAAAAAAAAAGGAGTCAAACTCACTTGGAAGTGCCTCCCAAGCATCTAAAAGTATTCTGTGACCTTCTTTTACTTTCTCCTGTGGATCCAAAGCACCATCTAGTGGCCGTTCAGCATCAATTGACTCTCCATTTTTGAATCTTTTCACTGTGATCCTTTTGTACAGAGAGAAAAGTGACAAATTATCACCCAGTATTTCTATGTCATGCTTTTTTAAGTGAGTGGATCATGTGCCAAACTGGTTCAGCCAGCGCTCATGAGTTTCTGAGTGACAGTGTGGGACTGGCATGTTTGTGTGTTTGTGTGTGGAGACATTTCACTGCCTTTATTTTTGTACTGAATTGTACCAGCATATTTAAAACTGTATAAAGTTATGTTTTATTTCTTAAGTTATGTTTAGTTAGTAAAGAAACACTAATGACTGACTGGAGTTGTTGTTGATCTTTAATTTTGGGGTTTAAAAATGAGGAAAAAAACATAGGGTTTGGTGACTGAAATATTGACATACAGCAGTTTATTTGGACCTGAAATAAGAAAAACACAATAACTAACGCAGGTGGGGACATGACATTTAAGATGTAGACAGACCTGAGTGTAATAGGGGACATTTAAAAAAGAGGGGAAGGGAGCACAAGTGCCACTAATCATATAATTTCCTCTAAAGATCACATGTCACATGCTTTATTGAAGGTTTTTCTTGGATCCAGTGAAATCATGTAGATTTTCTCACCAGAAACTAAAGACTTTTCAGCAATTTATATCTATAAGAGTCTAAAACTTCTGCTTAAGAGGAAAGTCCCAATAGAAACAGCTCTGGGTCTTTACAAATATTTCAGAATTGTCCAAGTTTCATTAACTTAACTTTGTAATTTTGGGACATTCCCAAGTCCCACCTGATACTTTGCATTTCACACATAGAGTGGATATGTTGGGGGCAGTTTTCTGTAGAATTTGGGGGTTTCCATGTTGTAACCTATGTGTGTATTTTCTTTGATCCTGTTGTATAGAAAATTTGAACCACACAGCGGCCCACTGTTAGTGTAAGCAGTTTGAAGATCTTTATCCCGTCCTTCCATCACCTTATCTATACATTTTTTATTACATTTCACAAAATTGTTGTACATAGTTACCATCAAACAACCTCCAATTTCTCTAATTCCTCTGTGATGGAAGACTATGCTGAGGAGGAAGTACCTGTTACTCAAGTAAACTGAGGTTAAAGTTAGATATGAAGAAATTTTACCAGTGTCTAGATTTGTAAATAATGGATTCAGCTCTGGGGTTGATTAACCTGTAAGTTCCCCTAGTTGCTCAAAATTTGCATACATCTGTTGGGGTCTGGAGTGAAACAAAAGGGAAAAAGGACCTAAATGCAGAACAAAAAAATATATATATATATAACTAAAGACACTGACAAAAAAAAAACAGTAGGGAATCAAAGATCACAGACAAACATGCACACACATCAACATACATACAATGAACCAACCAGGACAGAGGGGAAGACAGGGACTATATACTCACCAGTAAACGAGCAACAGGTGAGGCTAACGAGACACAGGTGCACCTCGTGGGTGATTAACGAAGGAGGGAAAACTAGGGAAGTAAAACAAGACTAGAAACACAAGAAATCAACTACTACAAATAAAACAGGAACAATTCACTAAGAAAATACACACTAATAACAAAACCAGTGAAAAACTAAATCAACAGAACATATAATAACAACACCAAAGACTTCAAATACTTTACCCCCCCTTTAAGATAGCATTAAGACCATAAAAAGTCGACTTTGCATGGCTAATAGCAATATTTTAGTAACATTTGTGATAAATATAATATATATGTTGTCTAGATGTTTAACAAGTCTTGATTAATTTCCACATTTAACTACTTAAAAAAAAAAGATAGTGGCCATCTCTGCAGTCCTTCAATTAAGAAGAGACAGAAAAAGACACAAACCTTGTTGAGTTTTATAATGAAACTCAGAAAAAAAAGGAGTTTATATTCACACGATGAGCCTCGAGTACTTTTCAGCTTTAGCATTGGGTTGAGTTAATTAGTTCTCCTTGTGTTTTCATGAAACATTATTGACTATTTAACAGGTTTTGCTCAGACAACCAACATCTGACAGTTCAATCTGTATATTAACTGCTCAGTTTATTTCCAAGTGCCTTATAATATCAGTTGAATTTAATTCTGTATGAACACTTGATATGGTTAAAGTCACCTAATGTCTTAATGTCAGATGTTTCCAGCAAATGCAGAAAAATTGGAAAAGGTAGGTGATCCGCGATGATGGATGGATCCACTATAGACTATTTAGATACCTTTGAGTTCAGGGGTGGAGATAGTGGAAAAAAGTAAAGGTGGAAACCATAGACTGTATATAGAATGGACACCATCTACCTCCTCGCTGGGTGAAGCCACTCCGAGAACAGCACCCTCTGGTGACGTGCCGCAGTATAGGTCATAAATCCCGCCTCCTCCAGCAATCCCTATGGAGCTGTGGACAAACTTTAGAAATTTATGACACAAAATATAAAATTTACTCCCCCCTTCTTGCGATGTTGACATGTAGTTACTGTAAGACTGGTTTGTGCTCAAGTCCTCTTTTTTTCTGTACAGCTCCATTTTTAAAAGTTTTCAAGAGGTTCATGTTTTTTACGCTGTTTGAGCTGAGCGTCATCACAGCAACTCTCAGCGACTCTCCCGCTGAATGCGTACAAGGCTACTGCGCAATGTTGTAGAAAAATCGCAGAAATACAGAAAGCTTTATTCCGTGTACTGGCGGAAGGTGGATCCAAGTTGTCCATAGTTTATCCAGTCTGTGGCGGAAACCGACACGTAATTGTATTTGCAGCGTTTTATAAGTTATGCCTCATTTGGAGATATGAGGAAAGACAGAGATGTCTAAGAGTGTTTATCTATCGTTAAATGAAATACAGAAGTCTTATTGTTTCTAAATCTGGCAAATTTACACCATCAAACTCTGAGCTCACCTTTTGTGCTAACCCTAACCCTAACCCTTAAAGTGAATAATTAAACTACCAGCCAGATAAGAAAAAAAGAAGAAGAAAAACAGGGGCATGTGTTGCATTTTTCTAATTTGTAAAAGCTTGGATTGTTTGTTTTTTTCTCTCTGGGAAGAAACCACTTGGCATGTTGTTATCTTACTTAATTTACAACAGCTACTCTGGCAGCCTAATCAAATCACTCCAGGAGCTCACACCAGCACACATCTTGAAATATGTTTTCCTGACTGACGAAAGCTGGCCAAATTTTAATACTCAGCAGTCCTCGGTTTCATTACAGCTACACTGAGCTTGTCGAATAACCACTTGCAACAGAAGAGCCGTGTTAGGCCTTTCATTTTTAATCGCTTTTGTACGGGGGACGCTATTAGTTACGGTATACAGATTGTAGGTCAGTTGTTGTAACGTAATGCCCTGGAATAGGATGACCAATGAATTACTCAACTTGATTATTGTTTCCTGCGTTGAGACTTAAACAAAGCTGAAACTTGGTGTTCAATTAGTGGTGAGTGGACTTCAGACGAGGAGACATCAGAGAAACAATCAGAGGTCATCCTCTTTGTGAGCCCTGACAAAGCTAACCTTTTGTCCTTGGAGGACCTCAGGGGGGGAAAGAAAGGTGCAGAGCAGGTTGGGGCGTTCCGGAGGCCTCGGTTAAGATAGGGTTTCTTCACCTCGAGGTCATGCATAATTCAGCCCCAGAGGCCACCAAGACGGAGAGACGCGCACGTACAGGAAGTGTCTGAAGTCACCGAGGTTTCAAGAAGACAGAGGGAGACGAAAAAGTCGAGCAGAGAATGCAGGAGGTGGTGAAGAAACGGCCGATAATCTCTGCTAGAGAAAGAGGTCAGTTTAGGAAGCCTGTGTGTGTGCATGCATGTGTGTGTTGAGTGTGTGTGTGTGTGTCCACATGGACCGTGTTAAAGCTGAACTGTTTTTCCTCTGAATTCTCTCACAGCTTCATGCAGCCTTTCCTCAGCACTTGTTTGAGATTTGCACTTTGTTTAGAATCCATTCCCAAACAAGCAGAGGAAGAACGTTAAAATGCATAACCATAGAAAATTAGTCAAAGAGCTCCATATGGAAATCATCAGAGACAATGCAGCAGCCCCCCTCCCGAGCCAGAGAGCGGTGGGTGTGCTATACAACTGCTGCTTAGAGCTGGATCTGTTGTTGCATCATGTTCATCACCATCTTTCCTCCTCCTCCTCCTCCTCCTTTTCCCACTCTCATTGTCAGGCCCGGGCCCTGGACGCTACGCTCTGCCCCCTACAGTCGGATACGTCAACCATGATTTCACCAAGCCGAGCAGCCCGGCTTACTCCTTCCACAGCCGCATGAGCAGTACAAGTGAGTTTTATTCCAGAAATCTGAACTTAAGGAAGCAAAATTAGTACTTTTTTTCAGGATGAATATTTTTGATTTTCCTCTCAGAAGTTGCTGGTGTGTACCTAACACCATCACCATTTGGAGAAGAAAAACTGATTTTAGATATCGAGGTTGATAAACAATAAGGCACTCACTCGTATCAAATACAGCCTCTCAGTTTTTTCTGCATTTCTGACACTGATTTTGGTCTCACAACCATCCAAGAAGTGTTGTTGGATGATCTTTATTTGTGGTGTTTTCTGTAGTGGTCTCTGTGGACTCCAGCCCTGGACCGAGGTATCACATCGATGCCAAGGTCACCAGATTTGGCAGGATGGAAACTCCCTCTTACTCCATTCTGGGCAGAGAAAGGCGCACGGGGAAAAAAGGTGATAAAAGGACAAAAAAACGGTCACTTTTCAATTCTGACTGGCCGTCTTTGTCAGGCTCATGGTCATAAAGCATCAGTAAAGACACGAAAGACCAAACAAGCTTCTTTCGACAGGTGAGGTGTTCCAGACTCCAGGTCCGGGGGCCTACTGCCCGGAGAAGGCCCCACCTCTCAATGCTCACCAAAGACCACCATCCTACACCATTGGCAGCCGCACCAGATATCGCTCTGTGGATGCAGTGCCAGCACCAAACAGGTAAAGACAGCAGGAATTAAAGGAGTATGACACCTTCTTATCTTTGATTTATAGAGCTTTGTTTTTGTCCAGATCTGTTTTATCATCTGGATGAACAAAGACGTTGGTGTTTCCAGTCAATCATACATTTCATGTTGAATCTTTGTAACCAAATCCTATTGGTTACCAAATTTACCAATAGGAGCTGTCCAGGACGGATGGCTCCCATTGGTCAATGTTCTTACAGCCCTGCACCTGCTAGTGTGAACAGATTTTTCCATTTTTTTTCTCTTCACTTTGTGGAAATCGCACTACAGGACCATGATCGCCATATAAACGAGGTTCATGATAATTAGCAGTGTCTCTAATCGTCAACCATGCCTTTAATTGTCATAGTCCACCTATTGTTTAAAACCTAATTAGGACAAACCTCTGTTTATTTATTATTGTCTTCATCCTAGGTACAGTCTCCCAAACCTGCTCGGCTGTCACATTCCCAATAAACCCTCCAGTGCCAGCTTCAGCTTCTCAGGCCGGAGGAAGGTCGGCGCTCCGTCGGAGGACCTCTCCATGAGCCCCGGACCGGCAAAATACAACAGCATCAACCCAGACGTCTACCGCCAGCGTCAGCCCTCCTTCTCCATGCAGAGTCGGACTAGGAGGCCGAACTATTCCTCTAATATTCCCGGACCGGGCAGCTACAGCCCGGAGAAGTTTTACATGCACCTCCCCAAACCGCCATCATGCACTATGGGGGTCAGACACTCAGAGTTTGTCACCCCGCTGGTGGTGCATGTAGTCGACTGAATGGACTGACAGGTTAAATATTGATGACTTATTTTTATTCTTTTTTTTTCAAAAAGATGTAGATCTGATACAAAATAATGAGCTGCTGAAAAGGAACAACTCACCACAAACTCACAGTATTGAAATAAATATTAAAATATAAGATGTGTCTCCATTATAAATAATACAAAATTGATACCTTTAGCTTGAAAACAAGAGTCGTAAACAAAAACAGGAACTGAAAGAGAGCTTCTACGGTTATCCTCGTGGTATGGTGATGTTTACTGGTGAGCTCCAGTTGCTGCACTCCCCCAGACCCAGCAGCTCCTTGGCACACACCTGGAACGTGTAAAGCCTCCCTGGTCTCAGCCCTTTCAGCTCAACCGTAGTGTTGTCAAATGACTCCAGCTGAAGGAGAAAGATAGTTACTAGTTATAAAACAGACTAGAGTTAACATTGGTGTCTCTTTAATGATCTATAAAAGCTAACCAGACCATCAACAATAAGGTTGATTATTTCTATGTTGTAAATTTGGATGCCTGCAAATGTTGCAAACTTTACAAAAGCTATCAAGATGTCAGGTTTAGTGACTACAAATCTGTGTAAAAAGTTACACCCACAAGCTGTGTCTAACTTTATATTAGGGGGTAAAGTTGTCAAAAAAGGAGTTAGTCTCAGGCAGAGACTGAAGAAGGCGGAGTCACAGGTGGATATGGGTAAAATAGGTCTCCCCTGGGTACGAAACAGTAGGCTAGTTTAGCTGTGTAAGGTGGACTAAAACGTTATTTGTCTCCCTGTCTTCGAGCACTTTAAGCTAACCAATCAAAAGTGAGGAGAAGAAACACAATTGTTGAACGAATCCTGTGACACTCCAGTCAAAGTGCTTTTCAATCAACCATGGAGGGTTTATTTTCTGTTGGGAAACCCCTTGAATGTTAAAACCACTGTGAGGAACTATTGGTTTGTGAGTGTCAGAGAAGTCTTTACTTATCTTGCCCTCTACATGCTAAAGTAGTTCATTTTGTATATTAATAATCTTGTTCCTGATGGTTTTATTTGCTTTTGGGTGTCATGTAAAAGCATCTGTATGAGTTTCAGTCTTTTACGTAAACACAGAAAAAACTCCTTATAGCAGCTTTAACTCAAAGTGGAATTTGACAGAATTTTAAAAACGTAAGGCTTAGTTTAATTTGATGTAGAGGTACTCGAAGATTACAGGACAGCCAGAAGATTTCAAGATGGGGATATATTTCTAATCACCTATTGGGTTTCTGTAAATCTGTGACATCTACGTATAGAAAATGTAGATTCCATAGAAAACTGTTGTTGCAACTTACACTTACATTGACATGTCTGGTCACGCCCTTGCTGACCCACTGGTACAGAATCTGGTAATTTAGGGGGAAGATGTTGATGTATGCCCAAGTCTGGGGGGGAGACCACTCCACTAGCAGGTTTCTGTTCATCTGTGGGGAAACCTGGACGTCTACAGGAGGATCTGGTTTCACTACACAAAGCAAAACAGAGGAAAGCAAGATTAAGATTGTGTTTCTTCATATCAAATACAACATATGTGCAACATCCTAGGTTATTTTTAACCTGGGCTCTCACCTATGTCCTCCATCATGAAGCTTGCCAGATGGGAGCTGCTGGCTTCTGGGTAAACTGCTGTGACGTTGATGATGTAGTCAGTGAGGAGCTTCAGGTTGGGCAGGTAGCAGTGCCAGAGCTAACAACAGAAGGCGGTGTTCAAATGTGTTATTAGCCACTTTTTATAAGTGTTTTAAAGTGTTCATGTGTAAATTTGAGATAATTTACAAAAACACAACCTTACAGAAATAACCATACTCATGGTTAACCACAGTGTCACAAGACAAACATTTAACAAGTAATGTGATTTGGGGTTTTCCAAAGCTTTGCCACTTTATTGCAGCTGAAATTTCAAGCGTACAGAAGTGTTTCTGGTTTTTATTTGTAACTCAAACAGACTGAAGAAAGAAAAAAAGGAAAAGGTGTTAAAGAAATGTATCTGATACCCGTTCAGATGAGGAAGCTGATGCCAGAAGAGGAGACGAAGATCCAGGTGGGATGAGTTGACACTGCTCGGTGACTGTGTTTCCGTGTCTCTCTCTGGCACACACACAAACACACACATGTATATAAATGAGGTCATGGTGGCAAATATTGTATTATTGGTTTGGAGTCACAGCACTCAGGAGGTGTTGGGTTTCTCCGTTCTTTTACCTGTAGGTGGCGACATAGTGCGTGGGTGGGGATTGAGAGGGTTCAGGCCAGGAGCAAAGAGTCATATTGGGGTAGCTCGCACACCAGCAATGCACTGAGGGGATGGAGGGAGGATCTGAGGAGAGACGTTAGGCTTAGTCACGTCAAACTTTTTTAGAGTCTGTCAGTATCCGTTTAAAAAGAAACAATGGACTTAAAGCTCCTGTGAGGAACTTTTCGTTTGCGTCGATTTTGGCACCCCTTTGTGGACAAAGCAGTCTTTACGCGACTTATCAAATGTGTCATTTCTTACAATATAAAAATTCTTCTTCACAATATCAAAATCATTAAGATCTCTGCTGATGGTCTAGTTAGCTTTACGATAGCATGAAAAGGCATCACTGTGAATTTCAGTCTGTTTCATAACATCAAAAAACTCCTCATAGGAGCTTCAAGTACTTTGTGCGACACCTACCCTGTGACAGCAGTTTTAGACATAGAAAATAACAATAATCAATAATCAAGTTAAACGCTGATGGTCTTGTTGCTTTTGTAAGAAATGGAGAGGCGTCAGTTGTAATTTAAACTCACTTACAGAACCTTTAATTAGGATTAAAATGTTTTTAAAAAGGAACATCATTTTTCTACGTTTTCATAACAGATCAGTTCCTCATAAAGCACTTTTTGAAGATTCTAGAGATAGGAGTAAAAAATACATAATGTTTGAGGAAAATTTTCATCAGACTGGTACTCACTCCCTGATGTTGTAGAAACTCTCAGCAGGTTCGCTGCTTGTCCTCCAAGAACGGACATGAGGATCGTCAAGGCAACACACACGGCGCTCACCATTGTAGCCAACAGCAGTTCTTCTAAACTTCGACCTGAGCGTAATTTGTCTTCTAAAAATACCGCAGTCACTTCTGGAGGATATTCTCTGATTTATTATTACTGCTCCCCTCCTGTGTGTGAAAAAACAGAGACCACGCGTATCCTGCCGTAACTCCTCCGTCAGTGTGTCGAAGTGACAGCTGATCGGCGCTTTAAACACAGTTGTGGTGATAATGAAAGAGGAACAGCGAATGTGGTGTATCACAGGAAACCTTCTTGAGAAAGAACCTTCGCATTACATCTCTGTAAATGACTCAAAGTTTCTGTAAGTCACAAATGAAGAGAGGATGTGATAGTTTCTTTTATGTTGTGTTTCATTTATTATTAATTACAGTGATTATATACATAAAAAAACCTTCATGGCACATCTCCAGAGTAGATGAAAGTTGGAAAGCACTGAGCAGACAAGAGGGTACATGTCTGTCTGCACCTTAATGTGCTCTCAGGTACTCTCCTCTGCTCCGGTTTTACTCTAGATTGTCCCCTAGTATACAAAAAGGGAAATGGCAGCAACTTTACAGTTTTAGGTGATCCAGAATGTCACAGTCCAAGCAGATCAGACCTTTTCCCGGCTGTCTCTGTGGGGCCACGACAGCTTCTTAGCGCTCCATCCAGAGAGGGAGCCACTGTGCAGGTTCCAGCCCGCCGCAGGGGCTCCATCTCTGTGTGCGCTCACGCTGGAAAGTCCCCCTCCGCTTGAGGTCCTCAGGGAGGTGAAGGCCTTACTGATCCAGTTGTTCTTTGCCTCCTGGAGGTCATTAGTAAGAATTCCTCTCTGGTGCTCCAGGTCCTGTTGAGAATTAAACAAGTAGATAATCAGATTAAAAAAAAAATCCTCTTTTAAAAACACTTTTAAATATCGAATATGATCGAATTCTACTTCTTATGACATTCGATCAAATCCTTTTTTTTCTTGCTTTCCGGTGAAGTGAAGACAAAATAAAATCCGGTTTGAATGCTCTCCTAAATGCACCAAAATACTGCAATAAAAATATCACATTTCAGCACAGTGAAGCACACTTTGAATATATACTTCCAGCACTTAAATTTAGCAATAAAATTATTAAATCAGCTTCAAGCCAGTCAGTCCTTGGATGCTGTTCTTTCACCACCCACGTCTAGACTCTAGGGAATCCTGTCCTATTTCCCATCCTCATATGGGCCCACATTTAATGAGGATGCTTCACATCAACTGGGTCTCTGAGCCAAAGTTTTTCTTTGTTGCTAACCTCAATGAATATTCCTGTTCAGTTGATCTCTTCGTATTAAAATAAAGTTGGGCGTATAGTTGGAATAATTTTCAGGCACGAGTGGAAAACTTTGTCGCTGCTGAAGTGTTTCATTTGAATTCACGACAGGAAGGTCCCGGTAAACACGCGTCCTGTGTGATGTGATGTTTACCTGAATCTTGCACTTGGCCTCCACCATCTGGAGTTTGGTCTGTGCTAGCTCCTGCTCCAGCTCCCTGATTTGGGTCTTAAGAGACTCTTTCTCCTCATCTCTATTCTGCTCTGCCTCTTTGTCGTTTTGGCGGCTCTCATCCCGGCCCGGTCCGGTCCTCTGGCTACTTTGTGCGTCCGCAGAGATCTCAGCTGTGGCGGATGCTTCCTCTAATTCATCTACGAGGTGTTGGCAGCGGGAGCAAGCTTTTATTGCACTCTGTGACAGGAAGAGCAATAGACTTAAATTAAGACTTGTCTTCAGCAAACACATACAGTAACCGAGTAACAATGAAACCTGCTGTTACAAATGACCGCTGTTTATAGAGCTGGACAACCGAGCTGACTGATCCAAGACCTCTTTAGACTGCAAGTACAGGGACAGTCATAAATCATCCCGTGGAGAGATCTGGTGGAAGTTCTGGTCTTCAGATCGACTTGGTCTTGACTTGTTTTCACTATATTTGTTTTTTTTTTAAAAATATATTACAATGCCGTAGTTTCAGTCTAACTCTGCGTTCCAGTGACCTCAGAAGTTAGTTGTCGGAGCTGGGAATGACGTTACACCTGAGCTGACGGCATTCCAGTTAACAAGTTGGAAAACCAAGATGGACGGCTTAAGTTACCTGTTGCTAACTGTTGTTTACAATATTCAGCTGTCGTTGGCTGTTGTCAGATGTTGTTAGTTGTTGTTAGCGATACCAGTTGTAAAAACACACAACATAGTATTTTACTCCACAAACACCATAGCACCGTGTTCACAGTTAGACGTTGGGCGGTACAACAGATCCCACTACTTTGATTTCACAAAAACAAAACAGAAGTGCTAACAAATGATACATTATGAGAGCTTTTACTTTTATTCATTACTGTCAATGCACTACGCTGCCATCTTGAATTACTTTGTCGTCAAGTCAGGGTTGGCGAGGATCGTCCAACGTTTCAGATGAACTTCCGACTCGGTGCTCGGAAATACTGACTTCCGAGCACAACTGGAATGCAGCGCAGGTCTTTGGCTTGACTAGATAGTGTCACGCCTAACCCTGTTTTGATCTGTCTCAGCCCTGGTTTTGTGCTGAACTTGGTCAGACCACGCCTTTGTCTTGGATTTGAATCGACTGCCATTCCTCTTCAACATGGTGCTCAAGTCGCGCCCATTAAAAAGCAGAGGAGAGACAAAATTGAGAAGAAAGAGCTTTCTTTACCTTAAGTGAATCTAACTCTTCCCTGTAGGCGGCCTGCTGCCTCTCTGGACGGTCCTGCCCTGGCCTTGTTTTTTTAATATTACAACGCCCTGGTTTCAGTCTAAGTCGTGGTCTTGACTAGATAGTGTCACGCCTAACCCTAAACCTGACCCTCTGCTCTTTGTTTTGATCCGTCTCAGCCCCGGTCGTATTCTGAACTCGGTCACGCCTTTGTCTCAGATTTAAATGGACCGCCATTCCTCGTCTCTGATCTCGTTAATGACTTAATAATGACCTCTGCTTTGTTTTGACTGAGTCATGCGACACCCTCATTATGTTTGTGACACCAACATGTCATATGCAGGTCATGAACTTGCCTGGATTGTGTCTTCATTCAGCTTAATTCGCCTTGACCTCATTATGTCTCGGTCTTTATTTTGATTTGATCTGGTCTCGGACTGAATCCTTTCAAGCTTCGCCATTCTCTCGGTGCCAACGCACTTCAGCTCAGCCGGGGCTTTATCTAAATTCAGTCGGGCTGCACAACAACTCTTCAACATGGTGCTCAAGTGGAGCCCATTAAAAAGCAGAGGCGAGACAAAATTGAGAAGAAAGAGCTTTCTTTACCTTGAGTGAATCTAACTCTTCCCTGTGGGCGGCCTGCTGCCTCTCCAGACGGTTTGTGAGCTGAGAACAGATCTGAGCAAAAGAGAGAGTACCAGCTTCATTAATACTCACTGTTGTATTCTTTGATAAATCCTTTATAAAGCATACATCCTTCCCCCAAATGCCTTTTATTTCCCTTACCTGTTTGTAGTCTGCGATAATACCAGACGACCTTTTGACTTCCTGCTCGGTTTTCTCCAGCTCTCTCCTAAACACGTCCTTTAGCTGTGAGAGGAGAGGAAATCTTTAACCTTCTTAAAACCTTAAATCGCTGCAAACTGTTATGAAATTTGGAGGCACGTCTCATCGGCCTTACCATTGCCGTTTCCTCCTCCTTCCCGTTCTTCTCCTCTTCTGTGGCTGCGAGTCGATATCTGGTTTGAAGAAGCTCTTTGGAGAGTTCATCCACTCGGTCCTCTGCCTAAAATTGACAGTTTCTTTTATTTACATGAATAAGAGCTGCAGATTCAATTTATAGGCATTTAAGAGAACACCACCTCGAGAGGTGAATGTTGCCGACAGCTTGCTTCTCTAGTTATACCAACTCTAGTAACGACCGCAGGATTTCTTCATGGAAATACAATCAGACTGAGACGGTAAGGCAGAAGAACTACCGCGTTTGCAGAGCAAAATGATTAATATGGTGATTATTACTTCAAGGAAATGATAAAGTAATGATCATCAATGTTTTTCCTTGAGCTGCGTCACCCCGCAGCAGTCGGTAATGGACTGGCCTGAGGTCTCGGTACAAACAAGCAGCTGCCGGAATAGAGTGGGTAACCCCTAATTTCCACCGCATCCGGAACGGCTACAAAAAGGCCGTAGCCGCCGATTGTAGCTGATCGTAACCTTTCAAGTAAAGGTGTCAATTTCCACCGGCTTCTTTCTGTTCCGCAGCTGATCATAAGGGTTTGATTTTTTTCCAGACGCCGGAGCACGCAGGATAAATTCAGCACAGATTAACCTGTGCTGGAAAAAAAGTTGGGGTACAGACACAAAATAAAACATCCGGCTTCTTTTTAAAATAAAACACTCCATGTTTCGGGCGGATTGTATTTCACACCATGCAAACGGTCAGGACGAACAAGTGAAAGGTTTTTAGACAGCATCCCGATGACACCATGGATTAGAGGATGCTGATTTTATAAGTCTAGAGGTGGACACAATCTACTGCTTATATGGTTTGCCAATGTGGATAAAGACAACTTGTTATCGCACCATTCCACGTGAATCCACAGGTTCTTGTGAGTGTTAGCGATTCCTGCTGTCCGTCATCCGCCACGAAATTCGCCTCACAAACGGATCCAGTAGGAATTGGCGTACGGCGAAAATCACTGCTGTTCTGGATGTGGTGGAAATCCTGGGTGAGTTGTGTTTAGTCTCTTTGCTAAAGAAATTAGGCAAAGCTAAAAAGATGTTTGGTGGCTAGGACCGTATATGTACTGTTGATGAAGTTAGGTGCTGTTCTGAGCATTATTTGTGGCTATAGAGTGGCGTTTTGATCGGGGCTTGTTTATGGCTCCTCAGACCACTGTGTATTGCTATCATGCGGTCATTACAGAAGTTGGTAAAACTAGAGAAACAAGTGGTTGGCAAAATTCATCTCTCGAGGGGGTGTCTAACTCGGTGTTACGGTGTGTTTGACCCTACATTAGTTTCATGCCGGAATATCCCTTTAATGCAGCATCAGCTCAGTGAGAAAGAGGATGGTGTGTTGTAAACTTGTAAACTTATATGGAGCCAAACTTGGTTTTAAATGATGGCCAGCTCCACAACCTTCAAGCCAGGTGACCAAGAGGTGACCTTGACCTCCACTGAACTTCCACTGACATACTTTTAAACACTATGAAAAATATTACTACATCAGAATTGTGTTTGGCTATTTTGAGACTGATTTTTCACAGGCCCCTGGCAGCTACAGATTATTAAATTTCCCTTTTTTGTCAGAGCACTCGATTTCTTGATTGCTGTCGGGGTGATAGTTTTCCCAAATATAACAAAAAAAGCTTCCTAAATAAACTGCCAACCCCGCGCGGCTCTGTAATAAATCAAATGACAGCATGCCAAGCACTGCTGGCCCGGTTATCTGAGCTGTTTTTAAAAATTCAAAGCAGGACTAGTTGACATTCTGGGTTCATGCAGAACTGCAGATTGAGTTTCTATTAATGCTGGAAAAGTAAAAATTTAATTACAGTTTGAATTTGGATGTCTCCTGAGAGGCTTGTCCTCAGAGTTTCTGGGTAAAAAACCTTGGGCAGGTGAGTGAACTCATTTACTCCCTTTGGAGAAGGGCAGCAGCTCATCTTACCTTGTCTAGAGCGTTCCTCAGGGCGACCTTGCTGCTGATGAGTCTGTGGGCGAGGTCGTCGTTCTCCTGCTCCAGACGGAGGCTGGCCTGCAGGAGCTGGCGGTTCTCCCTCTGCAAAACACAGAAATCAATCAGGGTCTGTAGCACACAGCAGAATATAAATGAGGTAATCAGCCAATTGTAGAGGGGATGAAGGTGAAAGGAAATTTCACACTTTCACATGTTATTTACGGTAGCAGAAATGCACTTGCACTTATGGAAAACGATAGATTCCTCACCAGGTATTTGTCCAAGGGATCTTCTTCATCCTCCATTATCTGCAGCAGGCTTTCCCCCAGTTTTGCCTTCTTTGTCGGGACCTGGAGAGAAAAGAGGAAGACAGTCAAGGGTTACAAAACATAGTGATGCCACATTTGATTGCTCTGCAGAAAGCAATCTCCCCCAAACAGATCTAGCGCCGGATCCTGAGCGAGTGCGACAAATCGAGAACAGGCCCACAAAAAAAAAAAAAAGACACCAAGATAGGAAGTAAGGATGAGATAAGATAGAGCCGAACACATGAGGGAATGGTAATTTGAGATACACGAGGGAATAGCAGAGAGGGGAGGGCTCTTTTAAAGCCTGAAATGCCAATTCCCATATCTCAGATATGTTAAATGAGCAATATGAATTCATTTCCTTCTATCTGGAATCACGCATTTGTCACACAGAAGAATGTGTGCGGTCTGTAATACTCCTGTGTGTGTCAGTCAGGACGAGAGGTTTCGTGTTATTTATCTTGTTTTTTTGGGACTCTCAAGGGGACTTGAGCTACGGTTTGTACATAAAAAGCAAATATGTTTCGTATTAGGGAGTAAAAATTTGTTTCTGGTGATATTTTTAAGAAACGTGGGTATTTGAAGTCTCCTTCAAACCCTGAAATAAAAAGTTTGTGAAGTAGAGATAACGTTAGTGCAATCAGTCCCACTGAGCAATCAACGGCTATCAGACGACTAGTTTTTTTTTTTAGACCTAATTTCAACCGTCTAGATTCTGTTCATTTTTTAGATGTAATTTAGACATTCCACTTTAACCCATTATTCGATAACTACCCACTGAGCATGTTTTGGTCTAAAAGAGGTCTAATAGACGTCCAAATGTGGCTTAGATGACTGGTCTAAAATCAGGCTACCACAGGTCTAAAAATGTTTTTTTTAGAAGTCTAAAATTAGACCAAGTTTGGACCAAGTCTAAATCTGGGCTGTATCTATACCGCACTGTATTTTGCTCAACGACTATCATAATTATTTTGGTTTCGTATTTGAAGATCAGTTATGCAACTCAAAGTTGTTTTTTGAGATAAATAGTTATTGAATTATGGGTTAAAGTGCAACGTCTAAATTCTGTCTAAAAATATACAGAATCTAGACGGTTAAAATTAGGTAAAAAAAAAAACCTAGATGTCTAACAGCCGTCTGTTGCTCAGTGGGTATTTATTTCAAAAAGCAACTGTGAGTTGCATAACTGATCTCTAAGTACTAAACCAAAATAATTATGATAGCCGTTGAGCAATATAGAGTTAGACTTCTGTAACACAGCTAGGATAAATTTAGACGTCTAAGAAACTTTCATTTTTAGACCTGTGTTAGCCTGATTTTAGACCAGTCGTCTAGGCTACATTTACACATCTATTAGACCAAGTTTAGACCAAAAACTGCTCAGTGGGGTGTAACGCTCTCGTAGAGGTTAGAACAGGATTTGTATTGGCAAGTACAAGATTTTCAACCCTTCAAGAAAACACAACTGATTTCTAATAATAACAATGTGATCATTGCAAACTAAACAGTGTAATGGTAGAGTCAATCACTTCTTCCCCTTTAATAACATATTTTCAATTCAATAGGTAATTATCTTTGAAGGTAAACAAAGCCAGGCCGAGTTGCTGTGACCTAAAAACAACTTTACAGTAAGTGTTGTGATATGACGTTGAAGGAATGGACTCTTACTGTAAATTTAGGTCCTGTTTCATCAGCCAGGCAGGCCAGGATCTCCTCTTCACTCATCTGCTCCATAACTTGGGCATCGTACGCCATCATGACCGACACCTCCTCCATCATCTTGTCCAAAGTATGCAGCACCAAGAGCTGCTGGCACTCCCCAAAACAACAACAACAACAATCCTTTGCAGGTAATCCGACTTCAAATCTGCAGGAACAAGCAGGGTAGATTTTGACACTTTCGTCACACCGCGGTGACAGTATCTCTTCGCTGAATCAGAGATGTGAAGAGCCTTCAGAAAGATGAAGTCGTCTCAGTTTTGCTCGCAATGATGCAGGTGTGACTTCAATCCAGCAAGTGTGCAAAAACAAACAGGATACGTCTGAGCAAAGTCCAAGAGATCCCGACACCAGGAAACTCCGCGCCTGGTCCAAAGGTGGGTAACAGATAAATACTCGGACAGGTAAAAACGCAGCTACGCTTCAACACACTGATACACCTGATAGTCAGAGCTGCTTAAACACAGTGTCAGGTGGAGGAGTGTGTGTCAGGTGGAGGGGCAGTAACAGGTTGAGCAGGGTTTAAAGGAGCGTGTGAAGAACAGCAGACTAAGACACACCCACAACGCGCTCACCTTTCTTCTCTTACGCAAACACACAAACACTTTGTTTCTGACCTGCACCTTCAAACATCATATCACCTTTTCTGATGAACTGGGTGTTCATCAGGACTTTTTAACCATCTCTCTCTTTTAATTGAAACTCTTCTTTTTATGCTGGAGTATCATATGTGGTATTTGCACCTCAGGGTGTTAGCATGACACAGGGCCTGCTGGTCTATTGTTGCCTGACAGGAGAGCAAACGAGTCGAGCAGGTAAAGCAAAGGAATACCAACGCATTAAGACAGAATAAAAACAAAGAAGATACAGCAGCATCTCCACCCAGACTCCACGGACACATTTCCTAATGTTTTTGCACTCTCACCTTCAAACTACAGGTGAAAGGTTTCCTCAGTTCAACTCTTGTTAGAGGTGGAGCTCAATCTGGTGTTTATAGAGTTATAAAAAGAAGAGGAGAGATTATGCAGATGAGAAACAAGCCATTGATTTGTTTGAATAAGTTGGACCTGGTAAGTATAAAATGTAAGAATATAAAATTTAACAGTTTGTTTATAACTTACCCTCCATTTTTTTAAACTGAAAACAGGATCTCAGCTGTGGAGTGCAAATTTATTGCCCAGATTTTTTTACTACAGAGCCATGTTGTTGTCATACTTTCAAAGCGTCCTTTCCTTGAAGTACAAGCTACCAATACCCAGAGGTGGGGGCTTGACGACTCGACTCGAGACTCGACTTGGACTTGAGTCCCGTTTTTGACTTGCTTGATGAAATCAAGAAATGACTTGGACTTGCTTGGGACTTGATTGCTAAAGACTTGAGACTTGACTTGACTTGAGCCCAGTGACTTGAAAAGTCAAGTCAAGTCTTTTCAAGTCACTTAATACCTTACAGCAAGCCCAAACCATTTAAAAAGTGTCGCATCAACTAATAGTCAGGAATTACGGCCGTTGGTAACACCGTGTTGTGTTGCCAAGTCTGCTTATTTCCCGCAACAAAAATTCGCTTGTTTCTGGAGGTCTGTTTCCCTATTTCTCTCACGAAACTTGGCAACACTGTCTCAAACTCTAGCCTCCCTCATAACGACAACACCGGGAGGACTGAACATAAATCGCTCGCTAGTACAGCCCGCCTGTTTCCACGTGTTTCCTTGTGTCTCTCTTTTGTTTTGTTTTGGAACAGTGAATTAGAGTATCAGTTTAATGTTTAATTATATTTGAGTCTTCCTTATTTTTGTGCTCATTGTCTAAGTTTCCAGTTATTGAAGTTTATCTGATTATTTTTTGTATGACATGTAAAATAGTTTGGTTAAATCTTTACATATAACAAATGGTTTATGGCTTTGATATGACTTGTTTTTGACTTGAAAGAAACGGTAAGGACTTGGTTGGGACTCGAAACAACAAGTTCAGGACTTGGACTTGACTTGGGACTTGTCTGTGTTGACTTGGACTTGTCTCGGACTTGAGAGCAAAGACTTGAGACTCGACTTGGACTTGCAACATAGGGACTTTCCCCCACCTCTGCCAATACCGTCACTGATGCTGGCTTTTTAACTGTGATAATCTGGGTGCTCGCTCTCCTCTTTACAGCAGCGGATGTAGCGTCCATGATTTTCAAAAAGAACATCAAATTTTGATTCTCATGCGAAAGGACCATTTCATTATTTGCTCACGCACAGTCAACCTTTTCCTGTCTTTACCTCTGAAGGAGTCTTTTTTAAGCCAAGTTATGTCATCAACTTAATAAATTGACCTAATTGGTTAGATCTTCCTCTCAAGTTTTGCTGCCATCAAATTCAGGTAATATTGAGGCATTTAGTTTCTTGAAACATGAACATTTGATGAATTGTTTCGTCATTCTTGATAAAATACAGACTTTAAATCATTTGCAAATCATCAAAAACCCTTTTCATGAACATTTTACAGCGTGTTGTAGTTTTTTATGTCATCGTTTCTGGGAAAATGGGGCAACTTTACCAACACATGCTGAGAAACTAAAAGAGAAATCATCGAGGTCTTCTGGGTTTTTTTTTTCTCCTCTGATGACAGATCTCTTTTAATTCCCTCTCCCTTCGAGTTTTTTCTTTACTTCTGTCTTTAGTTTTACTCTTTCCACCAGTTGGTGCTTTCTTTTAACACTTCCCTTTTATTTTGGTGCTTTTTTTATTTTTACTTTTACCACAAACCGTGATTACCACACCGAGTGTATCCTCTATCTGAGTCATGATTACTTCAGTCAGACCACAAAAAGTCCAGGCAGATAGAAACATTTATTCCTCCTTTAAAAAAAAAAAAAAAAACATTCATGTGAAACTTGGTGGATTTTTCTCACAGTACCAAAACTCACTGTGGTTTCATACGATCTGAAAAACACAGCTTTGAACAACCAGGACGAGGAAATGGAGATCAGAACGACATGTTTGTTCTGATACTGTGCTCAGACTGGTCCTCACAGAACAGATGAAACTCCTTTCACCAAACTATGTGGACCACATTTGTTCAGTGAGTGTATATAACAAACTGGCAGTGAACACCGATGCTGAGTGAACATCTAGTTTAACAAAAAAAACATCAATCTCCAGGTAAAAATCAGCAGAAATGTCCGTGAAGTGAGGAGACAAAGACTCACAGGTCAGTGGAAACAACGTGGAGTGGTAAAATACTCCGTAAATATCTTTCTATGTACTAATAATCTTTCATTTTTACACCAAATCTTATCTTTTTAGTCACATTTAAGCTCAAATCAACAACATTTAAAGAGTGAACCCCCTTCCTCCAAATATACAAGCTCCGTTTTCTCTTCTTTGTGCTTCTCTGTTGCTTTAAATCCAACAGAAAAACAGAAAAATCAGGTCAAATGAAGGATATGGAAAACTTGCATTCGGCACAATCTGAATAAAACACATTGAAACTCTGACAGCCCTCATTAAACTAGCATAGCCTTAAAGAAAGAGATTCAAGCATATACTGTGGGTTAACACTGCATCATGTCATTGGTATGGTGTTTCTAATGGCGGCAACACTCTTTTATGTCTTTATATCCATCTTAATCTGTAAACATGAAAAAGTTAAATACATAAACTTCAGTGGAAGACGTGGAAAACCAGCCTCCGTTCAGTGTGCTTTCATTTTTACCAGAAGTGAAAATGAAAGCAAGTCATTCTCAGACTCGATCAGGCTGATTTAAGATCGCAGGTTTGGACTCATAAACGACTTATTTTCTCCCTCGGGTCTTTGTTCAGGCAAAAACACGTGACAGTATCTGTCTGTGGGGAGTAACAACACCTTGTAGAAAAACTGTTAGCCCTCATGAATTGTAAACTGACAGGAGTGGGAAAATAGGGGGGAGGGGGCTAGCGCTTGAAACTCGGGTTTGAGGAGGAGAGAAAAGGGGAAACAATACAGGAGAGGGAGACTGAAACTAACATGGAGATCGTTTCAGGCTCTTTCACTGGATCAAATTTAGTCACACATCTGAGCTTTTGTACTTTATAATCAGCATGAAAGACCTTTATTTTTTCTTCTTCTCTAAGGTGATCAGTTTATCAGTCTAAGTATTTTGGAAAGTTAATGCTGAAAGGTCAAACACTAATCTAAATTTAGGTTTTTCTGTTTCAGTTTGGTCTTAATTCAGGTGGTTTCTAAAGCACATCTATAATTAATGCTTTTTGGCAAAAACACAAAAAAATAAAAAGATAAAAAAAGTCTTTGGTAACACTTTACAATAACCATAACTTATAAATGGTAAATAGATAGTTTAAAAATGGTAAGCAGGTAGTTTAATCATCATTCATAAATAGCATATTGACCATTAATAAATTGTAAATTTTTACAATTTTAAAAACCTAACCCTAACTTTACAATAACCATCTAAGTAATGTTTCTAAACGGTTTAAAAACCAAATATTTACCATTTACAAAGTGCTACTGACACACATTTTAATCTAGCTGTTTTACAACCAGGGATAAGCGAACTAAGTGCCTGCTTAGGGCACCCCGGCCAATAGGGGGCCCCCAAGAGCAATAAATTTTTTTAAATTTTTTTAATAATTTTTATTTTTTGCCTGTATGAGTGACGCTTTCTGTATGACCAAATGTATATTATTATAAAAATAAAATAAAGTAAAAACATTTTAGTGCTGCTGCTGATATAGGCCTACGATTCTTACTGCCGATATGTCAAAGCTCCGCTACCATTATGTGCTTCCTGCTGTGCAATGTGCACTGAGCATTCAAAGCACAGGTAGTTGTGGGGCAAAACAATGTCGCAAAAAAGGACATATCCTTCATGAGCAGAGAAAAGAAAGAGGAAGAGGAGAAAAAATGCCAAGATAAAGGTTAATGTTAATCAAAGAGGTTTGTGAAGGTGTGTGAATGATCAACAATCAATATTATTGGCAGAAATAGAGGGCCCCAAAATCACATTTTGCTTTGGGCCCAATTGAGGCTTGGGCCGGCTCCGTTTACAACCAATATTTAAACCCTATATAAACCTTTAATAAAGAGTCCATTAATAATTAATGAAAATTATTCATCAAAATTCCATTGCTAGTTAATGGTAAAGAAACTATTAATTTACATTAATAAACTATCTATTTGCAATTTATAATTGGTCTATATGCTGTTTTTAAATGATGATTAAACATTAATAAACTATCTTTTTAACATTTATAAATTATGGGTATTGTAAAGCAGTGGCGATTGCTCTAAGACTGCAAGGGAAGCTCGGCTTCCCTTAAAATGTCACCCCCCAAAAAAAAGAAAAAGTGGTGAAATACGTACTGCTGTGTGTACATTTCATTAACTAAATACGCACTAGAAAGCCTTCATCTTTTGTTCAGACACTGTGATAAGAAGCTGATAATTATAGGTAACCGGCATAACTTCGTTCTCATTCATCCTCGCAGCGCCTCAGCGCTTTAAACAGCCGGACGCTGGGCTTCTGCTGACTTCAATGTGGAAGCTAAAAGTGGGTTGTTCCAGCAGCGAAACTAGACGCTCATTGGATAAATGCTGGGCTTTGTCCCGCCCAATGGAAGCTAAGCTTCACTGGAGTTCTATGGCGAGAGGGCGGTCCCGACTTTCTCCCGGACTGCAAGCTTCTGCATCCATGATTGGATGAGCTGTCTGAGGCGAAATCCTTTTTTGATTGACAGCTAAACAAGCGAATCAGCGATCTTGAAGAATAAAACATCTACCAGAGCATTTTCCAAGTCATTCATTCCGTTGTTCTTAACTGCTCCGGAGACTTTACCGATCCTCAGCGACTTCTGTCTTTATTAAAAACGACTGCCGTTGTGTTTGGCGACTCTGTTCTGTTACATACTAATAAACAAATACAATTATGATGTAGGCCAGAAAAATGAGCTTCCCCTCATTGAAAGACCAGCAGCCGCCACTGTTGTAAAGTGTTACCAAGTCTTTTTTGATTTATTTGTGCAGGATCATCAGCACAGCTTGTTGGAGTCTGTCCTTAATTCTCTTTGCTAAAATGAGGACCCTTTTTACTCACTGCACACCCAGTTAGGTGTTTCCTCTAACTTCTAATGGTGCTTCAGTTCAGTTACATTCATAACTTCAATACCACACGGACACTTTCACCACATTTGATTCAACAAACGAAGGTCTTGCACCAAATCTCTGTGGATAAAACACCGCTTTTCTGCTTTTTCTGCAGATCTTAGTCCCAGGATTAGTTGCCCACACAGAGACTCTATCGTGGGCTCAGTTTATGGGTCACTCCTGTGGATGAATGAGTCTGTATTCTGCGGTAGATCTGAGCATGTAGGCAACCGTGTTATTGTGCTGCTTTGTAATCCTTCTTCTGAATTTGGTCCCAAACAAAATGATGTTTGCTCAATGTTTCAGTGTGTGTAGCTCAGTACGTGTGTGTGTGTGTGTGTTTGTGATGTAGCAGAAGTCAGACCTGGGTGCTGTAGGGCCGGGGCGGAGGTGGAAACATGCCCTTGTGGCTGAAGTGGCTCAGATGGGGGGAACCCTGTGGGGTGATGGACAGTGGGAAAGAGACGGACGGGTTCTCGTAGTAGGTGTGGAAGCCGAGCCGCTCCCCTCCGTTATGCAAGTCGTTTGTGAGTCCAGAGCGGACGGAGTACGGGGAACAGGTGGGGCAGTGGTTGTGGTGAGAGCCAGAGTCCAGCTGATCCAGGGAGACGGGGGTGATGGCGGCGCCGTCCATGGCGAGGATGTTGCAGGCATTGCAGGGGAAGTGAGAGAGAGGGTCTGGCGCTGCGGCGGGGGCAGCGTCCACCTCAGAGCCGTTCTTCTTACAGCAGTAATACTGCAGAGGGGAGCCGAAACAGAGACAGACGGAGGAAAAGGTCACGGTGACTGCCTGCTGAATTATAAAGAAGAAGAAGGCTATCAAAGCGATAACGCCAACATAGAGACACGGTGATACCTGGAGTCTACAGTAACAGAGCACTGCTATAATGCACAGCAGTATCACTCCGGCGAGAATTCCTCCGGATATAACGATAGTTCCCGCTGACATTCGACCAGCTCTCCATCAAACCCTTCAGACAGAAGAGAGAAGGAGACAACAGTTCGAGAAAGAAACACAACCAGCTAATTAGACATCTGGGGCCTCATTTAACAATCATGCGTAGAAAAGGTTCTAAATTCTGGTGTAGGAATGAAATCTAAAATGAGCGTAAGTAAAAAAAAAAAAACGGTCGTACGCACACTCATCGGTTATGATAAATCCCACCTGTTCTTTATTACTGTGCTCGTGCATGGTTCGGGTCATTTGCATTCAGAAACGCCTCCAATTGACCGCATATAGTATCAACAAACCCCTAAAAACAAGTAAGTGGATTTTTCCCCCTCGACTAAATCATGGAGGTGCACACTCACAGAGCTGTTCCTACAGGCCACCAGGCAACAACATTTAACAGGTTCATATGTGCTTCGCAGATTATTTGTCTATTGATTGAATGAAATCCTTTCCTGTTTACATAACTAAATTTATTGTGTGAAGGTGCTTTTATTGCAATGTGGGTGCAATCTATGGCTCCATTTATGTTTGGGAATCCCACGATGGCTTTTATTTTGGCTTGTTAGTGATGTGTGTACGGGAACTGGATGTGAGTTGAGGCCAGAGAAATTATTGCATCCAACTCTGCCGGCACCATTCTGCTTAGCGTTGGCTGCAAAATGCTGCATATGTCTCCAATCTCAAGGACAAGAGCTGGATGTGCACTGGGATGGCTTTGGTGCGTTTAGTCTCTCGCTCCAACACGGGCTGTAAATCACGGCATAAATCCTTGAAAATGTTTTCGGGGAAGCGGTACCTGCTGAAAAGCCACTCTGTGTTCTCACTGAACATTAGGGCCCAACCGATTTATCAGCGACGACTAAATCAGCCAATTTTAGCCCGCTTGAGACTAATCAGTAATTGGCCAAAACTTGCCGATTTTTGCCGATATTTTCAGAAATAAAATGCGGAGAATAAGATTCGGTTTCACTTCGAAAATGTTCCGACATTTGAAAAGTTCCCCGACTTATCCTGTAGATGGCGCAGAAAACACGCAAAATTATTTTGAGGTTGTCCTGTCACAGCTGATTTTATAGCTTGTCGCACCAATCATGCAAAATGTCTGCGTTTGATAAATTTTGTACAGAGGAAACGGGGAACATGTGTGAAGTCTGAGATCGCTGAACGCTGTGACTCCTTTAATGGGTTCTATCTGTAGTTTCACTGTTCTACCACTAGGTTTTGTGCGTAAGCGTGGTCAGAGTTGTGCTTAAATTTATGAGCACAAGTATGGGTTGATAAATTCCATACTTTGCGTGGGAATGTTCGTACGCACTCATTATGCACACATCTGTGCGTACGCAGGGTTAGTAAATGAGGCCCCTGGACTTTAGCCGTGCTGGAGATTCAATTCAAGTCTCTGCACAATGATCAGCGTTTGATCAGAGTTTTCTATAACACCGACTGAATGAGTATATTGATGTAACATTGTGATGTAACCTCAACTGATGAAATACGCAGTAACTAGTTTGGTTATCACACAGCTTTTATCAGACAGCTGGGGTTATCTCAGGACGAGCAGATGCAGATAGATGATAAATTAAAATGATGGCTCAGCGTTAGAGTGACTTGTCTCGTATTCAGAAGGTCTGGGGTTCAATCCCAGGTCCCTCAAAGTGTCCCATGGCAAGCCCACTCTCTCCGATGGGATTAGTGCTGCAGCAGACTCGCAGTGTAACACAGGCTTAAAATTACGCCTCCGAAGCTCACTCCTCTCCAGATATCTTAGATTCAATCAGTGCGCACACAATACTCCGTCTGTAAATGAGGCTTTTTGCCTTTTGGCCACGACTCTGTACTGAACACACAAACATCAGAGCGGCATCAATCTTGTAATTTCCCTTTTAAGAGGACAACAAATAAGCTCATTTCACACAATATCTGCTCGTGTAGTCTGGGTCTCTCAAATATGTTGAACAGAGGAATTTTGTTTCCCCGCTAGTAAGGCGCGAAAAGTCGGATATCTCATCGTGCAGGTGGACGCTTACATTAGAAGACAGCAGGAGATGCAGAGACAGAGGAGTGAGCGCAGGTTGGAAACCATGACAGGCCTGCAGGGCGTTTCTCTTAAAACCTTCCTCACTGGGAAACCTGCAGAAAAACAAACAAATACAAGAAGATTTGTGTTTAAAGCGTGAGTCTACAGTCTGAGTGGAGTTTTCAAAGCTGTGTTGGAAATTCTGACTCCACCTCAATCTCAGTTTTCTGCTGAATGCTTCATCTTGTATTTGATTTAGTGTTATCAAACGTAAACAAAAATGGAAATACAGCTAAAAAAAAATAAACGTAGAGCAGAGAGCAGCACAAAAATCACCACACTTGACAGCTGGAATTAGTTTATGGCTCCTGGCAGCCGAGGGATTTTTTCGTTCCCTGAATCAAAAATGTCAAATTAATCAACTTCACTCTCAGCAGGATGATAAATCATAACAGTTATTTCACAAATAATCTGGTTTACAATGAAGATCCTCAAAGACCTGCAGTGATGAGATGAAACAACATGAAGTTTAGGGCAGGAGTATCAAAAGCATCTCCTCAGGGACCACTCTGGATGTCACTCAGGAGTAGAAAGCCTGGGCGATTTGGCAAAACAAAAATGATCACGATATATTTTGTCATATCGTCCGATCTCGATTATTATCACGATTTTTTTGAACTGCCAGTTTTAAAGCATCTGTACTTAAAACTTAAGAAACTAGAGATTAGTTCAACATTTTATTAACAGGCAAAGTAAATAACAAAGCAAATTGAATAAGATAAACTTAGAAAAACATAAAAAGCATTTTAACTCAACAGAACAACAAATGTAGATAAATTCTAAATAATACAGTGAAGTTTACCGTCTAAGTGTTTTCACAGGTATGCAAGACCCAAAATAAACAAATCTCCCCCTCAGGGACAATGAAGACGCCTTAAAATGTCATCATTAGATGATGTAAACGCTAGATGATATGATTGATTGATTGCTTTGGTCTGGTGGCTGCACCGCTAGTTGTGGCTAAACTGCTAATGTTACTTGTGCCGTCAGCAGTGGCAGGCTGTTCAGACTCTGCTCGCATTTTCATGCTTTCCGCATAATCACTCGGCAAAGTAAATCTCCAAATGATTCAACAGATCTGTTGTGTTTCTAGTTTTTTAGGGCATTGATCGGCGAAATATCTAGCACATCGGCTTAATTGCGCAACGTCACTTTGGAGATACCCGAGCCAACGCCACACAACCGAGGTTGAAGAACTTCAGAGAAAGGCTATGTTCACACTGCAGGTCAATTCCGATTTTTTAACCATATGTGACACATATGTGATTTTTTCATGTAAGTGTGAACAGCGCATTTCTGATTTTTTCAAATCCGACCCAGGCCTCTTTTGTATGTGGATATAAATCAGACATGTATCCGATGTGACTGCAGTGTGGACGTTCAGGTCGCATTCGTCTGACCTATACATCATCAATATGCAACAAACGTCACCATTGTTCGGCAACACAAACAGGCGCTGAAAGAAATTTGTACTTTGTTTGCATGCGGGTCACTTCATGGACGCATTCCATTCACATTAGATGCCGCATTCGTTGTTGTAATGTGAACGACCGCACAAAAAGATCGAAATGACCAAAAAATCCGAATTGTGCATCATAACCTGCAGTGTGAACTTAGCCAAAGTCATGGCTGACATCTATTTTGTTGCCTACGGCTCCGCGTTCAGCTCCATGTTTGGTCATTCCGTTTACTTCTCCGACAACTTAGTGAGCATCGATCATGATCATATAATCGCCCAGTCCTACTCAGGAGGGAGGAGGATTATCATGCTGGACGCAGCAGCACCCTCACCATATGGCCACTTAGTTGTGTGCATATGTGCAGCGCAGCTCCAGCATACTAAATCTGAGTTGTGTATGTATGTCCTGTCACAACTGGTTCGCTGTGACCGGTTCAAGAGCGCCTAACAGGATCTATACAATCAAATCACCCTGTAAAGAGACGTCATTACGACACGGTTTAAAACGCACACTGCAAACAGACCTCCATGTCAGGGTGAAACCAGGAGAAAACACAGACATGCGCAAACACTTCAAAAAAATATCAAAGTACTAAAATTTGTCAGGTCCTCCAGAGTTTGGAGTCGTCTCGAACAAATAACTCTGATTGACAGAGTCGCACGGGAGCAGAATTGGTGCAAATGAGAAGAAATCACGAGTCCCCCTTTTCGTAATTATCTCCACTGCACACAGCAAACGCAGCGTCTCGCCTTATAAACAAGTCCATCTGACAGAAGGCGAATAAATTAGCTGCGAGCCGGAGATACAGAATAAATAGACATGTAGCTGAACTTCACTTCTTTTTGGCTGCAGTCGCATTAAAACACCGAGCACAAAGTCTAAATATTAATTCACTCGCTGAGAGAGAAATGACCTTTCTATCCATTTATAAATACATGAATTTGACATTAATTTAAACTAATTTATAATGGTCGGGCTCTAGCAGGACTACTAATCTTAAACTTTGTCATTAGAGTAATTACAAGAGCAGATGACTTTGTAAAACTACTGTTGAAGTTGATTAGCTCAAACATCCTCAGCGGAGAGAAAGAAAAATATTTTATTATCCCAATTACACTGATGAAAAAACTATCAAGCCTCTTTCTCATTACTGGTGTATTAATGTAATTTTCTAAAAGCCACAAGCCTCTGAAGGCTTTAATTCAATGGGAATTTTAGTTTTAGTGCCAAATGAGATGGTTCAAACGCTGCGGCACTTAGACTTTCAGCACCGAGGATTCTCACCCAGAAGGTAAAAACTAATCCGAGTTTGCGGCTGAGTGGTTTGTGACTGTGGAGCCGCGTCCCCCACCTTTGCTCCAGAAACACCCATGCTGAGTTTTTTTCCCCTCTTTGTGCTTCAATAGTCTGAATAGGAGGAAATATTTTAAAATATGTAAAGACAGGGTAAAAATTTTAACAGACGGAATCATGGAGGATAACGTGTGTGTTGAAATGATCATGTTTGGCTCCCTCGCAGACACTTCACTCGGTGCAGTATCTTCCATTGCGTCATGGTACTAAATTATATACACCACGGTCCACGATAATGTAGTTAAAAGCGAAGTGAAGTCTCTCTTAGTCCCCGTTTCTCTGTCTCCTCACCTCCTCCCTCTCCTTTCCCGCTGCCTCGCGTCTCCTCATTTCTCCTTTTGCCTCTCGTTCACTCTTTCAGCCTTATCTCCTCTATCGTTTCAATTCCTCTCACTTCATGGCTTCAAAGCTGAAGTAGTGCATCACTTCTGCAGCTTTACCGGCACATTAGGAACAAATGTAATCCTCGTCTGAGGTGTATTGGCAAAGACAAAAGCCAGTGAGTCTCTCCAGGGCGAAAAAAAATAAGATTTTAGGACGAGAATGCAACTGAGTGATACTAGAAAGGGAGCAAAGAGGTGAAGTCTCAGATTAGAGAGTTTCCAACAGACTGGAGAGACAAAGACACAAAGTGACAGAGGTTGGGAGACTCGACTCGAACGCTGTCACAGTATCTTAACCAGCACGGTTCAGGAAGGACTCTCAGTGGATTTAAAGCTGTCTGATTCAACTAGGAAAAACACGCAAACACAAATCCAAGCAAGAGCACACGTTTTACAATCCTTTGTTCACAATACGGTGCCGGAAAGGAGTCAGAGGATCTGCCAGGAATCCTGTCAGCTCCTGACTCCAATCAACAGGAAGGAGACTGTCTCATTGAAGGAATCAGAGAGAAACAAACCAAAAACTAACCCCCTTTGAGTGATTCAGTGCCCTACAACTCCCAGGTGACCAATGGACCAGCATCAAACATTACAAAGCACTTCAGTGACAGTCGGCAGTACTTCAATACTTTGTGATTTACGGAGTTCTGGACTGAAGCTGAATAGCAATGCTTAGTGTGTTTGTTGCAGAGAGAAGGACGTGCAAAAAGAGCGCATAAGAGGGAAATCTAGCTGCTGTGAAGACAACCAGGGGTTACTGAAGCAAGATCTAATGATCCCAGCGACAAATTTCCCTGCTAATAAAACAGGAATTTAACTTCTCTCTCATTAAAAGGTGTTAAAGAAGCATCTTTTTCTGTGGTGTAAATACAAAAAAGCTTTTAATATCAGTCAATAGCTATTAGTCATTTATGACATTTGGTAATATAATGATATTGTGTGCATTTTAAAATTTTTGAGCAGCTCGCGGTTTCTGACTGTAAACAAAGCCATTCCCTGCCTCCTCCAACCTGATTGGTTGTGAGGCAGACGCTGCTCCCCATGTCGTTCACGAGCCCAAATAAAGTTAGCGTGTTACAATATCGAACAGTCTGAATCCTCCTTTAGCCACGACTGCCAACACAAGCAAGAAAACAAAGTACATACCGGAGCAGTGTTGTTTTCGTTGACAATAACGTTGACGTTGACGAAAATATTACGTCAACGCCATCATCAACAAAAATAACATTGGTTGTTTTCGCCCCTTTTTTTCCACGCCGAAAGACGTGAGGTTGACAAGTCTTAGTCTCAGATGACTAAAATGTGACGAGATAAATGTACGGTTACGTTGACAAGACTAGACGAAAACGTTAGTGGTGGATGACGAAAAGAGTTGCAAAATTCATGAACATTTCGTCAGTCAAACGCTAAACTCGTCAACGAGACTCTGGTGGAATAACGAGCGCTTAAAAAGGGGGTAGACCGTACAAGCCGGGTCAACAATGATGGGGGACGCTTTGGGATCTCACAGACCCTGTAACCTTTCTGCTGGACAGATAAACCACTTTAACAAAGTAAAGAAAGTGTCTGTAACAGAAGTGTTTCTTGTCAAACGGGACCTGCTGCATGTTGTAGCGCCGCTAAATTGTTTACCTTGGGTCCTGGACTATGTCTCTTTATCCTAGTTGTAGAAGTCCTGCAAACATTGTGTTTTCTGGTAGTCTGTTGGCATCTACAGTAGCACCAATGCTTTTTACTTTCACGTTGACTGGGACCCATCGGTAATTGAGTGGGATTGCGAAGCATTCCCACTATATGTTATTTATATCTTTATTATTATTGAGTGGGATTGCGAAGCATTCCCACTATATGTTATTCATATCTTTATTATTATTCCACCGTTTTTTGTGCCCTAACTACTTCCACATACTTCAACGTATTCAAACCATTCAAACTTCAAAAGATTGATCTCATTGAGGACATTCAGGGGTGTATTCAAAATTTTCCTAACATTCATACTTTCCGAGATATTCCAGGTTTTCCGACCCATTTCTCCCATTAGAAATGCATTACGGAATGTTCAAATTGGCCCTTTTCTCACATTTTCTTCACACAACTTCAAAAGCCTTCAACTCCTCTATACTTCCACATAGAAACTTCATTCAAAAACCAAAATATTCACAAATTCGTCAGCATTATTCCACATCTTCAACATTTTTAATCCCATTTGTACTTTTCAAAATATTAAGATTTGTTTAAAACTTCGTTATAATGGCAGTCAAAGGGAAAAGGGCTTCAGACGTAGTCAGCTTCAACCTCTTCTCATTCATTCATACTTTCACCTAGAAACTTCATTCAAACTTTAAAATATTCACACATCTTCAGACATTCACTCATTCATTCACCATCTTCATGGCATCCATACTCTTCTCACAGTGACAGTTCAAAAATTCACAGGATTTTCTGACCGGTTCAGGTTTTAACATTAGTGTGTATTGCACGGAATGTTGGCCGCTAGAGTGGGTGACCTCACAGCTAGAGTGAGACAGGCTGAAAATTGATCCTCAAAACTTTGTCTTTACAAAAGGATTGTGGCAACTCACTTCGCTCTACACAGATAAAAATTGGTACAGTGATGGCAAAACTCGCTGTCACTCTTCATCTAAAAAATCAAAGCAATGGGACACACACAGTGGCCTGGGCAGACACCAACTGCCGCAAACATCCCCCAGATTTCTCCAGCCTTCTCCATTGACTCCAATGTAAACCTGAGAGGAGGATTTTCAGAGGAAACACAAACTGGACATGTTTTTAACTTGTCGTAGTGAAGGCATTTTTGGCTCCACAAACACCAAAGTTGTATCAACGTGTTCAGCCGGGCCTTGTGGTTCTTACAAGCTCTCTATCATAAAGATAGCAGTTAGAGAGGATGAGAAATATGACGTTGTTTGGGCATTACGTTCTCAGCCTCAAGCCTCCTTTCTCCTGCTGTTGTTAAGCATCTATCGTCACCATGGCAACCAATAAGAGCACCTGGAGACACACAGCTGGCTGGAAAGCTGCTTCTAACAGCCATATGAGACACATGAAGCCAGGCTCAGTACACAGAGTACTGGGGGTGACATTTAAAACCCTTCAATAGAGTTATTTGACGAAATTTGTCATCTATCTCTTCACACAAACCTTGAGCTACAAAAACCATCCAGGGCTTAATAAATTCAGCTCACTGAGGACATTATGGGGTCTAATCAGGATTTTTATTCATTTACATTGTCCCCATTTTTCAATCATTCATTGAAAATGCATTATTTAACTCTTCAAACTAATTTAAACTCCTTCAAACTGATTTAAACCGTTTTGATTCTACAAACCTCTTTTTCTTCCAGATCTGTAACCTTCTAATTTTCCAGTTTTAAATCATTTTTTACTTTTAGTGCATCTTTCAGTTCTTTCAAACAAATTCAGACTCATTTAAACCCATTTAAAACTTATTTATTCTTCAAGCCTTTCCCATGCTTCAGGGTTTTTAATCATTCTAATTTTCATACGTTGAATTTTCAAAATTATTGTCCATGCATTATTCAATTCATTCAATTGAGTTTATTCAAATTAATTCAAATCTTCAAATCTTCCTGATACTTCATACCTTTTGACCTTTCACATATTTTTAAAAATCAGCCATTCGCAATAGCAGTTTAGCGATAGCAATTTCAACTGAAGCAATCCCACTCGCAATTTCTTCAGAAATTGCATTTTCTAGTTATCTTAAGTATTTATCTGCATCATATCTGAATTTAACTAGAACGATACGAGCGAGCAGGAGCGTCTGTTTGTGGGCGGGGCTTGCTGGAGCAGAGAGGGAGGGGAGAGGAGGAGCTGAGGGGAAAACTGGTTGGCAGGGGTAGAGTTTATAGTCAAGATTTCTTCCTCAGATCCTGCCTACCCCACCTTTAAGCGGTTGAAATTGTGACAGTCAACAGTCAAAACTGTCCACAACTTCTTTGAGAAAAACCCAGAACCATGTTGCACAGCTACTTTAAACACCATTTTAAGCAGTTCAGCACATTCCTCAATGGACAGCTATTGTAAGTGATACTGAAATGTACAGCATTTTTTATTAATAATAAAAAAACCCAGCAAAGTCTCCTGCAAAGCAAGGCTGCAGGGCACCGAATAAAAGATAAAAAATAATCTTTAAAACACATTGAGTGCTTGTGAAATGTGTAGCACTGAAACATGGTACATTCACTCGTAAAACATGACTGCAAATCACAACGCTGAACTCAAATCCGACAGTTAAATCCCAAAATATTTATTAAAGGCCTTATCAGTCATCAGAGAAACTCGACTACCAATAATAGACACACAAAGTGATAACAGTTTGATTTAGATTGTGATTTATTGGCTATTAAACAAAAGCATGCTGTCGTCTATCTGCTCTAAACAGCTGGTGTTCTGCTCTGATAAGTGACCTTGTTAACTGGTGACTTTCAGCAATTGTTGTAGTTCTGACAGCTGCTGAAAAACACAGAGTCCTCCTGATGCCTTTTTTTGTTTGTAAATGTGGCCAACTACCTGTTCTAAGTCCAAATTCGTACCAGGTCAGGTGCATTCAGAGCCAATGACACAGAAAACACACGGCCACAGATAGTCAACCTGCAGTCTAACAGCAGGCGAGAGCTTAAATTGACCGTATGAACCTCTACGTTCCAAGCTTGTTGACAGCAGAGTTTACTTCATTTGCAGATTTTGCATCGTAGCTCTGCAGGAGCTTTGTTTTTCAGTGAATAAATTAAGGTTTTTGCATTTGCTAAGACTGCTTGTCCTCCAAACCATCAGTCTAGAAAATAAGGGTAGAGCTGAAATCATGGGTCTGTTTCCTACTAGAAGTGTGACTTAAAACTGAGAAAAAAACCTTGAGATGAATTCCTAATTATGTGGTGTTTTAAAAGGGAAACTGCAAAACATGATCTGGTTGAGCTCCTCAAATTTGCATCTAAGGCAGTGGGTCTCAAGTCCAGTCCTGGAGGCCCACTGTCCTGCATGTTTTGGATGCTTCCCTGCTCCAACACACCTGATTCAAATGATCAGCTCGTTATTAAGCCATTACAGAGGTTGATAACGAGCTGATCATTTGAATCAGGTGTGTTGGAGCAGGGAAACATCCAAAACATGCAGGACAGTGGGCCTCGAGGACTGGACTCGAGAACCACTGATCTAAGGTTTTTCTTCATTCTAATCACTAGGGGTGGGAATCACTAGTGGCCCCACAATACGATATTATCACGATACTAGGGCCACGATACGATATTATTGCGATTTTTCACATTTTGCAATGCAATAAGTATTGCGATTCAATATATTATGATTTATACAATTTTTTAAAACTGTTCAGCTAATTTAGCATTTGTCTTCCCTTTATGTTTACACTGTATTTTATTTTCATGTAGTATTTCTCGAAACCTTATATTTGTTGTACTCTGCCAACCTCACTGGACAAACAGTTGATTTTATTTTTCTATTATCATAGATTTGACTTCATATTAGAATTAATTTGAAAAATCGATACTCGTCAAATGAGATGATACGATACATCACCAGACAAAATATTGCGATACAATGCTGTATCGATTTTTTCTCCCACCCCTAGGGATGTGCCGATATACGATTTAATCGCGATATTAAACGGCCGCGATGATGAAATTGTGCGGTACTGTAATAATCATTCCACAATTATAATTTAAAGATGAGTGGCAGCGCACTCAGTCGAAGCCGAGTACTTACCTGCTTATAATTGACAATGTTAGTGACGTTTCTGCTAACTTTAGCTCCAAAAAGCTAATGCTCCCAATGTTGTGTTAGCTGCCTCTTGCTCATATTGTTTGTGCGTGCCATGCTGTGCACAGAAAAGTGATTTCGCAGTTTTTTGCCATTTTTAATAATGTTAAAATCAATGCGCTAATATCGTGATAATATCGTAAATCGGGATATTTTGGGCCACCAATATCGTGATCAAATTTTTCATATCGGCACATGCCTAGTCTCCTCTGCCAACCTTACTGGACAAACAGCTGATTTTATTCTTCCATTATCATAGATTTGACTTCGTATTAGCAATTAATTTGAAAAATCGATACTTGGCAAATGGACAATACGATATATCACCATACAAAATATTGCGATACAATGCTGTATCGATTTTTTCTCCCACCCCTAGTAATCACATTAAGTTGACAAATCCAGCTGCAGCTACTTTCCAAACCAAGTGGTTGTTTTTCTCTTAAGACCTTTGAGAACTTACTAAAACACATCAGTATGTTTTATGATCTTGTGTGCATTTGTCATAATAAGATTTTCATCTTGATTAAACATCTCTTATACCCTCATTTTTTTCTTCCTTTCTCTTTTACAAATCATGGAAAAAACTGCCGATTACTCATGTTCAAGCTTCCACAACCTCATTTGGTTCAGCCCTTCATACGGTTAGAAATGTTAAAGAGAGGTGGAGAGGTTCACCTTTCTCTTGCTGAACTATATTTAGCAGTTTTGTCGTCTCTTGACACGCTGAAAAGCAGGAGATGAGAGGCAGCTGAGAGAGGTGTCATATTTTAATTTGTTTTCTCTGTGGGAAATGAAACGATCCTCGCTGTCAGCTAAATGCCAACCCACAGAAAAACTCAAGTACGTGCGTGTAAGTGTGTATGTGTGTGTGTGTGCGCAACCGGCTTAAACACACACACACATATCCGGCATGCACTTACACAATCACGGCCAAACAAATCCCTAATTGAAAGTTGGAGAGGCAAAATGACTGCATCCCTGGAAAGTTTGGAGTGGGCTGATGTGGTGATGATTTGTGTTTTAAATTAAAAACTCCTTCTCCCGTGTGACACCTGGGTGAACCATGGAATGAAAATTTAATTAGAAAGCATAACTTTAAACTGTAGGTGAAGGGAATAGCTTGACATTTTGGAAATATGCTTATTTGCTCTGAACGTGGGAGTCGGGTGATTTACATTGCTCTTATACATCTCCATAACATATGACGCAGGAGCCGGGAATTAATTATCATAGCTTAGCATAAAGACTGGAAACAATGGGAAAGCACTTTAGATGCTCGGTCTGAAATTTGCACTTTTGCTTCCTCTTCAGCTCAGTGATAATTTTCTCTTTGTTTGTAAAGAAACACTTTGGTTTGATGTTGTGTTAGAGTTGTTGGACTATCTCTCTGCAGGAGGAGTGACTTCCTGGGTTCTGCTCATCCTGAGGAGAGGTGTAATCGTCTGAGACTGCTGGAAGTGGTTCAATGAGCCAAGGCAAGAAACAGCCCAGAGGAGCCCCCTTTTGTCATTCTGGGGCGGGACAGACTTTGTGCGAAACTAACCGTAACTTCACTTCATCTAAAAAAAAATGAATTCCTATAACGTTTTCTTTTCTTTTCCCATAAACAAACAAATAATGAAAACCAGCTAATTCTACAGAGTCCAAGACACAAACTCATTCATTTTCCCTGAATAAACACCTTATTCCGTTGATCAGCCAATCAAGGGACTTATTTCGTTTTACAGATGACTCTGAGGCAGAAACAGTAGCTGCGTTTACATGGGTACAAATAATCGGAATAAATGACCGATCAGAATAAAAATTCGCCTTGTAAACGTGTCAATTGTAAGATTCTGATCCAATACGGCTCAATCGAAAAGAAATTGTATTCTGATAAAGTAGGGTGGTTTATGCCGATTGTTATCCGAAAACATGTCCATGTACTTGATCTTCACTCTTTAGCCTTTGACTTTTTTATTGAGGCCAGTACAGGAGGTTTCTGACTTTACTAACACTCTGGCATGAAACACAACCGCATGTGCCGTGTCTGCTCCTTTGGTAAGATAAAAGTGTAATAATGTCCCATCTGCACACACAGTACAACCTTTGACAGAACTGTAAAATAAATACGCAAAGGTGCCATCTATTGACAACATTTAACAGAGGGAAAACTCCTGAATTGGATGAAGTGAGCCACTACCACGTTTGTTGGTTTGTTGACAGCACAGGCGTAAACACAACTCTTCTTCTGCGGTTGCAAAATTAGACAACTCTGCGCATGTCCAAACGCTTCTAATCTCATTAAAGATTGGTTCATGTATACACACGACATGATTGGATTATTTGATTTTGCGCCCATATAAACAGTGGTTTCAGATTATCTGATCCCTCGAAGTTTTGATCCGATCAAGATATATAAACATGGCTAGTGTTGGAGTCAAGTTACCAAACTGAAGGTGTGAGTCCTCTGTGTTTAAGCCTGATTTGAGTTTGAGTCAACAAAAACATTAAGAGATGAGTCACCATTATCTGAGGATGAGATCGAGTCCTCAGGTGTTAGTAGTATTTATAACAGTTAGGTGTTTCATTTCAACCTAAGACTGACTATGTGGGGCTTTTTGGATGTGTATAAAACACTTCATGAACATTAATTACATGTAAATTTACAGTGTTGTGCCCCATGCTAAAATGTGCACTGCATAGGAAATGCACTAAAATATACCTTCAGCTTGAGGTCGGCAGATTACGGTTTTCCAATAGCTGATGCCGACACTGATAAAGAGAGGGCAGGTCGATAAGAGTGACTAATAGAAATGGAAGAGCAGTAAACACAAGTCAGAGTCCTCCTCTCCTTCCTTGTCCTGATGGAGCTAATATTCGTGTTCAAGTCCAGGTCTAGTTACGGGTCCTGAAAATCATTAGAATGTCATGTTAAGACAAAAAAGGTTTGAAATCTTAAGTTATGTACTTCATTTTGACCCTCTTAGCCAACCAGTGCCTGAGTTTTAATTTATTTCAAAGAGAAATATCTGGTAAAAGGAGACCTTACACATACAGAGTAGGACTGAGGGATGGAGAAGGGGGGAGGGAGGGAGGGAGGCAGAGCCTGAGTGGCTCTCTGATATATCCATTCTTAAACGATGAAATGAATATTTCGTTGAGTTAGCCTCTAAGTTTGCGCTAGAAATCACAGCGAGTCCCTGCAATTTTAAAGCCCCGGGGCTTCAATTATTCAAGTATCATTCCTTTTACAATATTTTTCCATCACAGGGCAATTCAGCCAGGTAGTAAAATCTGGACTTTGCTGTATCGTCGCTCTCTGAAAGCACTCATCTCAGCGTGTGAGGAGAGGAACACATCCACATCTAGGACAGAGACACCCTCGGCTCGAGCAGGAGGGAACAAAGGCGGCAAAGAATGGGGGAAAAAAGGGGGAGGGTGGAGAAAAAGTGGATGATTTCATTTTCGGGTGACCGTTTTTCCATTTGACTGACACACCTACACTCCCTTAGGTCTCCTTTTGTGTTTGAAAGGTAACCAAGCGTAATAGTTACCCCTTAGTTATTCATTTTGCATTAGTTCTATTGCAATAAACAAAAAACTGAGAGTGTGGATGTTGCAAGGGTTAAACTCTGAGTAGATGGCGCCCAAAAAAAAAAAAAAAAGGGATGAGATCACAGCTGGAGATATTCAAGTGAACATCTTTAGTACCAGTATGAAGAGCAAAACCCCCCTGAGGTGCAGAGCAGGGATCAGAGACGCCACAGGAGCAAACCTTGTGGGCAAGAGGTTCATAGATGGCTTCTGTTTGACCCTGTAGAGTGTGTGTGTGTGTGAGATAAAGAGAATAAGCACAAACACACAGCTTACCTGCAAAAGTCACCATCTGCGGGATCTCATCCTCAAACTGTGCAGCAAAGCCCCCTGGGAAAGTAGTAAAAAAAAGACATGACATCAGCGTTAAGTGCGATGAGAAGACTCCGTGGTCAATGGCGTGTTGGTCAGCTACACTGCAGCTCTCGTAGATGAGAAGATCAGTCCTCTTCGAGACTCTTCATCACTCCCTTTCACTTCCAGATAGTGTTACAGGTTATTAGATGAAAAGGACAATCACTTATTAGACATCTTATGGAGCACAAACCTGAAAAGTGTGGAAAAGAAGCAGATTTTTTGGTCATTCTTGCACAAACTCTGTTATTTCCACTTCATTTATCTAAGAGAGGAGGAAAAAAAAGGTTAAAATGTCGAGATGATAGCAGCTCACCTTGAATAGATTAGCTCACCTAACTGTCCAGAATAGGCTCATAATTTAGTATGAATGTCAAATTCAGGTGTACAAGATCCATTAGCGAGATAAAAACGTGAACTGGTACTTTTGAGAGAAAAGCAGAGGTAATGTTTTGACTGAATGGGCGGCTGGAGGTCAATTTAGCAGCTGTTACATCACTGATTAGCCTCATTTTCACTCAATTAAACGGAGAAATTGCTGCGCAGAGCCGTTAATAGGCGCGCGGACGGTTGTAAAGCCAACATGCCTTACCTTTCAGACTGAGGAGGGGGGGAATCTCAGCAACCTGTTTGAGAGCCCGTGTGTCTTTTTAATTACTGCGGTCAGGTCCGGGAACGTATGCAGCAATAAAGTCCAATGAATACCTCCTCAGCACCGGTCACTAACGACGCCCGGAGCGCCCCTGTGCTCGCGCAACAACCGGAACCACCACGTCATTCTCCGCCGTCGGTTTTCCTCTCTTTCCCTCCAGTTCACTCACAGACAGATGCCAGCGAGGAAGGCCGGTGGGGAATCTCATGGCACCCTCCTCTTCTTCTTCTCTAAAGAAGCGCGAGAGATACGTGAAATGAGGCGGCAGTCCGGCTGGTGAGAGGTGCTCCTCCTCGGCATGGCTGCGTCCTCAGCGCGAGCTGCTGGGGGGAGGTTTGGAACCCTGCTGCCACCGGTCCCGGTGGGGCGGGGTGGAAGGAGAAGCAGGGGTGCCACAGTGTGATATCACTTTACCGGGAGGAAAGGCGGGGACAGTGGTGACAGTGGGCAAGGTGTTGAACCCGTGAGAAAAATCTATGAAATAAATCTGTTATCTTAATCCGAGTAAATCTCTTTACTGTTTTCATTGAAGGAAAGTGACACACAATTGTTGGACTCAGGGAATCTGCCGTTTGTTTGTTTTCTATACCTGTGCTCAAGGTCTTTAAAAATGCATTTTGAGATTTCTATCAAAAAGTGTTGGTTAAAGCTCGTGTAAGTAACTTTATGTTTGTGTTGATTTTGGTGCCCCCTGCAGAGAACTATAGGCCTACATCTAATCTCTTTACTGATTTTGTCCTGTACAAAGTCAAAGTTGCATTTCCAGACAAAAAATATGGTGGCCAGGAACAGCCACTGCTGCAAATAAAAAAGAATGCAAAAAAAATGCAGTCACAATGTAAGTTACTGATGCAAAAAAAAAAAAGAAACCGAATCCCGCTGCAAATAAAAAAAGAAACAGTGCAGATAAAAAAGCCATAAAGGGAGTTAACGATGCAAAGAAAAAAAAAGTTACTTGCTGTGAAAATGAGAGGATGCAAATAAAAAAAAAGCCACATCAAAAGTGAGCTGCCAGGGACCAAAAATGATAAAGCACTGGTGTTTTACGATCTAGACACAGACGACGACGGCGAGTGGACGAGCAAAGAATTAAGTGAAAAGGTTATTGTTTAATTTTGCTTCGTAAACTTTTCAATGTGTCATTTGGTTAGGCCATGTGGCGCCCGAGTTGATATGAAGTTCAACTGAAGCTAACACTACACCGGTAACACCGGCATCCTTACTGGTAACTTCTCTAAAGCTACAACGATCTACTACCCAGATGTAAACAAGCACAGGTGGCAGATGGCATCACTCAGCACGTTTACATGACACTCAAGAAAACCGAATTATTGTCTCACTCTGACTAAGACCGGACAACTGAAGTGCATGTAAACACCTTAGTCTGACTCCAATCGAAGTTTGAGAACTCCGATTGGAGTTGGAGAACTCCGATTAAGACACCCAGATAATGCGATTGTAATTTGATTTTCTCTACCATTTAACCAAAGTAGTCTGAGTATGATCGGACAATACATGTGCGCGTGCACCACACCTCTGTAACCCCGGAACAAAAACACCAGAGAAGACGTGGCGCTATCATTTAAAAAACTTAAGACTCCGAAACAACTGCAACATGGCTGAAGCATGAAAGAATGTCCACTTTTGAAACGACGAGGAGAATGTCGTTATGCATTTTAAAGTATATGGACGGTCGCAAACCCAGGAACGGAGACATCTTTTAAAAAGGTCCAGAAACAGTGCCGCTGAAAAGACCCATGTCGCCCCCTAGTTTTGGGAAGGAGGACACTTCCACGTCAATAATTCGATTTTCTCAGCGGCATGTATACGTGGACAAGGAAAGAAGTTCAATTCTGTGAAGAAAAAAAAATCGAATCATGAGATTAGTCCAATAAAGCTGTGCATGTAAACGCTCTGACTGAGAGTTTTTGTTGGAAAGTGACTGACTCTGAGTCACAGCCACCCCCATTCACTGACTAAATATGAATACTTAACTGTTCCAATATTTAAGATCCATAATAATTCAAGACCAATGAAAATTCAAGAAAAAAGTCCCCATAGAGAGTAGAGGAACCAGGGCACAGAATGTTCCCACGATGAGAGGACTAATGTTCATGGTGAAATAGAGACAGTAAAAGCTTTCTGACCACAGTCCTGTTTCTGCACAGGACTACCTATCAGTTTTTGCAAAGGGTTTACCTTAAACCTTTTCCTGTGTCCGGGCCCTGGATGGTCAATCCCCCTTTGCTCAACACGCTCTGCTCCGATGATTAACTGCACTTGACTTCTGACCTTTTTGAAAAGGCCTGCAGGGTTTTTGCACTGACACTGAGTTGAATAACTGCAAAGCTCCTCTTTAATGAATCAGTGATATTTTGACATCTAGCCTGAGGAACAGCTCATATCCTGCAGCTATGTGGTGATATTTGAACTCCAAAGACTACGCACTTGTAGCTGTAGAGCTGAGAAATCTCACAAAAACAAAAATATACAAGTTTTGCTGCAAATTAAAGGGTGAGAGAGTGATTGAAAAGGGTTTTTAAGGTCCCTTTTCTGTTGTTTAAACTTGCATTTTAGGTAAAAACACAAGAATATAAAGTAAAATATAGATGTTCACTGTTCCGGTGAACATCCAGGGTCTGGACATCGAGATGGTTGAGTCCTACAGATTCCTGGACTGGTCAACCAACACAGACGTCCTGTACAAGAAGGGCCAAAGTCGTCTCCACCTGCTGAGGAGACTGAGGTCCTTTGGATTGTGCAGGACTCTGCGCAGGACTTTTCCATGACTCTGTGGTAGCATCTGCACTTTTCTACGCAGTGGTCTGCTGGGGGGCAGGGAGCACCGAATGGGACAGGAAGAGACTGAACAGACTTGTTCAGGAGGGCCAGTTCTTTCCTGGACTTTTCTTTGGACTCCCTGGAGGATGTGGGTGAGAGGATGGACAATCCCTCTCACCCACTGTACCAGACTGTGAGGGCTTTAAGCAGCTCTGATCCTTCAGCAGCAGACTGAGACTCCTACCTTGCAAGACGGAGCGCTACTGCAGGTCATTCCTCCCCTCTGCAATAAGACTTTACAATGAACTGTAATAGAACTGGACTCACACCGCCGCTTTTTTCTGGTACTTGATGCTCTTAAAGTGAACTCTAATATGAATGCAGGCTGCTCTCCATGGTGCTGAAGTCCGATTCGAGAAGAAAGACCTCATGCATTCATACGCTCATATAGTGGGGGATTATCATATTAATCTGTTTTAAAGCATTTTCATTCACCAAAGTCCCTAAAGTAACTCGAGCCAACCATCAAGCTACCCCTGCAAACAAGGTCCATTTAGACCATAATACCTCAATAATGAGGAGATTTAGCCCGGCTACACTTGTTTAACGATAATCTCGATCCGGGGATGTGGCTCATCCCTTTAGCATGTCTCTGCCTCTGTGTGTCTCTGGCTAAGTTAAGCTAGCCTTGTAGCAGGGGGCTGATGAAGGCGGACCAGTGGGAGTTCTAAGATTACAGCTCCAATTGAATAAAGGAGTCGACACATTACAGCAGCTTAAATGATACACCCCACTGCACTGCTTAATTTAAAACCAGCACAACCTCGTACGCCGCACACTGAAAAACCACACACAAACAATACGCTTTCAACCAGCCATCCTTTCTCCCCAACGCCATTGTTTCCCACCTCTGGAACACACAAGTCGAGTCTCAAGTCCTTCGCTCTCAAGTCCCAAGTCAAGTCCAAGTCCTGAACTTTTTGTTTTGAGTCCAAACCAAGTCCCTACCATTTCTTTCAAGTCAAAAACAAGTCATATCAAAGCCATAAACCATTTGTGCAACACGTGGAAACAGTCGGGCAATACTAGCGAGCGATTTATGTTCAGTCCTCCTGGTGTTGTCGTTATGAGGGAGGCTAGAGTTTGAGACAGTGTTGCCAAGTTTCGTGAGAGAAATAAGGAAACAGACCTCCAGAAACAAGCCAAAAACAACACTGTGTTACCAACGGCCATAATTCCTGACTAGGAGTTGATGTGACACTTTTTAAACAGTTTGGGCTGTAAGGTATTAAGTGACTTGAAAAGACTTAACTTTTCAAGTCACTGGGCTCAAGTCAAGTCAAGTCTCAAGTCTTTAGCAATCAAGTCCCAAGCGAGTCCAAGTCATTTCTTGATTTCATCAAGCAAGTCTTAAGTCATCAAAAACGGGACTCAAGTCCAAGTCCAAGTCAGGTCTCGAGTCGAGTCGTCAAGCCCCCACCTCTGATGCTCACAGACACAAAGTAACTCATAACCACTCAGCGTGGCGTCTTGTCTCATGACTTGAGCTCATTATTGCCTTGGCAGGGTTTCACAGATGAAATTAGAATGACAACAGGAATGACACAGTGAGTAGCAGGGGAAAGTTTACACAGGGTGAAGTGGAGCGTGTGTGTGTGTACGAGTGTGTGCGCTGAACAAATCTAATCTTCTCTGATTCATGGGCAAGCTTGTCTGCATGCATTTGTGCTACACTTCCTCCTTGTGTTTGTACCCAGTCTGAGAGATGGAGACGGGGCGCGAATGAGAAAGAATGGCTTCTGACAGCAAAACACAGCAGGAGCGCGGCTCTCCGGGACACAGTCACAAAGCTTTTTTCTTTGCGGGACCACCAGTTAGTGTTGACAGCACAGGCTGAGTTCATTTACTTGCAATACTACTTGTGACACAGTTTCATACCCCAAAGGCTGAAGTATGACTTCCTGATCCAGAAGAGTGGCGGGGCACTGCTGCACTCTGTTGAGCGGGCTGTGGCGAACTCTTGTATTTCCTAAAAAGCACAGAAGACATATGGATGAGACACCAATTTTATTGGCCGATCAAGTTTTTCAGGCTAGTCTACACACTTGAACTATGAGGTGCCATTTTAATTCCCCATTTACAGAGGCTATAGCCCATGTAGTTGGTACATGAGGATGAATTCTAGCCAGCAGCAGTATGTTATACCCCACTATCCCTTCTATCCACTCAACAAAGGCACAGGAAATACTCCAATCTTATTTGATATATACGGAAATGAAGAAATAGATATTTAACTATATTAGATAATTTAAACTTTATCTTAACCCTGGAACACTATCGCCAGGTGATTTTCACCCAACCAAACATGTTTATGTGATTTTCATTATGTTGCATTTGTCTGAGTATCATTGGTCCCTGGGTAGCTTCAGCATTTCCTTTGACATCTTTGAAGGCATTTTTGTTTCCCTGATCCAAAACATGTTCAGGTGATTTTCACCCAGCAGTAGTGATAGAGGGTAAAGTAGGTTTGAGTGGATTTGATAGCTGCATGTAGGCGAATAAGATCAGTTAGAGTGGTCTTGGAATTTGCATGCTATCTTTATTTAGCGCAGTGGTTATGAATAACTATCACAAAGTAGTGATTTTCAAGGGAATTTATATGGTGATAAGAAATATTTTAGTCAGCTGGTCATTTTTACTCACTCAAAATCTGCCATATTTTGGTTCTCAGTTATTTATTGCATTTTTATATGGTCCCATCATGGCACTTTTTCCCTCCCTTTGGATATTGCAGTTAAAACTTAAAGAAAACTACATTAATTTCTCATGTATTGTCCTATTTTGATGACAAGTACTCTTTCTTGGGTTTATTATTTCAGGTAAAAATCACCCGGTGATAGTGATGTTGTTACTAATTTTAGCGATAGTCTTCTAGGGTTAAGCACAGAGAAAGAAATGTTTGCTATTTTCTCGGTGTTAAGTGCTTAGCCAAGAGGGTGGTCCAAATGTCTCACTGCGAGCTCAGTTTGAACTCTGAAACCTTTTATTACCAGTGACAGGCAAAAACTGTCTTCTGCTGTATGACGAGGTTCGGTTTCAGGAAGAATACAGCTGCAGTAAATCTTGTGTTCCATTAAAATCACACTGATTTATCCCTCAATAAAGCCTTTATTATATACAGCGGCTCCACAGAAGACAAACCACAGTAATGGAAACACTACAGATAAAAGGCTATCACTCTGGAGTTGCTAAGTTGAAGATATCAGGCTGAACAGCAGGTGGATTTACAACAGATTATAAAGAGCTGTATCAGTGTAAAGACTTCCAAAGTCTTAAAAGAAGTATTTTCATTAACAGTCAAGTGCTGATATGACCTCAGGGCCAAAGAAATTGAAGCAGCCATATGTTAATGTTTAGCTCTCGTCTCTAATTTACTGAGGATTTCTTCGACCCTTAAAGTACTGCAGGGTTTTCCTAAATAAGGATGTTATTGGATTTCATAGTACGCAAAGTTCGGGTGATGTAAAGGCAGCGCTTTTCATTTTTAATATTCACAGATTACATTTTCCCACCAAAGCAGCTGCATATTTGGTTTGGTGTAATGTAAGTCTCGGTGTCCTATTCTTAATATCCTGTATTCCCCACAGAGGAGATTAATGTGGCTGATCAACCAGCGAGGCAAAGCTCAGATAACAGTAAACTAAAAGCTAATTAGATCTGTTTGTCATCCTAAACAGCACTCTGTGGGGCTTTAGAGAAGCTTATTTCTCTTCCATGTAACCAGAACCTGCAAGAAGAGAGCACTAGGAAAAGATTTAAACTCCTCCTCAGCTGGGGTGTACTTTTATTTTATTTTTTTTAAGTATATTGATAAACTGAATTTACTGATGGTTAGGTTTGCTTTAAGCCATTTACTTCAAGAGCACTGGGAATGACTCGGTTTTAACTAAAACTACTAAAACGTTTCTTGTGTTAGACCTTGACTTACCTGCGCAGAGCTTTGACGTTAACTCCATCTGACTTTAGGATAAACTTGAACGCAGCTCGACAGCCGTATTTGACATTTGCACTGGCATTAAATCCCCCCACAGGATTACAGCAGAGGATTCTGGGAAGGTTAACAGTCACGAATAGGTACAGTGTGTTGGCATCTGTACATATTTGAACATCTACTGTACGCAGAAAGCTTGTACTCCTTATTTAGACAGGTTGTTCCCCCGCAAAGTGTACAGGAAATCATTCTATGTGAGGCAGGTGAGGACTCGAACAGAAAGAGGCCTCCCTGTGGGCATATTAGTCGATTCTGTTAACATGCTCTGCTGTGCTGGGCCCTGGATTAGTTTTTAATTACACTCAATAGTGCAGAGTCACCAGGCACAAGTCTGACACAATATCACCTGCAACAACCTTCCCCCCAAGGAGAAGAAAGTAGAGAGTGTGTGATTGATGTACAATTTACACATAAATTAAACCTGAGTAAATTAAACAGCTGACGGCAGGCATACTGAGTCACCGGCATACAAACACCTCTGACTCTGAAAGGACCTTGCTGTTTGTCACACAGCCCGACCCTGAAATTATTCCGCTGCCTGTTGTGTTTGAAGTGACTTGTATTTTAAGTAAATTGAAGTTGTAGGAGTTTAAGAAGCATTCAGAAGAATAAGAAAAATGGAGAAAATGGAGTCTGGACCGCAGGGAGGGAGCGCACACAAACAAAGTGATCGACTCCTCTTCTTTGGTTTCACAAGTTTGACTTTATGAGGTCTCAAAAGTGTGTCTTCAGAAGTCAGCTCATTGCTTCAATGATTCACTCATCACTCCTTGATTCATTTCTTAGTGCGGTTTCATACTGCGGCATAATCCAGGTCAGCTCATTCGACAGCAGAGCGCACACAAGAGCCTGAAAATCCGGCACACAATCACTCAAACACACAACTCCCGAGTTCAAGGGATTCAGCAATTCTGCGGTTTTCACAGTTGATTTGTATTTTCAAATTGTATTAGGCTCACCGTGGGCTCCAAAACAAACACAGAGAAAATGCAGGGCTTCAGTGCTGTAATAGCAGCAGAGCTCGAGAGCCAAATAAATGAGAATTTGATCCAACGATCTTCAGTCAGTGTGGGATAGAGAAATGGATAAGCGCTCCCACACTCTCAGTGTCTGAGGAAACAAAACAATCGAGGGTGAGACAGAAGAATGGATTATCATTTATCACTTAAAGAAAACTCTATCACTACTTGGAGGCACTTTGCCAGTACACACAATTTGGATAAAATCTACAGCTGGGGCCCTGAGACAGAATCCAGGTCCGGGGGGGGGGGGGGGGTCAAAAACCATTCCAGCCTTCACCTCTGCATCTGTAATAAAGCTGAGCCCCCTCCTCTTTGTCACGGTGTGAGTGCGAGGCTATTCTAGTATCTTGTGGTAAGGGAAGAGGGGCAGGTCTTTGGTGAAGGCGTGAACGTCCATGATGGCTATAGAGCCGGCCATCTTCGGCGAGGCGAGAAGGAAGGTGAGCTTGGACACCTCGCCGTACGCAGAGCTGCTCAAATCCTCCCTTTTGCCCTCTTCGCCTTCTTCTTTTTTATCGCCGCCCCCCTCGCCGTTCTCTTCGGCACCAAAGCCCACCACCTTCAGGGGAAATGGATACATTAGGTATCACACAAACATTCATAGAAACACCTTTCACCTTCTGTTTTTAACACGCGGCTTACATGCACGCTGAGTTTGCGGCTGTTCTGTTCTCGGTGTCCTTTGAACCAGGAGACCAGCTCGTCCCTGGACATCTGCTTCAGCGCCGCGATCTAAACACAGAGAAACACCAGCAGTGAGACCATACTGTTTAAATTATGCAATTTAACAACTATGTATTGATTATGCTGTAAGACTGAATTAGATGTTAAACTTGTCGCCGCTGTCGATTTGGGGAACTTGATTTAGGGATTCAGCGCAGTGAAAACCTCTTTAGAGGTCTACTAGATAAAAGAACAGGAGGAAACTCTGCCCGTGTGTGTGATTTCCTGCTGCTTTTGTCAAGTTTAACAGCCTGACAGCACTCAGGCTCCACCAACATAGGTAGTGGTGCCCACTAAATCATCTCTAGAACTAAAGAGATGATTTAGACCCTAAAGCAAGCCAAGAAAATAGTTTCTTATTCCAAAAAAAAAAGGTTCAAAATTGTTACAGCAGTAAAGGCAAAAAATTATTTACAGGAAAAAACTACTGGACATGCAACATTTCTCAGATTACTCCATTAATTACTAACATTGTACTTAATTACCAAAATAAGTGGTTACTGCAGACCGATTACAATACAATACAATGTGATAAGGTATGATATGATACAATATGATGTGATACAATGCGATACAGTAAAATATGATGTGATGCAAAAAAGCATGACACAATGCGATACAATAAAATGTGATATGATTAGATACGATACAATATGGTACAATACCAAACGATACGGTACGATGCGGGACAATACGCTTGATATAATACAATACAATACGATATGATATAATTCGAGATGAAACGATGTGATATAATTTGATACGTTACGATACAATATGGTACAATAGGATTAGATACAGTATGATACGAGACAATACACTAGATATTATACAAAATGATACAATATGATACGCTACGAGATAATACAATGTGATATGATACAATACAACAGATATGATACGGCGTAATAAGAGAGTTACGAGATGAGATAACACAATATGATACGAAACAATGCTATCAGAAGTGATTTGATATGATATGACACGGCGCAAGACGATAGGATACGATGCAACAGATATGATACGATACAATATGGTACAATACCATACGATACAGTATGATGCGAGACAATACTCTAGATATAATACAATATGGTATGATATGGTACAATACCAGATGGTACGATGTGATATGATGTGATACGATACAATATGGTACAATCTGATTGGATACAGTACGATGCGAGACAATACGCTAGATATAATACAAGATGATACAATCTGATATGATGCAATACAACGGATATGATACGGCGTACTAAGAGAGTTACGAGATGAGATGACACAATATGATACGAAATAATGTGATAAGAAGCGATTTGATATGATACGACACGGCACAAGACGATAGGATAAGATGAAACAGATATGATACAATAAAATACGATGAGATAAAATACCAAAAAAGTACGATTTGATACGATGCGGTACAATACAATTAAGTACGGTACGATGTGATACAGTATGAAACGATGAGATACAATGCAATGTGATATGATTTGATACGATATGATACAATATAATACAATATTATATGAGACGATACACTAGATTTAACACAGTATGATACGATATGATACTATACAAGATAATACAATGTGAGATGATACAGTACAACAGATATGATACGCTGTAATAAGATATGTTACGAGACTGGATGACACAATATGATGCAATACGATACGGTACGTCACGACAAGATGCTACGATAAGATGCAACATATATGATACAATACGTTATGAGACGAGATGAAACGATGCGATATGATATGTTACACACACTCAACAGCCCTCAGAGGATAGATTTGACAATATATTAAAGACCTCAAGCTTTTTAAGCTATCAGGACAAAACTCTAATTGGCGTTTTAAAGGCAGACAAAGTGCAGTTTCTTGTTTGCGGAGCATGAACTCAACACTCATATATAAAGCTGGCCAGTTCCACATCACCAACCGCATCCTCTCAAGTGGGCGCAAACGATGAGGCCCTTGGTGAAAACATGACAGAGTTTTCACCACAGTCAGCACACTGTGGTTTGCTTGGGGCCACGAACCCTTAAACGCAGCATTAAAGAACTGACAGGGAGAGGACGGATACAGCCTCAGCCAAACAAAGTCCTACTTATTTTGCCTTAAGTTTGTTAATGGTGGTGGTGGTGATGAGATCCGCTGTATGATTGTGACGTGAAGGTTTTAAATACTTGAAAATTGCGTGCTTTGTGAGTTTGAGACCACGGATAAGCTGAATTCATGACATTTAAAGCTCCTATGAGGAACATTTGAGTTATGTTGATTTTGCTGACCCCTGGGTACAAATCTTAGTCTTGTAGTACACGTGTTTTCTGACATTCATTCTTCACCTTAAATGTCAAACAGCCTACATTAAACCCTTGCTATGGAGAACGTAAACAAAGCGTGTTTAAGTACCCTGCTGCTAATGGCCTCTTCTTACGTCTGCTCCCTGGCAGCATTTACAGGCATTAAGAAGAAGTATGCAGAATAATCAGCCTGGTCTCTGATGGTCTTGTTTGCTTTTGTAGGTCATACAGAGGCAGCTGGATTAATTTCAGTCTGTTTCATTATCAGCTAAAAACTCCTCACAGGAGCTTAAAGAAAAAGGCGCAACATGAAACCCCTCAAGTAGATTAGGCTGTCAAAGACTGAACGCACCGTCTGCAAAAGCCTGTAAAGGATGTATGCATTATTTTAATGGCTGAGTGTGTGTGCGTGTGCGTGCCCTCACCTCTTTGTTGAGCCTGTCGAACACATACTGCTGCGTAACCACCTCAGCCCAGTTCCTGTCCACCTCCTCGCCGAGGTGTGTGTCCTCACACTGCTTCAGCTTAACTAAAGCCGTCACCTGTACAAACACACGGATGCAAAACACGGTGATTCTTCCGGCTTCACAAAGCAGACCTGAAAGCCTGACTGAGCCTCACACGGGCACGATTTTTAACTTAACTTTCGCTGCAACTTTCGACACCTTCTAAAACTTTAGGGTTATGTAAAAATTTGCTGAAACTTTTCCTCTTTTCCATAACAGCGGGGGGAAACTCACAAATACACAAGATAAAACACACACACAGACACAGACCTGGGTATTAAAGGCCTCCTCAGTCAGCGAATCAAGTTTCTCCCCAAATGAAGCCAAGAACTCTTCAATCTTTAACTCCACCAGCTCGGTGCTGAGAGAGAAAAGTTCAGGAGAGGTAAGAGATATATTATATGCTATAGGCTGTATTTGATTCCTTTAGTCATTTATCAGCTCTGCGCGCTTCTCTTTGCAGGGCCACACAGATAAATCGAGCGTGGGTTTGGGTGAGTGGAGAGATATATTATACCTTGGTTTTGGGGAAGCGTTTTAGATAAATCGTATCTTGCTTTTGGGCGGATGAAAGGTTATGATTGTGTTGCAGACTCACTTGAACTTGGTGGCCTGTGTTTCCACGGTGACAGAGAACCCAAGAACGCCTGAGGTGTTTCTGCAGGTGGGGTAGACATGGTACCTGCGGAGCGAGACATGAGGAAAAAAAGAAAAGGGAGCAGAGGAGGAGAGATGTTGAGAGGCAGATAAACAGAGAGAGATCAGGGCGTCTACACGAGGAGGAAATCTTCTGTCTGTCGTGACTGCCTTTCCTTTCACTTCAAAATAAAACTAGTGCTGCAGTTTGATCAAACTGCTCCATAAAACACATTTTATCTTCCCCGCTGACGATGACGCGGTTAAACTGAGGATTAAGAAGACGAGCTCTGGAAAAACATGTTGTTCTTTAAACTTTAAAAACAACAATACAGCCGTAAAACAGAAGAAAAGAGAAAAAGACAACGATCTCTATTAACATTTGTAAATCTAAAGCTCCTGTGAGGACCTATGATAGTTATGAAATAAACCAAACCTCATACTGATGCCTTTTTACTGACAAACAAAAGCAAACAAGACCATCAGCGACAAGATTAACAGTTTATTTTTAATGTCCCAAATCAGTGTGAGGGTGTAGGTGTCAGACACATCTATTTTAATGCCAGCAGACATTACTCAGGCATGTGAAGGACAAGAAAAGCAAATGCTGTTTTGTTCAAAGTTGATGCAGAGCGAAAGTTCCTTACAGGAGCTTTAAGTTTCGTGAAGGGAAAGGTTAGCGGACAAATGTTGAATCTGCAAACATATCTGCAAAATCATGATAATCTGAGCTGTCAAGGCACATTTGGAATTCAAACATTGTGCTTCTTGTAAAGAGACAGACTTGAGAAGAAGAAGAAGAAAAAGAAGAAGAAGAACTTAATTAATCTCTGGGGGAATTTAGTCTTTACTTTCAATTGCTGAACATGCAAACGCAGAGGAAACACACACACATGCACACACACGGTCCTGTGATTATGCACTATGGGAGAGATGTCACAGTGAAGGGGCTGCACGTGGACTGACGCCTTGAGCATTCGGGAGTTAAGAAGCAGATAAAATAAGGTGGAGACTGATTTTAAAGGAGAGAAGTCAAGAGGAGATAAAGACTGTCGTAAAAACTGTCAGTACTCATGTTATCTGTTCTGCTGAGTCTCTCTTAAAAACATATCATATTGACACAGATATAAGCGTTTTTTTCCCTGCGGTTTACCTTTAGAAAAGTTGGATAATCTTATACTATTAGGGATGTGCCAATATACGATTTAATCGCGATATTAAACGACCGCGATGATGAAATTGTAAGGTACTGTAATAATCGTTCCACAATTATAATTTAAAGACGAGTGGCAGCGACACTCAGTGGAAGTGAGTGAAGCCGAGTACTTACCAACCTAACCCTCTTGTAGTCTTACCCACGGTGTCAAATCCTCGGTAACAAAATGTACAAACAAACCACCACAAAAGTAGTCCCAAATCCAAAACAAACTCTCAAATTAAGTACATTAGTGCCAGCCTAACAAAAACGGGAACATTAAAAGAGAAAATGAAGAAATTTTACAACAAAATGCGTGGACACCCACAATGCATTGGGGCCACACAAAGCACTGTTGGAGCGTGTCCACTCTGTGAACCAGAAACGGTTTAAAGAAGAAAAAAAAAGTTGACGCAAACGTTCCAACTTCCAACCAATGTAACGATGCAGCCGGACCAAGAACAGTTGGAGACTCTGAGAATGACGAAACGCCTCGGCTGTATCCTCCTATTAAAAAGGTTTAGTCGGCACTATGGACGTTTTACGGCTTCACAAAATAGACGGAGCAGGTAAACTTGACACCAATCTGCAGGTTATGCCATAAGGAAGTTGCAGCGCCGTTGTCTAACACTTCAAACCTACGTGCCCACATCTGTGAACACCATCCAGCATCGTTCGCCAAAATCAAGGTAAAAACAACACGACCGCAACAAGTTTGGTCTACTCTCCTGCTTATTATTGACAACGTTAGTGACGTTTCTGCTAACTTTAGCTCCAAAAAGCTAATGCTCCCAACGTCGCGTGAGCTGCCTCTTGCTCATACTGTTTGTGCGTGTCATGCTGTGCACGGAGAAGTGATTTCGCAGTTTTTTGCCATTTTTAATAACGTTAAAAGCAATGCGCTAATATCGTGATAATATCGTGAATCGTGATATTCTGGGCCACCAATATCATGATATCAAATTTTTCATATCGGCACACGCCTATATGCTACAGGTTCATTTTTAAGTCTTTGCTGTTTTACATTACACCCTATTATTGTGTGTTTAATATCCGCCCTGTAAACAGGATGCTGTGATGGGATCTCTTACTGTAAAGAGATCCAAGTTGCAAAACAAGTCATGACATGTTCAAATCATCAACCTACCTTGATTTATTTACTGTCTGTTGTATTAAATTTCCTTTAAATCAATCTAGTTTCAGGTCTTAAAAAATGACAGCAGTAAAACCACCTGTCTCATCTGTGGCGGTCTTGTTCACTTCAACAAGGCGTCAATATGAATTCCAAGCCATTTCATAAATATCAAAAACTCCTAACAGGAGCTTTAAAGAGTATTTTCCTAAAAAATGTGTCTTATAATCTGGCTTGTCATATATTTTGCACAAATTCTACGAATGCCTTTATTTGCAGTTTAAGGCTGCCAAACGCAACAACACTCACCCCAGAGTCTCTTTGGTTCTGAGGAAGTCAAAGCAGGGCTCCTCCATGTGCATCTGAAAGACAACGACAACTTAGTCGAGCATGAGAGAAAGCAGAATGAGTCAAGAATAAACAAAGCGATAAATTCATTTCTCACCACCAACAGCTCCATCAGTGTGTGCTCTCTCAGTCCCTTTGGGCCAGACTTGAAAGAACAAAGAGAAAAATGCAGAAAAATTAAAGTTTAATGGCGTACTCTGGAATAATGGTTGCGTATTATCAGTGTGTAAGTTTTGGTACCTGGTAGTACACCGTGACCTCAGAGTTGGCGTCTCCCTTGTTGAGCGATTTGACCTTGCAGATGTGGTTCCCCAGAGGGAGCTCCACCACTCTGAACATCACCGGCACCTCCGTTGGCAGCTTGGAGAACTGCAACTTTCTGCCGGAGGGGGTTAAAAAAAAACACAAAGAGGAAATAAAATGAGGAGAAGAAGGAGAAGGAGGAGCGAAAAACATGGATGCAGAAGGTTCAAAGGGCGTAATGGATTCAACAACCAGAACTAATGCAAATTACAGAGGCAAGAGGCAAACAAATCCATGTGATTATACAGTGTTGGTATTTCATTAGGGAGTTTATTCAGTGTGATGGCTGACTCACTCTGTGACATAGTGGAGGAACTGCTGTGACTCCTGCAGAGGAAATACAATAGAGGATAATGAAGAGGTTGAGATCAAGGCGCCGGGATCAAACAGACAGGACACAAATGTGAAGAGCACTCAGGCTCGGTTGATAAAAGTGGAAACGTACGTATTAACCAAGTCATTGACTAATCAGATCATCTTATTGTTAATCAATCTGTTTGTCTGCGTTCACTCACGGCGCTGTTGAAGTTGCCCTGCACCAGACCCTCAGCGTACATCTCGGCCCTGAAACTCTGGCTGAACTCCATCAGCTCCTCGCTGCTCAGCCCGGCTGTCAGAGCCTGATACTTCTCCACCATGGACCAGCGAGAGTGCTCCAGGATCAGCAGACGCACATCCCTGAGGAAAGAGAGAGAGAGAAAGGAGATAACAAAAGGAAGAGAGGGTCTTTTTTTTCCATCCAGGACTGTCGCACATTTCACCACTAGAAGGCATCACAGACTTGAAGATAAGTCAACAACATACAAACAGAGAGAGAGAGAGTGAAACAGAGAGAGAGAGAGAGAGAGAGAGAGAGAGAAAGAGTAAGAGGGCAGATAAACAACTCACTTCCCCAGTTTCTCAGGTTTAATGAGGATGTTGAAGTAGGTTTTCTTGAGCTGCTCGGCGAACATGCTGAAGACGTCAGGGGAGGCCGAGAAATCAGCCAGGTGGTCAATGATCAGGTGGAAGAGCAGCTGAAGAGAGAGAGAGAGAGAGAGAGATTGACAGAGAGGCAGGTGAGATGAAGACTCGCCATAATTAACACGTACGAGGACAACAGACACATCTGTGCGTGGAGGAGAAGCATGGTACTGTGTCAGTCAAGCCCTTCATGAGCATCTTCATACAGATGATCTTGTGGTGATCCAGCGCTCATTTCTTCAAGGAGCAGCTTGGCATTGTGGGAAATATTGGCTTATTTCAGACTCATATTCAAAATGATGAGTTAATAATACAACGCTCTAACCGGGGGCTAGCTGGTTTTACTCCGGCAAAACCGTTTCATTACCGTCAGGGCAAAGCCGGCTTAGTTTAAGTTGAAATCTTCCCGTTTTTGGAGGGTAACTCACTCAGATAAATACACTGTAATTAACCCTGAACTCACTCACTGCATGGAAGTCTATTCCTCTAAATTCCAAATTAATTACAAATCCTATTAGTGTACCATTATAAAGAGGAAAATGAGGCAATTGCATGAGGCAAAAAGGGAAAGTGAGAAAATAAACATGCATTTGAATGCTTAGTTAAGCCCACTGCCTGCTGGCTCCAGCTTCATATTTAAACAACAAGACATGACTGTGTTCTCAACCGACACATTTCAGTCTACTGTTGTTGAATTCTGCGCTATGAAGCTATGAAGTCTGCGTAATATGTGACGGTGGATACCCTGTACTATATCTCTGATCGTAGCCTGACTCATATTTGGAGCATGATAGCAATGCTAATTTTACAGAGGAGACATTCCTGGTTGAGTGAGTGGTGACCCACGGAGTCATTTCTTTTTTTTTTTACAGCCGAGAGCAAACAGGAACAATGAGGAGAAGTGGGTGGAGTAAAAGGCTGAGGTTTAAATCATACCTCCAGCTGCTGCAGAGATGATTATAGCCTCTGTGTGTGAGCAAACAGGTCTCATATTGGCACTTAACTCAAACTGCTATCTGTGACAGGTGCAAATATACAGTCCACCGTTGACAAAGTACAGCTAAAGTCTTGTACTTAATCAATGGACTTATTTATATAGCACTAAATTGCAGCACTCTCCAAAGAGAGAAGGTTCAAGGCTGTCGTCTGTCATGTTATTGAAAGCGATCTAACGTAGACCCTCCATGAGCACGCTTTAGAAACACTTGGCGACAGGAATAAGCAGAGACTTTCTTCTAACAGCCAGAAACCTCAAACAGAACTGGATCCACTGATGAACAGCCATCGACCCACCTACCAATCATTACAGCCTGTTCTGATGATCTATGGAGCTTTAATTAATGATAAACAAACAGTGGTAGACAAGTTTTTATCAATGAGTGACCGAGCCAAAGAGAGCAGCGTTTACTAGAAACGAATGATGAATTTGAATTTGTTATTGAAACACAATATTAGGAATATCCAGTAACAGACAGGGTCTTGAGGGAAAGGGGGTGTTTGTGATTAATGTTTCCTTTGCAAAACCATAAACACAGGACCAGAAATGCTGGTGACTTCTCAGGACTTGAGTTCATTTAAGGTGGACTGAGGAGAAGAGGAAACTGTCCTGTGATCTGATGAATTATGAATCAAAATTGGACTTTTTTTTTTCTGGAAATCACGGATCACCTCAGCGCAGTCCAAAAGCAAATATCCATGATGGTATAAGAAGACATGAGTGCCCCGAGTATGAGCAGTGTACACATCTGGGAAGGCACTATTTGAAGTGGGCTGTAAATGTGTTGATTTTTGCTCCATGAGTGGAGGTTGCTGCTCGTTTTTTAATGCCATAAATGTGGCCAGTCAGACAATGCTGCAATGGAGACCTTGGATATTCCAGCATGGCTCTGCAGTCAAAGAGTCCCTGTGTTTAACTGATCTGTCTGCAATCTCAACTTCGCACCTGTTGCTAACATTTGACGCAAAAACTGAAACCCCATTTTGAGCAGAAAGAAGGGGAAAACATTTCAATTTCAAAACCTTAAAGTCCCACTCTGATTGTTCTTTTAATACTTCAAGTGTGTCCAGTGATCTTTAAACTGTGATTATGAAGTTTTTAGCCAAAATCACGTCACCTGTGCTTGCAACCTAATATTGCTGGTGTAGTAGACACGCTTGTTCCTCGATCATCCTCTCTATTTCTCCAAGCCTGGCCTGCATAGCGGGGCTCTGGGGGCGGAGCTTGGATTGCTTACATATGAAATCTCACTGTATCTGATCCTGCTTTTTGGGTCTGCCAGAGATTCACAGCGATTTGAATTCAGATATACTCAGAAATACAATTTTATAAAGATGCGCCGATCCAATACTGGGTGTCGGTATCATTCCGATACTGGACGAAATTACAGCACCGGATAATTTACTTTACAATGGCAACTTTCCGATCCGATCCCGCAGCAGTTCACGTTTCTGGCCTCAATTACTACTGCTTCACGACGTGCCGTAAAGAAAGCCGAGAGCGGTTGCTGCGCGTGTCTCGATGTCGATGGTGTGGAGTTACTTCAAGCTTAACGAAGCGAAAAGCAAGATAGCATCCATGCAAATAAGGTATTTCTAAAGTTTAGAGATGGTATCGGAAATCAAAAAGAGGTATCAGTCCATCCCTACAATTTTGCACTTCTTTTTCTCATGATATGTCCTCTAGTATCAGAAAAATGCCTCATGAACATGTAGACAACAAGAAAAACATGATTTTCATCGGAGAGGTGGACTCCTCAGCTGCTTCATATTTACACAGATTTGTTAAAGACAGAGGTGATGCAACTGAATGGTAAACATGCTCCTCAACATCAAACAGATTTTAGCAACATTTCTCACAGCGTCCTCTGGAATTAAGGTTAAACATTTAGACAACAGTCGTGTGTTGTGTATGTGTGTAATAATTTCAGTTTTTTTGTGTGTGTTTTTTGCAGTTTCTCCTGCTGAATTCACTCACAGGCAGTTTGTGGTTAAAGCCTTTAACCTTGATGACCAGGCCGTGCTCGCCAGCTACCAGTTTATACTCCAGCTGGGCCACTTCAGCCTCATAGGCCGGCTCTGCAAGGTTATGGCCGAGGATGTTGACCAGCAAGTCAAATAAAACCACGCTGAGAAGGAGGGATGAGAGGGGGCGAGGACGGGGAGGGGAGAAGAAATCGAGAAAGATAGAGACGAGAAAAAAAGCCGAATGGAGATAGGGAGGGGAGAAGTGGAGGAAAGGAGGTGAGAAGGATGAGTTGAAGGGGAAAGAGGTGTCGAGGGCGAAAGAAGCGAGGCAGTAAAAGAGACAGGAGAGATAAAAAGTAAAGAGCAGGCAATAAATAAAAGCGAAGAAGGAAAAAAAGGTGAGGGAGGAAATAGGGGGAAGAAATAGGGAAGGACAGCAGGTAAGAAGGGTAAAAAGTGATAAAAAGGGGAAATTGGATGAAATTGTCGGAGCAGGGAGGGGAAGAAGGGATAAAAAGAGTGAAGGATAGAGAATAGACAGCAATGTAAATCAGTGTTACAAACAGTATTTGCACAAGGTCATATCTGAGCTCGGTCTTACTTCTTGGCAGACTGCTGGATTACAGGAGAGATTATGTGGAATCTGATGTAGGCTGCAGCGGGAAAAAAAAGGACAAATGAGTGTCAATATACTCCGTAATGATGCTAAAGGCCGGTATGGAAACATCTTGCATGCTAAATGATGCATACAGCACAGTCACACACAAACTCACGCCCACGTTATTTACCTTTGGGGATTTTGAATTTGTTGTCCTTCTTGTACCACAGGCAGCCCCTGTCGCTGTCGGCTATCCGAACGGGAAGCTCGGTGTCCGGGCAGTCAGAGGGCTTCAGGGTGAAGTCAGTGGCTGAACAACCCCCCCCAAAAAAAAACAACAACAACAGAGCAACATAACTCGGCTTGGTACATCTCATAAATAATGTGTGAGCCCAAAAATAATTCAAACATGTTGCTAGGTGTCAAAGCCCAGAGCTGGACCAGAGGGGCCTTGTTTGCCGTGTTTGGCTTGAAAACGTCGATCCCGGACTGGGTTTCCAAACTCCAGTTCTTGACTGTAAATTAGCAGCCAGTCGTGATTTTTAATTATTAATGAAGGTTAAGCATGCGTTTCTGACACCTCATAAATTCACTTTTTAACTCCATGAGCCACTTGTCTTTGCAATATGTCCCTCTTAACACTCAAATGAGTATTTTGGCTTCGATTTTTCTCAATTAGGCGTGTCGTCCATTCGTTATCCATATACCATGAATGGTGGCTCCTCAGGGTGCTGATTAAAGTCTGATAAATTGCTTCGGAGGATGAGTCAGTGCAGCTGAAGGGGTAAACTTGAAGTTAAGCCCTCCTCCTGTGTAAGGGTACCACTTAAGACTTTTTGACTTTGTCAGGAACCTCTATTTCAAACAAATAAAAACAAAAATAATTGATATTATGATGGTGTGTCATTTGAATTGTATTGATTATTATGTTGTTTGTTGTTTTATGGTGTAGAGGAGTTTTGTTTCTTCCCTCCTCTCGCTCTCTGCTTCTCTGGGCTGTACTACAGGGGTGGTGCGTCCGGATTGGACGGCGGCGTGAAGACACACCAGACGCGCATTGGAGGACTGCTATGGAGTGGAGGTGCGTGATTGGCGGAGCGCTAATGGGCGGCATTTGAAACTCGGCTGCAGGAGTAGAGACGCCGACTCTCCTTCGTCACTCCCAACATCTCGCCAGAGCACAGCGTTTCGAGTCATCGTTGAGTTATATTGTGCGATTTTGGATTGGTGTTATTAAATTTACTAAATTATAAAATGCTCTTATTAAAATGATGGCATTTGTCGTTTTAGGGTTGCTGTTGACTCGGTTCGATCAATATCTCATAATCAGGGCAAAAACTAAAAAAATCATATGTGCACTGTCACTGACAGTCAGATCCTCCTCCAATTATGTGAGATTTAAAAAATTCTCATTTTGTCATGTTTTTCCCTGCAAAAAAAACAACGTCGGGCATGTCCAGACATGTGAGATCAGTTCAGTATAGATGTCTGTGTGAGGGGCATACTGACAAAGAAAGACCCAAAAAACTATTATAAGCAATATTTTCATGAATAATGAAGCCTAACAAGGTAACCAAGAGATGAGAACTAAATTGGACGATAGAGAATTATTTTTAGTGTAATTTACAGCTGATTTAAGACACGGGTCAAAACCGACCCTAAGCTAACACAGGAGGAAGGTTAAAGGAGACCTATTTGCTGCTGATCTCAGGCAATTTTTGTAAACTTTTGGGGCGCTTTGCAACAACAAAGCTGTGTAAAAAGTAGCACCCACAAGCTGTGTTTGACTTTATATACCATCAACACAATACTCAAATCACTTATTAGGAAATGCATTGATAAAATCAGACTGAAATTGGGTCTTCCCTTGTGCTGATATGATCTCTATCCGAACAGAGCTCTACTGAGTTAAAACCCCGAGCTTGAATGATCACTCTTCACTCAGATCAGTGGCTAACAAGGAAGTGTTACAGACCACAGCATGCATTGACCAAAATGCACTGCTCCTCTGAGTATGGTCAATATATCTGATTAGTCTATCTGCTGCACGGATGGAGTGAGAGAAAAAGAACGAACCGCTGGACCAAGCCTCGTTCACGGCCACCTTATCAGACACTTCTCAGATACTTTCCAGCAGTTCTGCCTCAGAAGAATCTACTTATTTCACCCACCGATGAACTTGTTTTCAATGGGAAGGTGAAGGTCGCTGTTCGGATCCAGGTTTCCCGTCCACCGCTCCATCCACTCCTGCTGGACGTCTTTAAAGCACAAATGATATTTACGGTTTAGATTCATGTCTCTGAGTGAGTGACCTAAACCTTAACTCAAACAAAAATGTTGACATTTATTATTTAAATGTTCCAACACTATTGTTTGCCTTATAAAAGACAGTGATAAATGCTGGCATTTCTACTGCTGGCTGTCTGCAATATATCAGGCTGAATATCACCACACAAGGGGAAAAAAAAGACAATGCAGTCGCTGAATGCATGTATTGTAAAGGGGAAGCTGCATGCAGGCTGTAAACAAACCAACAAAAACATGCATACACATCAGGGACACACAGATACGTACCCTCCACACTGTACTGAGTGCCAAACCACTTCTCCCTGAGGGGACACTGGCCCTCATGTTCTGGTGACAGCAGCATCAGGTTAGCTCTCTCTGGGGTGAGGAGGGACAGAGCTGCTCTGATAACCTGCGAGCACAATCACACAATCACACACACACACACACACACACACACACATACGCAAACGAACAGAGTCAACTTTTTCGAGAGTTGTTTTTCTTACTTTATCTCTAAATTACTCATATATGTGAGACAATTTGAGCTTGCAATTACAGTAAGAGGCAGCCAAATTGAACAGAAAGTTACACAGAATATGCAAAACCACAATTACTCTGCAACTTTTGATGAGAAGTAATATCCACCAATCAAAGATAAGACAGCACCCACAATTCTTGCAAATATATACCCGGCGTATTTATGCATGAGCTATAAAATCAGCTGCATATCAGAGAATAAAAATGTCAGCTTTTTCCAGTTGATCTGTTTTATTAACATCTTATATGTATAAAAAAAGTAATGTATGCTTTTAGAATAAATCCCTGAATCACTGAACGACTTACTTCGGGTTCAAACTCGAACAACAGCTGATCTCCTGTCAGGAAGTCCTCTTTGGGGAACAGCTGCATGTTCTCACACACGTCCTCCACATACTCTATGGGGTCGATCTGAAGAAGGAGAAGTAGCCCCAGGATTGGATTTCTGTTTGTGTGAAACGCCTTTAATACAGCAGCACATTAATATCGGGATTCTTACCTGCTCCTGATAGTGAAACTCGTTGGCTTCAATCTTCTGGATCTCTTCATATATTCTGAACGAGCAAACAAACAGACTGAAATATGAGCTTTGGATATTTCAGATAGAAGCTCAGATGTCAAAACATCAACACTCCAAGAGATAGATTAAAGAACATGAAAACGGCTTAAATAATACAAACTATTGATTCATGAATTACAAAAACACCATTCTGCTGATGTACGAGTAAAAGTCTCTGCTGTGAGTTACAGTATCCCCAAAAGGTCAACCGCACAAACATTTTATGACCACAGAAACATTTTACTGAATGTTAAAAATAATAAAAGTGAAAACATCTCACATAAGAACAGTTAATCAAAAAATATTTCCCAAAACTGTCGCATCAATCAGCTCCTATTCCTTTTTATTAGCAGAAGTGTGCTTAAATGGGGGGCAAGGCAGATGTTGGCCCCTCTGGTACCTTCAAATCCAAAATAAAAAAAAAAAAAGGCCACACAAGTACCCTCTTGAATATGTTTGTAGTTGATAAAACAGTGCAAAAAGGCTCTCTTGTGCGTCTACAGTGGAAATCCTGTAATAAATAGCCCCAAATGCCTTTCTAATAAATAAAAGTAAACATAATGCCCTCTGAATGCCCTTCAAGTTTGTAAAATGTAAACCAAGTGCCGTCTGGTTGATTTTTTGGCTAATAAAATGTCAATAAAGTGCCTTTTCAGTGAATAAGATGTGAATAAAAAAAAGCTCTCCTCAAAAGTGGATAATATGTAAACAAAGTACCCTCTGGATGCCTTTCCAGTGTATTCAAAGTGATCCAAACGCCCTCTGATTGCTTTTTTGAGAGTAAATGTAAACTAATTGTAAACTAAGTACCCTTTGGTTTCTTTTTTAGTGGATATAATGTAAACATAGTACCCTCTGGATGCCCTTCCAGTATATTCAAAGTGATTCAAACGCCCTCTGATTGTTTTTTTGGAGAGTAAATGTAAACTAATTGTAAACTAAGTACCCTTTGGTTTCTCTTTTAGTGGATACAATGTAAAACAATTACCCTCTGGATGCCCTTCCAATGTATTCAAAGTGATCCAAACGCCCTTTGATTGCTTTTTCGAGAATGAATGTCAATGAAGGGCCCTGGTGTTTTTTTTATAGAAATGTTTACTAAGTGCCTTTTTTATGTGGATACAATGTAAACAAAGTTCTCTCTTGATGCCCTTCCAGCATATTAAATGTGAACCAAGTTCCATCTGGCCATTTGTGTATCACTGAAAGTAAATTAAGTGTTCCTGTGCATTTCTTTCCTCCTCCTGCTGTTGTCTGTTCACATTTCTGTTTCTTTGTGCTGCCTTAATCTGACTGGTGTCTGTACAATCCCTTCCAGAGGCACTTTGGTTGAAGACAACTGCTGACGCAAAAATTGAGAAAGTTGAAAGGTTCCAAACCCATTAATCAGGGTGAAGTGTCTGGCAACACCATGCAACCTCTTTGCGTTCATTAAATATTTTGTATTCTGCGAATTATTTGAGGATTTGGGGGAATTACTTTTGCATTGCATGAAATAATTTGTGTTTATGTTTTTTGAGTTTCATGCAGTATTCATGAGTTTGATTAAGTGTTTTTGCATTCGGTGAAATTTTTTTTGGCGTTCAGCGGAACATTTTTTAGGTCATGAAATGTTTGTGCAGTTGACTTTCAGAGCCGCTCAAGTAAATAAACTTCTGTTCATCCAAAAAATACTAAAACTGAAATTTTGTTTGACTACAAGAAGTGTTTTTTTTTGCACATATCACTATTGTCATGTTTTGTGAGACTGTGTATGTGTGTGAGAGAGAGAGAGAGAGCTGCTGTACCTTTGCTGTGGTCCAAGTGTCTGCAGCAACTTCAGGTACTGGAATACCAGGTGAGTTACCTGTAAGAGAGCGCAAATACCAAAAAAAGAGATGGAATGAATCACCGCAGAGCACTCTTACTCTAATGAATCATTAGCAGGTACAGTATGCGCTGCTAAAACTGCAGTTAAATCCTCCCTTTATTCTCTCTAATGACCGGGTTTAAGGAAAGCGTACCCCTGTTTTATTTTTAAACCTGATGCAAGGTAGAGGCAATCATGTTGACCATGGTTATTTAATTACCTATTAGAACAAGGAGTGAGGATGATATAAAAGGAGGTTTCATTATTTAAATAAAAAGGAGAGTAGCTCATCTTTAGTAGCCCCCCCCCTCTTAAATTTCAACATGTCATTGAAAGTGCAGCCTCTGCTTTTGTGCATGAAGAGTTATAATTACTAGCTCAACAACAGTCCTTTCCAATCTGTATGAGAAAACAGAAAGAGAGCAGAGTCCTTATTTAACTCTTTGCAGGAAAGCAAATAAGCAGCCCTCCATTAGTTTGACAAGCTTAATAATAATAATTGAGAACAATCGCACTCTAATCCGATGAGCAGCAGGTTTATTTTCCCTGAATGAAGGAGTGGGCGATCAAGTAGAACCTCTTGATCGCAGTAAACAGTCTCAAGGCCTTCGCGGCGTTAATAAACTGTAATCAGAGCAAGTTTGACGATTGAAACATTTCCCCATGAAGAGCTCAGGATTAGGAAACTGTCCTCATGTTGGATGTTCAGCCACCCTGTCCCTGTTTAACACCAGAACTGCCATAGCAACTGAGCTGATAATACAGTTTTACAGACAAGGCTTATAGGCTGGTTAGGGTCCATGCAGAATACATTTCAGCACCAGTCAGTACATAACAAGGCCTTTTTGCTGCAGTGTTTTCATACTCAGGGTTCAGGCCAGAATATAAATAAATAGCCCCAAATGCCTTTCTAATAAATAAAAGTAAACAAAATGCCCTCTGAATGCCCTTCAAGTTTGTAAAACAAAGTGTCGTCTGGTTGCTTTTTTGGCTAATAAGATATCAATAAAGTGCCTTTGGGTTTCTCTTTTCAGTGGATAAGATGTGGAAAAAAAATCCCTCCTCATAAGTGGATAAAATGTAAACAAAGTACCCTCTGGATGCCCTTTCAGTGTCTTCAAAGTGATCCAAATGCCCTCCGATTGCTTTTTTGAGAGTAAATGTAAACTAATTGTAAACTAAGTACCCTTTGGTTTCTCTTTTAGTGGATAAAATGTAAACCAAGTACCCTCTGGATGCCCTTCCAGTGTATTCAAAGTGATCCAAACACCCTCTGATTGCTTTTTTGGGGATGAATATGAACTAATTGCAAACTAAGTACCCTTTGGTTTCTCTTTTAGTGGATAAAATGTAAACAAAGTACCCTCTGGATGCCCTACCTGTCTATTTAAAGTGATCCAAATGCCCTCTAACGGCTTTTTTGAGTATAAACGTAAACTAATTGTAAACCAAGTACCCTTCGGTTTTTCTTTTAGCAGATAAAATGTAAAGAAAGTACTATCTGGATGCCCTTCCGGTGTATTCAAAGTGTTCCAAATGCCCTCTGTGTTGGATGTTTAGCCACTCTGTCCCTGTTTAACACCAGAACTGCCATAGCAACTGAGCTGATAATACAGTTTTATAGACAAGGCTTATAGGCTGGTTAGGGTCAATGCAGAATACATTTCAGCACCAGTCAGTACATAACAAGGCTTTTTTGCTGCAGCGTTGTCATACTCAGGGTTCAGGCCAGAATAATCCTGTTTTTTTCGGAGTGGCAACTCCTTAAGCAAGAATCTCTACATCATAACTTCGAGAAAAACTCTAATGATTTGGAAAATACATCACAAACAGCGGAGATTAATGTGTCAACTTTGGCTTGTTTTCTCTCTTAACTCCTCTGCTCAGGGCAGAGCGACAAAGATTCAGTGTTTCCAGAAAATGATGAAAAGCGAGAAAACGTTGGGTTTTGTATTTACCTGGTAAAAGTTTTGGAAACCTTCATCAGTGAGGGTGATGGAGATGGAGAAAATAGAGTAGGTGGTGTTTTGATCAAAGCCAGTTTCACTGTTTCCTCCAAACAAAGCCAGGGCCCAGCACCTACAGAAACACAAACCAATAAACTAACAAGAATTTTCCGAATAAATCCGACTAATGGTGCAGATTCACCCTCTGCTGTAAACTGGAAATGCACTTTAAAGAGCAGGCAGTAAGTACAAAATATATGACGGCATGTTTCTTTATTTGCACACTTTAGCGGCCCCTCAGAGGCAGTCAAAAACCCCAGAATGAAGAAATAACATGGATTATTTTGTTATGGTTATGTTCTGCCTTGTGCGCAGCTTTCTCTTCATTTTGAAATGAAAAACAACTTGCAGAGATTGGAAACTTTCTGGAGCTAGTCGAGAGATTTTCTTCTCTGCTTTTATCTGCATGACCACATGTTCTAGTGGGATGAGGATGCACTTAAGAGGGAAGTTGGGCTTTAACAGGCTGCACTGCATTACCAACAAGAGATGATGTTAACTGCAATGGATCAAACCGAGCGAGCATGACTCCTCTGAAAGTTTTCATTCTGCACTGCGATGAAGTGAAACCAGTGGTGGGAAACAAAACATGAGAAAACTCTGCAAACCTCGACACATCTTTATCTGTTTTGGTCTAAAGTCTCTCATATAACAGCATCCCGGTTATTGCGAGTGATTTCTTTCTCTGTAGGAGAAAATGTATTATAGATAAACAAGCGATGCTGTCTCGCCCAAGCATATGTGCATTTGACCTGCATGGTGGAGGCTCAGCTATGAGGACTGTGCTTTGGATGCATAAAGCACAAGCTTGCCATCAGACACCTTCAGATAAATTGGAGCTAATCTAGCGATGAAAGGCTGTTCTGATTCATATAGGAGTGAAAAGGGACACGTCAAACAAGAAGAAGAGTATTCAGTTAGCTAAAAAGCTAAGACAATACCCCTCCATCTCCTCCCACTGAATCAGAATTGAAGTTTACCATCTCAGTGGGCATTGACATATTGTGCTGTAATGCATTTTGGAGCCAAGGCATGCCTAGAAGCGATTTGGCTGGTGGAGTTGTTGGAGCGCCCCTTTGGCAATCCAAAATACATATTTAACAGCCAGACGAGACTCCTAAGCTCTCCAGTTGATTTAAAGCAGGAATTTTAAATCAATGCAACTTTAAAAAATAGGCGCTTGAATATTAAAAGATAAGTTTGATAACGATTCTGTCCCATCTGTTAAAATGGAGGAGGCGGGGTTTATGATTAATACTAAAACCAGACAGCAGGGGGAGCTCTATATAGTTAGATTTTTAGAATTTTTTGGTAACCCTTTCTTTTATGGTACACTTATTACCAGGTAATTACCTAGTAACAACATGAAATTATCTGGTAATTACATGATAACTACTAAGTCAATACTGTCTAGTTTTTCTTTTCTTTTTTTTCTGTGCAGCTCCATTTTCAAAAGCTATAGGTAACCTACCTGGTATCTAGACAGTATTGACTTAGTAGTTATCATGTAATTACCAGATAATTTCATGTTGTTACTATGTAATTACCGGTTAATTACCTGGTAATTACTGGTAACCCAAAACATCAGGATATTACTTTAATTAATGTGGCACGCTCGTACCCAGAATGATCATGTGTTTTCTTATATTATTCAAGTTTGCACTAAAGCCTACAAAAAAACTCCAGTATGGCCCTTGAAACTTAAAAGCATGTAATCAATAGTATACCAGCAGTCGTTGTGATGGACAGAAGGACAGAGAAGCCCTTCCCCCAGTTTCAATGAGTGGCCCAATTTCAAACCAGCATCTTGACATTCTCGACGTAGTGATTTTCTGGATTTAATAAAAACCAGCACTCCACTGCCTCAGCAGTTTGCTTCAACTGGGAATTGAGACTGAGTACTCTCAGAGTTTCACTCTTGTCATTTATCAACAATTGAAAGCAGCACACACTGTAAAATGGGAATATTCTATCAAATGCTCCAAGTGCTTCTGATGGGACAGGGACCACTGGATGGGCTCTCGGTACACTGGGAGCACGGAGAGTTTGGCGAACCACTTTGCCACTTAGCAACAAGAGGCTGAAATGCTCTCATGCAACCACAGCCAGAGAATGTGCGAATCACTGCGTCAAGTGGACCGGCAGAGTGTACAGTTTGAAGATTGGGCTCCAGTACTCAGGGGCTCGCTCTAAGCTTCAAAAAGCTCATGTATACCCAGCAAATTGAAGACCTTTTAATTGGATTTTGGAGAGTCCTCGAATCTGAAAAACAAACAGACAGAGGCAATAACACTCACCTCTTCCTGAGCACTGAGAGGATGCTTCCTGTGCCTTCATGGCCAATCAGCCAAGAGATGTAGTGGAGAGGTTTCACTCTGAAAAAAAAAAAAAAAGGGGGAAGAACATGAAAAAGAGAAACAAAAAACATTGATGCAATCTTCCTACAATCAGCGTAAAGCACGGTAACTTTCTCGCTGGTCTGAATCCATGTTTATGTGAAGAGATGCCGCTCTGAAGAAGTCAGACACGGGGTCGAAAACACTTCTGATGAGATTTCCTTCAATTTACCCCTCCTCCTGTGTTAGGGTCTGTTCCGACCCGTTTTTGCTTTTAAATGCCTAAAAGAAGCACTTAAATTAGTTTGTTTGCATTAAGACTTTTTGACTTTGTCAGGAACCTCGATTTCAACTAAATGAAAATAATAAGATTAAATTGACTAAATTATAAAATGCTCTTATTAAAATTATGGCACTTGTGGTTTTAGGGTTGCTGTTGACCCGGTTAGATCAATATCTAATAGTCAGAGCAAAAACTGAAATCATAAGTGCACTGACAGGCACCACTCTGACAGTCAGATCCTCTTCCAATCATGTGAGATTTAGGAAATTCTCATTTTGCCTGTTTTTCGCTGCACAAAAAAACAACGTCAGGCATGTCCAGACATGTGAGATCAGATCAGTATGGATGTCTGTATGAGGGGTATACTGACAAAGAAAGGCCCAGAGGCCCACTACAAAAAATATTATAAGCAATATTGTCATGGATAATGAAGTCTAAAGGTCCTTACACACCAGCAAATTTGCGGAGCGAAGCGAAAAAGCGAGACGAAAATGCAAAAATATTCGCCGGTCCGAAAAATCGCTTTCGCTTATACACACCGGGCGACCACTCTGTGGTACACACACTCTCCCATCGTTGCTCTTGGTGCCAGTGGTGGTGTGTGTCGTGTGAACTGCAGCCGCGTGGGTCTGTGACGTCATCATCAACATGACTTTTGATTGGCCAGAGGTCTAGCAGGTCCAGATATTCGCCTGCGAATCTCCGAAAAATTCGACAGAAGAGCGAAAAAATAAAAGACGCTTTTTGCCCAGCGGAAAAAAAAGGTGAATAATTCGCCTGGCGAATTCACGCCTGGTGTGTAAGGACCTAAAAAAGGTATCATAGAGATGAGAACCAAATTGGATGATAAAGAATTGTTTTTAGTGAAATTTACAGCTGATTTAAGACACGGGTCAAAACCGACCCTTGACATAGTGGGTGCTTAGTAAAAGCTAACACAGGAGGAAGGTTAAGGGAGTGCGTGTAGTTTTTTTGGGGGTTCTCTGTACCTTTAACTTGTGTGGCTCACCTGTAGTATTTCTCTTGAGGAGGGAGAGCCCAGGTGATATTCAGAGCGTGAACTTTCCCAACAGGGACAACTTTAACACACAAAGACAGATTAAATAACATCACATGGTGTTGTACGGTACCACAAATCATTTTGTATCAGTATATAACATGGTATCACACTACACAGAGTCTTAAAAACCTCAGAGAAAGTCTGAGAAAGAGGAATAAAAACATGTTTTTCTGCCTCACTCCCCTTTGACTTTCCTCTGACCCCACAGGTTTATTTAGAGGTTGGCAACAGAGCCAGATTACATCAAAAGTATTCGCTTTCAAAGGAGCATGGCAAGATTGATTTGTACCTCTGTAAAGCTTGTTGAAGGCTGGTGTGTCAAATGGATCCAGCATGTGAGCGAAATCTGGTTTGGGCAGATTACTGTGGATTTAAGGAGAACAGAGTGATTGTAAGCAACGTTGATAATACTCAACCAATTAAACACTGGCGATATTTCAGTGTATCCTCCTCAGCAGGTCTTAAACTCATCCTTCGTGCCTCACAATACAAAAAAAAAAAGTCTGTCACAGAAAATTTCTATCAAGAGACAGGAGAAAAGTTTTTTAGAGGAAGATTAAAGATTACTGTCCCACATTATCAAATCCTTAAACCTAATTTTTTCAAATGTTGTTAGCTTGATAAGTGAATCAAGGATGTTTAAGAGGCTTGGGAATTTCCATGAGCTCATACATAAGAGAAATTTCATCAAACCATTCAGAGGCATGTAATCCTTTAATCAAAATGAAAGCATCAAAACTGGGGAGTAATGTGGTTATCGTACCGCTGTGATACGCATGCTGATTCTCTTCAAAACACAGAAACTGCCGCAGTGACGCATAAAACTAACAGAAGCTGAGTTGTGTAGGAAACAGTAATTCAGCTTGACTTAAAGGATAAATGATTCTTTTCAGGTGTGCGATGCGGAGAGGAAAAAAGCGTCGGAAAAAAGGATGAAAAGAACCAAGAAAGAGACGGTGAAGCGCTTGACATTTACATCTGAGTACAGTCTCAAAGGATAGTCAGACTCAATCTATATCACACCCGCTCCTCATCATCGCAGTGACTGAGAGCCTCTTCTCCGGTACTCACTTGTTCGGCACCTTGCTGAAGATCTCTCTTACCCACTCCTCCAGAGTGTCCAGCTTCTCTAAAGGAGTGAAGGAGGAGAAGTTAAGAGATCAAGTGCAACTCAGTTATTCTGGCTGAAAGTTGCAATTCTGGGTTTTGGAGGGAAGACTCAGTAAAAAAGCAGAATGTTTGTTGGATGCAGCACATTCAAGCCCAGGCCGCAAGACTAAAATATATATTGGCGTTGCGTTTTTATGGGGATGTAAAACAACTGCAGTTTAGTTATTGTGAAGCGCTTGTCTTGGGAGTAATAGGAGGTTATTTACTGCCACAATTCTTTTAAAATAACAACAGAGGGTATTAACTTACAATCTCTAACTCTACATCAACTGGCAGAGTCCCTCCTTTCTGTGTAGTATCCAAATTACACCCACAAATGATTCACAGACGAAGATGGATGCATGTTTATCAGATAAAAGCCTCCCTTTTAACTGAGCACTCTACATCTCGACGGGTAGGATCCCTTTTTGGAGCAATTAACACTCGTCTTTGTGCGTGCATTCTTTGCTTGAAGTATAACACTCCTACACTGCACAGCATGATGGAAAAAGGCCAATTATTGACTTTATTCTTTCATAAAACAACGTGACGCAATGAATCCTTCCAGCTCTTTTTGTTTAGCTGAGGCAGAGGCTGCTCAAGGCGACAGAAATCGATGCTCTTGTCATTTTGATTGAATCTTGTGCAGTTATTGAAACACAATGGCGGGTACCGCTAACCACGGTTGTTGCAGAAATAACAGGGTATCTTTAAAGGGACGTCTGCAAGCTGCAATAAAGTTATTTGTTTAATGAACGATGGACCAAACGGCTACGTGGAAAGTGAGGAGATTCAAAGCAGGAAAAAGAACATGAGAAACAGTCAATTACGTGAAAACTTGGGTTTATATTCTAATATGATATGGACTAATAACTGTTAGGAGCCTCTTTCTTATCATGCTCACTCTGTCCCTCTGCTTTACTATCACACACAGGACAGATGGGGACTGCAAACAGAGCTTCTCACACATAGACCATAACTAGAAAGGCTGTTAAATCATAACCACGGACAATTTTTAGTCATTTTGACACGGCTATCCACAATTAATAAGTAAACGATCACTGCTCCCTCCTTCGCCTAACAGTGTTTCCTCTGCTGATGATCAGAGACATAGAGACCCGACAGGTCTCTCCTTTTAATGTGGGCTAATAATAAGATCAACTTCTCATATTTAACACAAACCTTCTCATACTGCTGTTTTGTGCAGCTGGTTGCTGTTTTTTTTTAGTTTTGGATCGTTATCACGGCGGGTGATCGTCCACAGACAGATCACCTGCCGTGATAACAAAACCTTTAAAAACTGAGTTGGGTTATCCGGGAGCCTGAGGAGGAGTCTTTGTAAAAGATCAAACACTGAAGGGCAGGAAAAGACTAGGAAGGAGGTGGGTCACAGGGGCGGATTCAGGGTTTGTCAAGGGGTGTCCCAGCCCCAGAGGTGATGCCCCCCCTCAATGAAATTTGATTGTACACCCAAATCCCAAATAAAATCCAGAGTTCATGAAGATTTAAGCTGGAAAAACATGTGCCACTGTGTTGTTTCACTTTTTAGCCCACTCAAATTATTTATTTAGAGGTAATTAAACATCAATTTGACATAATATGAAATAAATCAGGTCATTAAAAGTGCCTCCCATTTAGAACTAGACTTTTTTTGTTGTTATTTATTGAGTGAGACTTACCACAACATTCGCAGATTTTGGACTCTAACTTGTTTTCTACTAAAATTAAACCTCAACTAATTTTTCAGCTTTGGTTTAAATTAAGGTGCATTTTAGACTCCTTTTATTTACCCTCATCTGTTGAAGATATAAAATGAGACTAAAATTATTTTTTCATCTTCTCTGGTTTTACGGTACACTTATTACCAGGTAATTAACAGGTAATTACCTAGTAATAACATGATAACTACTAAGTCAATACTGTCTAGCTACCAGGTAGGTAACCTTCCATCATTATACAAATTTGGAGCCGAATTGCTCTGGTATTTCCAGGATTTTCTCCGCTTGCTGGAACCACCACTTGCACAGTAGCATTGTACGCATTCGGCGGGTGAGTCGCTGTCATAATGCTCGGCTCAAACAGCGTATCGCTACGCAATCTTCGCACGCCCATAGGCTGTATCAAATGTCAATCAAAGAAAATAAGAACCCCAAATAGCTTTTGAAAATGGAGCTGCACAGAAAAAAGAAAAAAAGAAAAACTAGACAGTATTGACTTAGTAGTTATCATGTAATTACCAGATAATTTCATGTTGTTACTAGGTAATTACCTGTTAATTACCTGGTAATAAGTGTACCGTAAAATAATTGTTTCAGCAGCTTGTTAGCACGCCCTGAGGTAAGCAGAATCAAGTGGTTTTTTTTAAATACATATGATCACATTTCAGTGTTGTATTATAAGAGCTATTTCAGCTTCTCCTCTTCATTAGTAGTTGAATGCCACACCGTTTTTTTTTAAATAACAATGAAGGTTTCAGCAGAAACACAGAACACCAGCAGTTCATCTGTTTAATAAAGATGATTTTTTTTCCGCCCAAATGTCAGCACACTTCATCATTAAATGTAATCGGTAGTTAATTAGCTGTGTGATATTATCTGAGGAGAAACACACACACACTCACGCTCAGAAAAAAAAAAGCGTGTTAAAAATGTCTGATTATGTTTGAGATTGTTTGGAGAAGTGTCGCGATTGGGGTTGTTGATTAACAACAGCTGGGTGAATATGACTAAAATAAATCATCATTAAAGCTGGGAGAACAGATAGTTCAAATCGCCCATTACTCTAAAGACCGCTTCTATCAATAAATCAATTTATTTGTTGAATGAAATAATTGAAATCAATTACACTTCTGTCACTCTTTCACTAGACGAGTTCTTGATGTTTAATAAAATAAAATGGATTTTTTTCTGACCTTTAGACTGCACTGCCAGAGTCATATAGTGGGCTGAGTAGTATTTCTTCCAGAAGGCACGCAGCCGCTTATAGACATTGATCTTCCTCTTGTTTGGCTCATGCTTCAGTGTCTCGGCATTACCTGTGGTTGTGACAAGTGAACAATCAATCCAGCAGCAGAAGAATAAAACATCCTGGAAAATCTTTCTCTAATGCAGGAATATCAGCAGTAAAGGAGACTTGGCATCTGTCTCAGTGGCTCCCATTTGTTATTGCTGAACATACCCCAAGGAGGCCCTGTGTGTAATAAACGTCCCAGTGGTTGTGTTTACCGACTCACCCCAGCAGAACTTGCCCATGGGGTGTCCAGGTTTAGCCAAACTGCCAAACAGCATCTCCTTCCTGTGGGAGTCTGATGGCTTAGCCAGCTGGTACTCTGACAGACAGAGGGAGAGACAGAGAAACTCCAGACAACAGAGAAAGATGGAGATCAATGGTGTGCAAAAGAGCTGCGTGAGGGGGGAACTCTGCAAAAAGCAAGCAGCTGATGAAAAGTTTAACTCTGAGTGAACTGGATAAGATGGCACTTCTTCGTATAAGAGCCGGGACTCACCGCTGTCGACAGCCTCCACCTCCCTATCGATGGCGTCTCGGATCATCAGGGGGCAGATGAAGAACTGAGCCCATCTGAGAGGGTCGACAGAACAAAGAGGCTATAATCAAGGGCCACATGCACAGGTCAGGCTGAGACAATCATATAGAGACAGCTAAACACCGCAGACAACAGCTTAATAGCGGGTGGCTGATTGAGCCTGCGACGTCTGTCCAAGTTCTAACGCACCGAGAGACTGAATTACAGCATATCCTGAAAAGGAGGTCTAGCTGTTTTCAGCTGTCCACAGTTTGAAATCACAATAACACGCTTCCAGGATACAGAGTTACATCAGAAATAAGAGCTGTTACCACGCTGTGCCGTTTGATGCTCCTCGGAGACATAACAAACGTTTTAACAAACCTTCAAAAAGCTTTATTTTGAGATCGTACAAGTGTTCATTTTTTTAAAGGAGAAGAGGGGAAAAAATTAATGTAGCATTTGGAAACCTTGAAAGCTTTTAAGCCTTTATCCCACTGAGCAATAGAGGGCTATTAGACGACCTAATTTCAACCATCTAGATCAGTGGTTCTCAAGTCCAGTCCTGCATGTTTTGGATGTTTCCCTGCTCCAACACACCTGATTCAAATGATTAGCTCGTTATCAAGCCATTACGGAGCTTGATAACGAGCTAATCATTTGAATCAGGTGTGTTGGGGCAGGGAAACATCCAAAACATGCAGGACTGGACTTGAGAACCACTGATTTAGATTATGAATATTTGTATACAGAATTTAGATGTTGCACTTTAACCCATTATTCAATAACTATTTATTTAAAAACTGATCTCCAAGTACTTTACCAAAATAATTATGATAGCTGTTGAGCAATATACAGTGTAGTGTAGATCAGAGGTCCCCAACCACTGGGCCTCGGACCAGTACCAGTCCGTGGATCAGTTAGTACCGGGCCGCAAAAAAAAAAAAAAAAAGATGATTAAATTTTTTTTTTCTTTTCATTCATCCTTCCAGTATCTTATTTTGAAAGATCACCACTTCTGCCATCGCCTCATTTTCAAGCTTGACTCTTCGGCACGTCATTTTCCTGCATCAGCGACACAAACTTGCCCTTGCCAAAATGACCCAGAAACAGAGTTCACCGGAGAGAGAAAGGGTTGATTCTGCACTATGGTGAGTTGATGTTAAAGTGTAATGAAAAGTGCCTAATATTTCCTGCATGAAACTGGTGCCTGGTACAAAAAAAGTTGGGGACCACTGGTATAGATACAGCGCAGATTTAGACTTGGTCTAAACTTGGTCTAAATTTAGACGTCTGAAAACGTTCATTTTTAAACCTGTGGTAGCCTGATTTTAGACCAGTCATCTAGGCTACATTTAGACGTCTGTTAGACCTCTTTCAGACCAAAAAATGCTCAGTGGGATTGCAATCCTGTTTCTAGAACACATAGATTTTAACCGCACTAGACCCTTTCTTGCAAACAAACAAACTAACTAGCAATAAAAGACTAGACCAGTTAGAGGTGGGGTCTCTTTAACTTGCAGGACAATTCAAAGCTGATCTGAAGAAATCTATACACATTAGTCATTTATCAGGATGTCTGTTTAATGAAGAGCCTGAAGAGCCATCACATTTACTGTCCCCATAGCGGCGTGGAGGAAGCAGAAACTCGAATGCTGTCAGGCTGTCAGGTTTGTGGAATAAAAGAAGCAGGGAGAGGCTTCTGCACTGATTTTTAAGAGAATGAAAAAAAAACAAAGTTTAAATTCAACTTCTGTGCGAGAAAGACGCTAAGAAACAGACTGTGGAGGTTTATGATAAGCTGTAGGTTTCGCATATGTGAATCAACAGTGCAGGAAAGCTGTGTCCATTAGGGTTGGAAAGAGTAAAAAATATAAACCCCAGTGAGTGTCAGCTGCTTGTTCTGGTTGTAGAAGAGGAAATAAGACTAAAAATGACGATGAAAACCCTCTTTTTAATGGGAAAACATTTTGTTCAAAACTAATTATGTCTCCTATTGATGCATGTCCCAAACAACCAGGGTGAGATGAATTGAAATAAACAAAAAAAAAACAAAAAAAACCCTTCCTCTCTCTAAATATGACTGGGGGCTCATCTGCTCATTCTACATTGAGGATTTTTTGGCCCATTTATGCGCTTGTCCAGTTGCATTTGGACGGTTAAATACCCCTGTGTGTTTAGATGATTAGCATGAGCAGACACATGTTTTGATAAGTGATCAGACTCAGACTCAGACAATGAGACTAAGTGCAGCAAAACAGAGAAATTGCAGATGTGACAGAGTGGTAAGAGTGGTTAAAACAAACATTTTGAGGCTGGGAAGAGTGATTTTTTTTTTTTGCCTGTGGACAACTCTTTGTGTCTTCCTTCAGAGAAAATATTCGGATGATGTTTCAAAAGAGCTATCAATGTAACAACCGTTTTGACAAGTTATTTTGGTCGGGGAGTTTTTGTACTTCTCTTACGCCAGTGTTTTATGTTTGTCTGAAAGTCATTTGGTGATTATCAAGAAGTCGACTCTTCTGGAGTGACTGCTCCGAAAAACAAAGAGACTTCTGATCCCCTTTTACCTGTCAAGAGCCTCTTTGAAGTTTTTCCTCTGGATGTCGAACTGGAAGACTGTCCTCTCGCAGTCGGTGGAGGCGTTGTCGCTTCCACCGTGCTTCTTTAGGAAAGCATCAAAACCGTTTTCTGAGGGATACTTCTCGCTGCCCATGAACACCACTGGGACGTAACAGAGAGAGGAAAGAAAAAAAATACAATGAGAAGAGGAAATAAAAAAAAGAAAGTGACTTTGAAGGTAAAATCAACCACAGCTACTCTGGTATGTGCCTTGCATTTGTGGTTTTGTTGACTACGTGGAAAAGCAGGGCCAAACACAGACGGAGTGGCATTGTATTTCCAGCAAAGCCACAATAGAATTTAATTTATTTTTCTAGATGTAGCAGTAAATGTTCCTCTAAATATCGCCGGTAAAGTGTGGTGACAGTTTTGATGACAACCGTAAGACTAGCGAGGCTTTCTTTTCTTTTCAAACAGACCTTTTGGGAGGGAACAATGCTCAAAAACCACATCTATCAAAGAGGCAGATACAACAATTTCTCTACAGACAGAAACATCAGTAAAGCCAGAATGCAATTCAGAACATCTGTGGCATTTCAAGAAAGAAGAGCAACTCTTGGTTTTTATTGGACTGGAAAAAAAACTTCAATGCAACAAGTTCCCTGCGTGCGTTCTCTGTGGCTTGTAGGAGGATATTCTGGGAAATGTCACAAATTATTAACCGGAGTAAAAGTAGACAAAACAGGTTAAGGAAAGGAGGGTACACTAAATTATTAAAAATAGCAAAATTATTCCTGGAATCAAACGGGAGACGGGGTGTCTTGTATGTTGTACAGCCTCTGAGGCAAATCTTGTTACGTAACAAACGCGCCTTATAAATAAAATTGACACGACTTGACTTTCAAACTGACACATCGAGTACCTGAGAGCGAATCAGCTCCTGTTTTTCCGAGAGGCGAAAATGAGAACTTCTTTTCAAAAAGAAGAAGAAGAAAAAAAAGGCTTCACCCTCTCTGGTGTTTATACTCACTGTGTTCCAGAAAGTGAGCGAGGCCGGGCAGGTCATCGGGGTCGCTGAAGCTGCCCACTCCCACACACAGAGCTGCTGCAGACTGGCACACACAAAAACACACACACACACGCGCGAATTGGATACTGTATCAGGTCCGAGTGGGGATGCTGGCTTTTAGGAACAGGTGTTGTTAGAAAGTGTGTGTATTTAACAGCTCTATAAATAGTTTCACAGTTTGTGCTGACAGCCCTCATGCATAAATAATCTCTGCATATGTGATTTTTTTTTTTGGTTTCAGCATGAATCAAGTGTTTTTTTACTCCTCTGAGACGCTGCACACGTGTCAAAGCTCCTGAAAAATGAATGGAGAGCTACATTCAAAACCTCCCCTGCGTACCTGTTTCTCTGAGCTTCTTTTCCTCTTACTCCCCTCGTCGTCCTCGTCGTCACCTTCATCGTCGCCCTCCTCTTCATCAGACTCACTCCCTGTGTCATCTCCAGACTCATCCTCCTCCTCTTCTTCCTCCTCCTCCTCCTCTTCACTGTCCGTTTCGTCTTCAGACCCTGCCGGGCCGCTGTAGTCTGAGATAAGGAGAGCCTGCAGTCCGTTTTCAAGCACGATGTACCTGCAGGGGGAGAGAGGGGTCAAAGGTCAGACAGCTTAGGGACTTTTAAGAATCAGCGTTGCGTTACAGTTTGTTTTTTTTTGTCTTATGTTGAACAGGCTGTTAAATCAACCAGACTGCATCTTATACCCTTTGAGACTCTCTTGTTGTACGCTTCTTCACAGCATATTTCTCTGCGTATGCTCCGCAGAGGCCCGAAGCGCTGGTGTGTGCTTATAGCATGAAATCGTCTCATCACACCACAATAATGCCTCAGGAAGAAAACGCTGGATATCTTTTTTGGATCTGGGTTAGTGGATCTGGGTCATTTTCTCAGCACCCTCTAGTTTTAGATCATATCCTTGCTGCGTGTAAAATTGTGCTGGTGACAATGACTAAGAATAAAGCACGAAATAGAGGAGATGAATCATATGGGAGGGCTATTGTGCGATAAATGTAACACATAGGAGCGTGTTCGGGTTGTGACGTTCGCAAACGATTCGTTCAAAAGAACCGAATCTTTTGAGTGACCGTACAGAACCGAATCACTTCTTCGATTCAGTTGAGCTAAAGTGAGAAACAGCATTGCCAGTCGAGCAGTCGGCGAATGAGGGACCGCATGCACCAACACTTGAATCAATCGGTGAACGAATCATGAATTGAACTACACTCTCTGGAATCATTTTTGTTGGACAAAACTACCTTTTTTTTTTTTATTGCTAAATTGCCACCACAACAACTTGCATACAATAGGACACAGCATGTAACAAGTAGTGCATTAAACCTAAAGCATCCTAATGTTGCAGCGGTTTGTGAGGGAACGGTGCATTCTTCTCAACATTCCAAACACTCTCGTCTCCCGGTCCCAGAAGCTACAAATTGGATTGAATCCTGAACCGTTCAGCTGTGTTTAGTTCAGGAGGTCAGGGTCATAGGCATAATATACGTAGACGCCTCAAAGCCTGACACTGCCTATTGGAGCCCTCATATCAGTGCGGCCGCCATCTTGGATGGGTCCCCCGTGCGCCTCCAGTGCATTACGGTAGGTAGGAATGCCCGACCATATTGATAATACCTCTTAGAATCTCTGCCCGATTTTCACTCTGTTTGGTTTGTTACAACGGCAGGAATGTAGCAATAATACAGGACAATGTCACACGTTAAAAATAAAAAATGTATTTTTTAATCCTATTTGTGAAATGTAATCCTACGTGATTTGGTTTCAATACTGCGTCGGGTTTTTCAACCATAAGGTGCAAAAAAACTGAACCAAGTTGTCCATAGTATATTCAGTCTATGGCTCCAGCTTGTAATGAGGCATCTACATATATAATGTCTGTGGTTGGAGTCGCAGTCTTCGCCCGCCAAATGCAACATGATTTGGTGAACAAATCTTTTGAACGAATGTTTTTAGTGAACTGATTCTAGTGATTCAGTGCCCATCCCTATAGTGTGTCCTTTATATTTACTGCTCCAACACGTAATAAGGTGTCTATGTATATAATGACTATGGCTGGAGTTGCAGGCTTCGCCCACCAAATGCTACAGGTTTTGGTAATTTGGTGAATGAATCTTTTGAACGAATCTTTTTAGTCAACTGATTCTAGTGATTAAGTACATCTACAAGAACTACACCCTCTGGAATCATTTTTGTCAGACAAACTTTTTTCGTTGTTTTTAACTACTGATTCAGTGATTTGGTGAACGAATCTTTTCAGTGAACTGATTCTAGTGACTCAGTACATCTAAAAGAACTGCCTTGCCCATCACTTGAGTGTGTCCTTTACCTGTACTGTTTAGGGTCACTGGGGGACTTGGTTATCTCACTGTCTCCAACATTGTCCTCCCCTCCTCCTCCTCCTCCTCCTTCTTCCTCTGTCTCCACTGCAGCTCGGTTCTGCCCCTGATCTTCAGCCGGTTCTCCTCCTGCTTGACCTGATCCTGGAGAGTCACACGCTGCTGGGGCGTTCGTGGACTTGTTGGTCTGCGGCATCCTCGTCGCCAGAAATGATGGTGATGACACTTTGGCACTGCGGGCTGACAGCAAGGCGCGACCATAAACAACAGGACAGCTCGCTGCCACCGGTAATTTAGCCCTCAGCGAGGCAACACACCGTGTCAGCCTGAACACAGCAATGATGAAGAGCCTCCCTGACAGACGGGCTATGGCGGAATAAAAGCACAGATTTCACCAAAACCCCCCTCTCTCTGTGGAAGAGGCCTAGATAGGTTTGAACCCGAGCTGTCAAACACACCAGCCAGCGTCCACAATGCAGCTATTCACACAGGGTGTCTGGTGGTTTCGCCCTATTCAGCGAGCTGTCAGCTAAAATACCAGCAGCCGAAACAAAACCTCAACCTCTCATCCACACACAGCAAAAAAATAAAACAGCCGGGAGGAGTTTTTTACTTATCTTCTGCATACAAATGTAAACAAAGACAGCTGTGAGAGGAATTTCAACATATAATACTCTTCTTCCTGCTTAGTTAATGCGCTGTTTCAAAGCTTAAACAAACTAACACGTCTAATATAACTTAATAAAGCCGGTTCAGTCTGTGTATCCATACCTTTCAGCACAAGGGCCCCAGTGTGTATGAGTTTACATGCCTCTCCAACAACGAGCGCTGTGATTCGCCAGCGCTTCACTCTTCCGCCCTTTGATTGGTTCTCAAACCGAAGGGGGCGTGTGTAGTGCGCAGTCAGGAGTGGTTACAGTGATGCAGCGTCGAGGATGGGACAGAGGCAGACACCTGGATGTACCCGGCAGCTGCTAACCATCTGTTTATAATTATGAGTGCTAGAATGTTCAGTCGACCACTTGTCAGAGGCTGTAAATGTCATAATATGTCGTTTTATCGAATCTGCTCAGTCAATGTAAACCGCTTAGGAGTGAATTGGAAGTGAATTGTGTGAGAGCTGGTCTCATGGCAGCCACTTTCCTCCACTGAAACTTTGTCCCACATACTCCCTGATGCACCTGTGTAGGGGGGATGGTTGGTGCAAGAGCCGCTAGGTGGCAGGCATAGGCTTTGGGGGATGTTGGGCAAATGTCACCTGATATTTTAATATGAGAAAGATATTGTTTATTCGATATAATATACATACAGTACAATTTTACACAAGAAATTCTCCGATTTTAGTAGGTAGAAGCCATTTAGCTTATTTGTACCTACCCTCATTCCTTCTAATTCGTTGACCTTTTACATGTCTCTAGAATTTTAGGATTTCTTAAGTCGCCAAAAAGTAGCCAAAGCTCCAAAGTCTAACATGAATAAGTAACAAATCATTAATACTGAGACAAAGACCTTATATAAACATACAGTACAGGCCAAAAGTCTGGACACACCTTCTCATTCGAAGTCTTTTCTTTATTTTTTTTATATGACTATTTACATTGTAGATTATCACTGAAGGGATCAAAACTATGTATGAATACATGTGGAAAATAACTGAAAACATGTTTTATATTCTAGTTTCTTTAAAACAGCCACCCTTTGCTCTTGATGACAGAAGTGCTTAACCCTGACGAGGCACACCTGTGAAGTAAAAACCATTTCAGGTGACTACCTTGTGAAGCTCATTTAGAGAGCAACAAAAGTTTGAAGCGCTATTAAAAAAGTAAAGGGTGGCTACTTTGAGGAATCTAAAATATAAAACATGTTTTCAGTTATTTCACACTTTTTTCTAAAGCACATAATTCTACATGTGTTCATTCATAGTTTTGATGCCTTCACTGAGAATCTACAATTTAAATAGTAATGAGAATAAAGAAAATGCATTGAATGAGAATGTGTGTCCAAACTTTTGGCCAGTACTGTATATACCTATGAACAAAGCCAGCCCAAGCCTCAATGGGGCCCCGAGCAAAATTTGATTTTGGGTCCCTCTATTTCTGCCAATAATATTGATTGTTGATCATTCACACACCTTCACAAATCTCTTTGATTAACCTTCCATGACATGCAATAAAACCCTTTTCTTGGCGTGTTTTCTCGTCTTCCTCTTTCTTTTCTCTGCTCACGAAGGATATGTCCTTTTTTACGACATTGTTTTGCCCCACAACTACCTGCGCTTTGGATGCTCAGTGCACATGGCACAGCAGAAGGCACATAACGGTAGCAGAGCTTTGACATATCGGCAGTAAGAATCAAAGGCCGACATTAGCAGCAGCATTTAAAATGTGTTTACTTTATTTTATTCTATTTTTACAATAATATATAAGATATCATACAGAAAGCATCATTCATACATGCAAAAATATATATATATTAAGTTTTTTTTAAATTTTTTTATTACTCTTGGGGGCCCTTACCTGGCCGTGGGGCCCTAAGCTGGCACTTAGTTCACTAATGCCTTGGGAAACTGCCTATGAAACTTCAAATCTCTTATTTGTACCATACCCATATACAATAAGTGTGACAAAACAAAAATCACCTATATAAGTATTTTTCAATCATACTCTGCTTTAATTTACTTTTATACTGTGCTATTGTTTTGCTTTGTTTAATTTCATCGAGCAAGTTGTTCCATAGCTTCACCACCATAACAGAAAGACACATGCTTTTTAGTGTAGTTGTTTTTAATACATACCTGCCCTCTCTTCCACCAAACATTTTCTGTATATTGCTAGGGAGTAGATTGTTGCTTGCTTTGTACATTATCTGTGCAGTTCTCAATTCAACTAGATCGTCAACTTTTAATACTCTTAATTTCAGAAACAGTTCATTAGTGTGATGGAAGAATCCTACCTTGTTAACACCCCTTATTGCTCTCTTTTGCATAATATATAAAGGTTGTAAATTCGTTATGTTAAGACTGTTGTTTGAGATGTAGTCCGCATCTGTTGTGGGCTAACATTATCGTTATATTGAGTTACAGAGAAAAAGTAACAGAGGTAACAATTCAGGGTTTTTCAAAAGTCAAAATGAGCTAAAAGCAACAAAAAAAAAAACCTAGGTTGAGATGAATTTGAAATAGGGGTTTTGCCAAATTGGAGATGACAGTGGATTTACAGTGAGGACCTCCTGAATGAGACTGACAAATATCAGTGGTACACTCAGCCTCAACCCCCTAATCTCTGTCAAACGTTTAAAAAGCAAAATCTTATCATGAATAAGCCATATTGACATTTGTCCAATGCCTGTCCTCTGCCTCCCCTCTGCAGCGTGTTGGCATTTCACCCCTCCGTCGTGCCAATATGTCCTCCCCCTCACTCACCAGCTCTCCCTCTGTCTGAAGCCAATCTGATTTGCCCCTGGGCTTCTGTCGGCAGGAAAAGAGGTGATAAACACCGCAGCCATGACAACCGGTGAGCCAGACACACGCCTGAGTTCCTGTATCCTAATGGCTTTACTTGGCATCGTCTGCTGCTTTAATTCATCAATTCCTGCAGCCCTTACCTGGCCTGATATTAAGACAGCCGGGACAGATGAAGGCAGCGCGGTTGCATCACAGTTTAAGCTGTTTCATCCTCGTCTTTTAAGATAAACAGCTGGACGGTTTGTACAGCATGAGAGATGGAGCAGTGTAAACACTTGAGCCTCCATATTGCTTAAAATAGAGCCTCCATCAGTCACTGAATAAACATTTCTGCAGTCTGATTAAAATTAACAGAAATGTTAGCATATTGATTCCTCTGAAGGGCTCTGAAGCAGCAGACAGAAAGTGAAAGCGCCAATCTGATTCTCTCAAATATATCCTATTGATCCCTAATGGAGCTTTTGTAGAAATCCAAGGAATGATGGTTTCGGGGCAAAAAGTTCCTGCACCAGACATGCTGCAGCCGCTGCTACGGCTACAATCGAAGGCTGGGGTAATAGTGAGGATAAGCGGCCTATTAGAAGTGTGTGAAAGTGCCTTTACATGCCCTGCCGCGTGAAACTTTCTGAGAAAAATGGCCGCCTTGTGTTGGTGATCAATTGGACAGGCCTGAAGACCATGAAGCTCCCTTTTAATACCGACACATATGGCCTTTTCATGGTGGAGTATATATTGTGTTAGCACTTCTGCAATGTGAGCCGTCGTAATTCCTCTCTTTTTTTTTTTCCCACTTTTGTGCCCCACGCTATGAGTGAACCCAAATTGAAGTGCAGACGGGGCACCTCAGGCCTCCCTAGAAAAATGTGTCTGAGTAAAAACACAATGTAGAACGCAGCCAGCTGAATCATTGTGGGTATGAGGAATTTGTCCTTCTCCTTTTAGAGTCACTGTGGTAAGTAAGCAGCAGCCACAGCACAAGTCTTTACCTTAAGTTTCCAAGAGGGCATGGTTACCACAGCAACTGATTTGAATCCTAATTAAAACAGGAGATTTGATTAATTAACTCAGCCGTGAATGTGTGTGCGTGTGATCATGTGTCTCCGCATGTTTCATGTGTGTGGGAGACTGCATGTTCCTTCTTGTGAGTCACGGTGCGTTTGTGTGGAGCCATGCTAAATGAGGAGGGGGTGTTATATCCTTATATATGTGTGTGTGTGTGTGTGTGTGTGTGTGTGTGTGTGTGTGTGTGTGTGTGTGTGTGTGTGTGTTGCTGAGCCTGGGGGTAAGCTTGTGAATCACTGTGTCTCCAACATGTGTGCACATCTGTGTGTATGTGTCTCATGTCTCCCGGGAGGCTTGTCCTTGCCTGCGGTCCCACTGTGTGAATCAGAGGTGAGTCCTCTGGAGTTGCCCTCTGCTTTAATCTGGAGCTAATGACAGAAACACCTGCACTCCTTGCCACCCCTAATCCCCCCACCCCTTTCTGTCTCCTTACCCCCTTTTCCTTTTGCACACTCCTCATCCAAACCCCCCTAGTTTCCCACCGCTCATCCCCTCTCTCCCACAACCAGTCTGTTATTTCCCTTCTTCTCCCTCTTTACCGATCTTTCCCACAGAGTGCTCCGTGCCCTTGCCTGCCTTCCTGATTGCCTCATCCCATGCTATAAGAGTCTGAGGGGCTGCACGGGCCCCCAAAGAAACCCAGACACGTGTTCAGGGACAGCGAAGCAGTATGAGAACAACGTGTGGCCATAAGGAAATATTCTGGCCCAGGGATATGCAGGGAAAGGACTTAAACACGCTCATACCCTTGTCAGTGCGTCCGATAGTCCTTCAGTCTTGAGTGTTTTTCTGTGTGTGTTTCTCATGCAAGCTTGTCCCAGTGGAAAGGTTGCAACAAAAAAAAAAAAAGGCATAATTGGAGAGCGACAAAAAAAGATGACCACTTCCAGCAATGTTTCCACAGCGGAAGAGAAGAAGGAGTGAGCAGAAAGAGGGAAAGAAAAAAAAAGGGAAGAAAAAGAGGGGAAGAATGGCACGTAAACAAGTCTGAGTTGACAAGTGCACACAGGAGAATCAAATAAGGAAGCAAAGGAAAGGCAAAAGATAGAGGAGCATGGAAGAAAAGGGGGAGCATCACAGAAGAAGCTAAGTATTATCTGACAGAAATGATGCAGATGAGAAAAAGGAAACAGCTTTGGAGGAAACGGAGGAGGAAGAAAGGAGAAGTGGCTGGAGTAAAACAGCATGAATCCCCATCAATTTCAGCACTGGACAGCTCCACAGACAGCACTAGGCCAGTATAAATAGATCCCCTACTTTACAGGCCGCATCAACACTCCAAAAAAAAAGTGCTTTATGTGCGCAGAGCGGCTCCTGCCCCTGGAGAACAGACATGCAGGTATCTGATGGTGCCTGATAACCATCTTCTCTCAGTTCCTCTCCGTTTGTTTTCTTAATTTAGTGAGCCTCCACGGTTCAACGACAACACCACGGTGAAGGAAAGCGGGTGTTTTTCTTCCCAGATTCGCCGTCACGGGGCATTGTTCCACTCTGAGGTAGACGATATAGCCTCCGGGGCCTGCATGGGATCATATTACTCCGGCCAAAGATCTGGCGTCACCAATCAAAGAGCTGGAAAATAGAAAATAACACACACAAAAAAACATCAGCTGCAGTCCTGCATGCTAGAGGTGACCCATGTGTCTGTGAGCAATCTCCACAAATGCATGTGTGCATGCATGCCATGCGCCTGCCAGCCTGTTTCCATTGTACGCCAGCATTAAGTAGCCTTGTGGGGAGGCTCTAATACAGACTAATGCACCTGAGAGCCCTGAAATCTATAACCATCATCTACATCTGCCTGATATTACTGGAACAGTCTCTGTTACTGTTTCTGATAGGAATCTCCGGGGAGAGCTTACCCCCCCTGCTGTAAGGTGAGGCATGCATGGGGAGGGAGGAAAGAAGAGTGTGTGAGTGTGTGTGTGTTTGTGAGGGAGGTAGGCATGCACCTCTCCATTTCCTCAAGGTGATTCACCTTAATGCACGCTGAAATCAATGTGAAATTGAACTGAAAATTGAACTTTCAGCTCTGTAATGTGGAAGACATGTTGTTATTAAATCTTTTCCTATAGCCATGAAAGCGGCAGACTGATACTTGAACGCTTCTGAAGGCTTGTTTTCAGCTGTGGCACCACGGTGTCCTTGATGGAGAGCCTGTGTACTCTCCACCGGGGACCCCCAGGCTCCGTGAGGGGTCTGTGCCTGTCACTTAGAGCCAGAATTGATAGAGTAGCGGCCACCCATAGGCGGTGATTAGCCTGTGTAGGAGGCTAAACTCAGAGGTGGGGTGGGTTGGGGGGGGCTTCACTTCTCGGAGTCTCGCGAGGCATCTGTTGCGCCCACCACCTCCATTTGGCGGGACAGGTGTTTTGATGTACGCCTCGCGCGCGCGTCCAGGGCCCTTCCCCGGAACAGTCGCCGCACTTTTTCCCAACTGATGCCGCGCGCGTGTTCGGCAGAGAGGGAGAGAGAGCGCGCGCGCGACGATGCCAGCTGGCACGAGTCGCCATGGTAACACACACCGGTTTCACGAAATCCGTCGTCGGCGCTTAAGGGCAAGAGGAGAGATGAATAAACTAATGAGATTATAAATTATTGTCGGTATAGCTGAACAGTCGGGGTATTTTTACCAGACTGCACGCGCGAGCAACGTGAGGAGAAAGTTTATGGGGGCCCATTGTGTGTGACTCTGTTGTGTCTCCTGTAATCTGTTTATGAAGAGGAGCTGAAGTGAACCCACCCCGCGCGCGCTCTATACGCCTCGTGTACAAACTAGCTAGTTGCGTGCTGCCTTATTGCATGATTAATTCCGGCGCCTTCACCCCCCCCTTTCTCCCCTCTTCCGCCCCCCCTCCCTCTATGAATTAGTCGGTTGTGTTTGAGATGAAGAGCGGCTCCTCCATCACTACGCAGGGCTACAACTCCGCGCTCTGCCCGCCTGTCCAGCGGTCCAGTGCCGCAGCTCCCACGGGCTGCACTGTGGAGAAGCGGACCTGCATCCTAAAGCCAAGCGGTGTTTTTCCCCCCCTCTTTCTCTCTCTCTCCCTCACTCTCTCGGTTTTTATCCTCCACCTCATTGCAGTCTTATCACGTCCCCCCCACCACCACCACCACCACCTCTCTCCTCTCCTCTCTCTCTCTTGCTCTCGTCCCCCCCACCACCACCTCTCCTCTTCCACCTCCCTCCCTCCCCATCCGCCTGAGCCGCTACAGGAGAGGGAGAGAGAGAGGGAGAAGAGTGCGGCTGAATGTGAACGACATGTCGACAGTCAGCCTCTAAAGTGTTTTCTCGGTCGTTCCCTAATTCTTTGGCGGCGGACTGAGTGAGTATTGCCCGCATCCCGGCTCTGCGAAGCGTCGCTGTGTGGATCAGAAAGGCTGGTGGGGAGAGACAGACAATGGGGAGTGCAATTGGATTGCGTTACTCTGCCAAGGATTTTCATACATAGCCTGGTAAATGTCTTAATAGGTTCTGTTAATGACTAGCCTGTTTAATTAGTCATGCTTTAATTCTACTAACTATCACATTGTGTGTGGTGTAATGTTAGGGGCTAATTGATCTTCTTAAGAGGGGCTGTGGGCTATCCAGGCTGTTATAGCCCCCTCTTACATTTGATCTGTGATGCTGCTTGCTTGCTTGCTTGCCTTGATAGTGCGGCTCTGTGTTGGGAGCAGGGGCCCATGTAAAAAGCTCAGAGTGAAGCTCGGTGAGGCTCCGGACAGAGAGGACGGTGGGGTAGACACTGGAATTATGTGACATGAATAATATGCCGAAGAATAAGCAGTGACCGTCATCTGTGGTCCGCTTGCGTCAGTGTGCAGGTCTAGAGGAGAAAGGAGGGATAAAAAAATAAAAAAAAGTCAGAGAGACTTAAGAAAGACAAGGAAGGAAGCCACACCTGTGTCAGGCCTGTTTGCAGATGGACAGACAGACAGTTTAAGATTCTGCTGTGCTGAGTCCTTTCCTTTCTTGTTACCATAATGATGCAGAGCTATGCTGACTCGTCCACTCGGCTGATTGGAGAAAGGAGGCTCGAGTGTTGACTGTGTTTCTTCTGATTAAGGAGGGATGGCCGTCCACCAAAGCAGAATCTAACAGGAGGGATCCCAGTGGGCTATCTGGACTGAGTATTGATCTCCCTCATACAGGGGGGGCTTCAGGCCCGGCCATAAACAATGCATTTTCTCTGACGAAGACGAAGACCCTCTGGGACTGTGAATGGCTTGTATTATGTATCGTATTCCGATTTTTCACACACTATCGAGCAACTTGGCCCAGATTATCCCGTGTTCTACGGATGTTTTTGAACAGTTAGTTAAGCCAGGGGGGAAAACACGATATTCGCCTCGTCTTTTTTTCCACTCTTGGACTGTCCAGCAAGTATTGCAGTATTATCCCGGATTGTTACGAAAGCACACACTCATCTACACGTGTCTCACTACCTGCTCCTGTACTTGGCAGGCGATAAAAGCACACTTTTTTTTTAGATATGGTTTGACCTTTCTTGCTTTGTTTCCAGCTTTCTCTCTCTCTCACACACACACATAACTTGGCTCCGGCTCTGCTTTCTCTGTGAGGCGGGTGTACATTGTGTGCAGGGCGAGAGGAGGGCTTTGATGTAATCAATATCAGATTTCAGCTGTTTCACTGTGAGCTCTCATCCTGAGTGGCAGCCTTGACTGACTTCTTAGCGCTTATGCAATCCCACTCCTCTCTCCCTCTCTCTTTCTCACACTTCCACCTCGCCCCGTTTCCTCTCCCCTCTGTACCCACTCTCTGCCCATTACTCTTCCTTTATCTGTCTGTCTCCTCTTCCTCACTCCATTCCTTCACCTTGTTCCCATTTCTCCCTCCTCCTCTTCCTCCTCCTACTCGCATTTCCAGCTCTCCCTTTCGTCATAATCATCTCTGTGATTGCTCTTCCTCTCCCGGGCGGTGATGTTTTCACTGCTGCCTCCTTGTCTAACTCGCTGATGCTAGATTATTGCTGTATGATTACAGCTACCATACCATGGTGATCATTATTGCATTCCGCATGGCAGTGTTCAGCACTGTACGAGCAGATCGAGACGCTTTATCCAATTTAGATCTCATTAAGACTTGAGAGGAAATATCCCCCCCCACTTGCAACACTCTTATCTCAGCTTTTCTTCTTGTTTTTTTGTTGTTTTGGTTTCCAGGACTGCTGCAACTCTTTCTGTTATTGCAGCGCCGTCTCATCATCATCATCACCACCATCAGCATCAGTTCACGTTCCTCGCTGTCATCCCCCTTCACATCAGCCCTTTTTGAAAACGCTGAAGAGTTTGGATTGGCAGCGATGCTTTCACTCCACTGTCATTATCACAATAATGATTATGACGGGACTCGATGGCTGTTGATAACCTAACACACTCAGCTGATTGTTAATACGCCGTATTTTTTTGTGCCTCTTCCCTCTGTTCTCTGATTGCCATTCATCTTATTAAATGGAGCAGTTCATTAGGCAGAAAACATTATGTGTCTGATTTGCATCTTCCCATATTCATATTGCATACATTAAAACAACACGCGCGTGACATTTCAGCTTCACTGGGTATTTGAAAGTATGAATATATTCATTACAAGTCCCCTCCCTCCCTCCAAACACTTGTCCAAAAGAGCCACTATGAGAATGATAAAAAATGTGATTCACAGGTGAGGCGAACTTGCCCACGTGTTTGACTTTTTTGCCTTTTGCATTTTCAATGTCAGTGTTTGAATATTTAATTCAAAAGACGTGTCGTAGCAGCCGAGAGAAAGATTGTTCTGCTTGTTGTTTTTAAATCAATATTTCCCGCTTTGCTGAACCCCATAGAAACAAAGCTTTGTTTTCCCCACGCTGAGTGCATCTTACATATGTTAAGTTTCTGCTCATATCAGCGCATACTGTGGCCTCCAGTTGGCCTATATATCATTAAAGCGTTGCAATGCAATTCATCCCCCATGGCACTCCAGTCTGTGTGATTTAACTTTTATTTTCTGACTGCTTTATTATGCCTGTGATGTATCATCAATCTGATTCATCCTGAACTGACTTTTGCAGATGCCTCCCTGGCTGTTAGCCCTTTTCTTTACCGTGTGTGTGTGTCTGTTTCTGTGTGTGTGTGTTTTGGAATGTATGCATGCATGTGCAGTGCGGTGAAGGGCCGATGCCGGGCTGTAGCCCCAGGCTGCTGAGCTGAGAGGGAGAAGCAGCAGCAGCAGCAGGAGGATGCAGTGGGTCGCTCTGGCAGTGGCCCTGGGGTGCGTGCGTCTGTCCCGGACGTCGCAAGGCCCCACCCCCACCCCCACCTCCACACACACGCCTCTGGTGGACAACTCTGAGGAAGAAGTGGACGAGCCGTGCTTCGAGCCGTGCACGTGTGAGGTCAAAGAAGGCGTCCTGCACGTGCACTGCGATGGGCGGGGCTTCACTAATGGCAGCCAGGTAGGTATCGTCCCCGCTCATTTATCTATCCGCGCACGTGGGCCTGCACAGCCCTGCACTTTATTGCCTTTACCTCATTAACATAGCATATCTCCAAGTCTAATATCCTGTCTGTAACGTGGCTCATGGCTGTTTCTGACTGTTAAACTCATGTAATTAATGAGATAACTAATCAGGACGTCTAATTAATCACTCAGGTGTCACATTCATGGGTCCGCCCTTTCAAACTCAACCTCCAGAGGAACTCTCTGAGGCGTCTCTATAGCAACGGGTTTCAGCACCTTGGCAACGCAGTGTCGATAAACCTTGGCAACAATGCACTCCAGGACATCCGAGTGGGAGCTTTCAACGGGCTGGCCAAACTGAGACGCCTCTACCTGCACGAGAACAAGCTGGAGGTCTTCAGAAATGACACCTTCGCGGGCTTAGAGGCTCTTGAATACCTCCAGGTAGGGAGGCGAATATAATCCTTATGATTGATGGCGTTATTGACAAGCTCGCAAGACATTACAATAGAAAGCAGTGTGACGGAAATAGCTAGCAGGTGGCAAGAGTGAGAGAATGTTCCCGTGGACTGTGTGCCTCATCTCTCCTGCCGCATTCAGTCTATTTTTCAATTGCAGCAATTATCTTCATCACATTTTCTCCTCTCACCTGCAGGCCGACTACAACGTGATCAAACGAATCGACAGCGGTGCGCTGAGGTTCCTCTTCAAGCTCCGGGTTCTCATCCTCAACGATAACCTGATCCCCGTCTTGCCGGCTCATCTGTTCAGGTTGGCGTCTGATTATTTTCTGCAAAATCTTTTGAATCAGACCGGGACTGATCTACAGAAATATCAGTGTCAGACACAATTAGCCAGTCTGTACTTCTCCTTTGAATTAATATTTCTGTGGCTTTCTATTTCATGTCATAAAAGAGAGATTAATCATCAGATAAAAAGCAGATTTCTCAGCGATGGAATGTGTGAAGCTTCATTTTTCACTTACTATCACGTTGTCCTTTCATCTAACCTAGCTAACTATCCCCCCCTCCCCTCGCTCCAGATCTGTTTCTCTGACTCATCTGGACCTGCGGGGAAACCGTCTGAAGAGCCTGGCATATGCTGGGACGCTTGAGTACGTTGGCCGCTCCCTGATGGAGCTGCAGCTGGAGGAGAATCCCTGGAACTGCGGCTGTGAGGCGGTGCAGCTGCAGCAGTGGCTCGGGCAGATCCCTTACACGGCCGTAGTCGGGGACGTCACCTGCGAGTATCCCTTCCACCTTCACGGGAAGGACCTGAGGGAGATCCCCCGCAAGGAGCTGTGTGCGGATCTCCCAGACAAGGACCTACAAGGGGAAGGGGCCGGTGCTTCAGCCGGGCCCAAACAGTTTCCGCCAAACTCTAAACCAAACTCTCACCCGGGCCGAGTCAGGCCGACTAAACCGTCCTCCATAGTTCATGGCTCCCGCCAGAACACTCACACGTCCTCCACTTCCTCGTCTTCTTCCTCAGCTGAGCGCAGAGACAGAGACAGGCATCCAAGGCCGACAAAAAGGCCTAGACCTTCCAGAATATCCCCCACACCCCGCAACCAGAATCCCCCTATTGCCGGCTATCAAACCCGACCCCCCATCCCCATCATTTGTCCTATCGGCTGCACCTGCAACCTGCACATCACAGACCTTGGCCTGACAGTCAACTGCAAAGAGAACGGCTTCCTCAACGTGTCCCAGCTCACGCCTCGGCCCCTCAACGGCCGTAAGCTGTACCTGAGCGGGAACTTAATCCAGAGGATCTACCGCACAGACTTCTGGAATTTCTCCAGCCTGGACCTGCTTCACCTGGGGAATAACCGGATCTCGTACCTCCAGGAGGGGGCCTTCTCCAGCCTGACCAGCCTGAGGAGCCTCTATCTGAACGGGAACAACCTGGAGAGGCTCAGCCCACACATGTTCCTGGGCCTGCAGAATCTGTGGTACTACCACTCATATGTTGCTTTCACCGCCGTCAAACATACCCGTACACACAAACTACATGTCAGATAAGCTAATTAGACATAAGTCCATAAGAAGGTGGAAATTAATTACATTTTGATCACCATTATGTTGGGAGTTTGATATGAAATGAAAGTGCCCATTCTCCTCCAGGAGTGTCATTTCTTAGTCACGCTGCCTGACGGCATGCTTCAATTGAGGTGTGAGCCTGCAATGAGTGACAACCTGAAAATTAATGTGTTTTTGCATTTGCATACAGAGGTGTTGATAAGGCGCCCGAGACGTCTAGATGATGCCAGGAATCTGCTTTTAAGAAAAAAAGAGGGTTATTATGAGACGGAGTCATCTGAATGATGCATATGTATCATTGTCAGATTAAGCTCACGAAGATGATTCCTCGGTAAATATTGCAGCCGGCGAATGTCGGTGATTGTATTTATGCAGGGAGTTAAACATTGTTGTGTTTGAAGAAGACAACAGGTCAGCTTTGATCCTTTTGCTGCGCGGTGAACGAGGGAGTTTGACTCTCCAGCTCCTCCGTCTGTATTTCGAGACAGGGCTCAGAAAATCTAAAGGCACATTCATTTGACTATTAATCAATAATAAAGATCCTCTCAGGGCGTTTTAAAACTCTTCCCTTTAACCTCTCGTTAGCCCTTTTTTAGCCACTCTCGCCCAGGGTGAGTAAGTGATATATTTAAACCAGATCAATGGCGCCAGATTGGATGACTATCATGCGAGGAAATGTTCCCAGTCATACTTAATCCTTTCCTAAATTCATGCTGATTTCTATTATTGAAAAAAAGAACCTTAAAAATTCAAAGTGTATTTAATTTGACATGATGATCAGGCCTGCTGAGGCAAGTGTAAGTAGTCATCAAAGCGAAATTACAAGATTTCTTATTATCCTGATGATCAGATAGTCAGCTTTGAACAGCGGAGGTGCAGATTAAGTCGGATTTCTGTTATGACTTCTTTGCATTAATATTAATTTATGTAATTATCATGCTGGGATTCAGGAGAGTTCAATTACCCACGGAATACTATGAGATAAATAATTTATATTGTACTATAATCAAGAATGACTTATTCGAACAAAGATAAGACAAAAACAGATAAACAGGGGACATTTTTTTCCTCCTGTGATGTTGGATTTGGTGTAATTTCTCCATCAGATATCACTTGAAACCATTCACTCTCTCTGCATGCATAAAGAGACAACCTGACACCGTCCTATATTCCCTCAGGTACCTGTATTTTGAATACAACGAGATCCGAGAGGTCGATCCAGGGACCTTTGACTCCATGCCGTCCCTCCAGCTGTTGTTCCTCAACGCCAACCTGCTGCGGAGCCTCCCCCTCGGGGTCTTCGCTGGAGTTAATCTAGCCCGCCTCAATCTGCGGAACAATCACCTCCTGCAGCTCCCCTCGGTGGGCGTGCTGGAGCACCTCACTGGACTGGTGCAGGTTGGTGCAAGCCTCTTCTGTTGAATGAATAAGCACGGATTGAAAAAACAAAGGGATCCTGATCTGCTAACCCAGCTCCCGTGTAAATGAGTCAGATACCTGGCACCAAGCGTTTTTAGTGAATTTAGGCCAAACAGCAAACAGAGTGACTACTTGAGTGACAGTGGCAGGGTGAAAAATGGAGATTATTGAATCGGATCACCCCTGTTGATTTACTAAACGAAAGTGTGCATAATTATAGAGTGTATTTGTTTCAAATGTCAGACTGTGAGATTAAGAGAACTAATGGATTGCCAAGACACATTACATTATCCCAGCTTGATGAAACAAACAAAACAAGCAGAGAGCTTCAGATCCAGCCCATACCCATTTTTAGAACTTCTGGCAGCCCCCTGATCTGCTGGCCTCTGGCACAGCTGCAGCTCTCTCTCTGTCATCTGTTGTTTTGAGAGCTCTGCTGTGGCATGTGGGACCATAGTTGCGCCTCAGGTATTCTAATTGGAAAATTGCAATTGACTGGATTTGCATAAGTGGTCTTAATAAATCAGGAGCTAAAATGGAGAAAGCTGAACCCCTCAAGTTTTTGATCATTGTTGTAATTAACACACCTCTTAGTAAAAAGCTTGCGGAAAGCACCGTGTGTGTGTGTGTGTGTGTGCGTGTGTTACACTCGGTGGTTGAGTCAGACCTTACCTTGCACATTTTACTGCAGCATTACAGTATATGACTGCTCGCCGTACACAATGCTGGGATAAGAACCGTAACCGAGGTATTACAATTTTTTATCCTATCTCCTCTCACTTCAGCATATTTAGTGTACCAGGCTTTTCTTAGACACCCCGAGTAGAATGAGGTAAGGTGGGTGTGGATTAGCCTGAATGTCATTGTAAATTTCAGTTTGACTTTGCTCCATGAAAAAAATTCCTAATTCGAGGTAGTGTGGGTGAAGCTGGCAGTTCAGAAGCCGCTTCTAAATATTTGCTCTGGGGAAGGACGATTGTGGTTTACGGAGCCATGTGGAAGTGTATTATGTTTTTTGCGCCTCTGATATCCAAGAGCATTAAAGCATTCACCAAATGGAAGTACACTGTGAGCCACATTCACTGAGCGCAGTGGTATCACCGCCGTAGTTCTCAAAAATCTGTTCCACGCTAATTGAATTCATTCATTTACCAGGGTTGTTATTACTCTGACAAAGCCACGCTAGCACCGCAGAAAATAATGTTACAGTGATATCACCTGTTGACTCATCCCTGGCCTGTTTGAAGCCCGGGCAGGGGGATTTCTGGGCGCAGGCGTGCGATTTCCGAGCCAGAGTTTGCACACTAAAATCAAAGGGTAACACAGATGGAGACGGGGTGAGGCTCACAGCTGCTGCAAAAAGCAGGCCATTTTGATAATCATAAAGCAGCAGCATGTATAGCTTAGAGTCATTGTCACCATCAAAAACTGGATTAAACTGCTACACCCACTTACATGCACTGATGTCTTTGGGAGAAAAAAATTAACTCCCTGATGTCACTTTTATTTAAAACAACCATTAGGGAGACATTACAGAGCACATTAAAATGGCCATGGTGTCTATGATTTCATTAAACAAGTCAAGCCCAAATGAGATTTCTGATTAAAAGTAACAGTAAAAAAAAAAAAAAAAAATCAGGTTATGTGAATAAGCATCATCTGAGCGGATGCCAAAAATCTGTACGGTTCAGGAGTACATATGTCTTTCTCGGCAAATGCGAAAAAAAGGAAAAAAACACGTTGTATAACAGAGCAGCTCTCTCTCATCACTGCGAGCTGCGAGGAATAGAAACTTGCCCACAGCCACATCTCACCCTGCGCGATGTCAGATAGAAAAAAAAAACAAAACAATGTGTACTCCAGAAAAGATTGACGAAAACAACACAGCATCCACCAGGGGCAGGCCTGACATGAAAGAGATGCATGTAATGCCCGACTGGAATTATTCAACTTATTATCTGTTTTAATTGAGTCTCTGTCAAAACTTCCTGGAGCTACGTAAACCGCAGCATCAGTGAATCATCAATGACACTTTTTAAAGGTTAACTATATGCACAAACTTATACTTGAGGGAATTATTTGACATTTTGGTAAATACACTAAGTCTCTGCTATATTAGATGAGAGAAATGATGCCTCTTCTGTATCTTTCCATTAAGTTTAAGGAAACTGCCGGCAGCCTAGCTTAACCCTCCTCCTGTGTTAGGGACCGACCCGTTTCTGATTTTAAATACTTAAAAGAACCACATAAATGAGCTTTTGTGCATCAAGACTTTTTGACTTTGTCAGGGACCTCTATTTCAACAAAATAAAAATAAAAAATTAAATTGACTTTTGCCGGTCTGATCAATATCTAATAATTAGAGCAAGAACTAAAATCATAAGTGCCCTCTCAGGCACCACACTGACAGTCAGATCCTTTTCCAATCCTGTGAGATATAGGAAATTCTCATTTTCCATGTTTTTCCTGCACAAAAAACAACGTCGGGCATGTCCAGACATGTGAGATCAATTCAGTATAGATGTCTGTATGAGGGGTATACTGACAAAGAAAGACCCAGAGGCCCACTACAAAAAATATCATAAGCAATATTTTCATGGATAATGAAGCCTAACAAGGTAACCTAGAGATGAGAACCAAATTAGATGATAGGTAATTATTTTTAGTGTAATTTAAAGCTAATTTAACCCTTAGATTTACATCCTTTCTTAACGCTCAGTGGCTAAAAACAGCCACTGACATTGACTGCTGTAAAAACATATTGGATTCATATTTTTTCCAGATTTTTTTTTCATATATCTCTTAATTAACTTCTGCTCTATTCAAAACTAGTAAACGTTTCATTAAGAATCCAAATTTTAACCCTTTAAGGACCCATTTAAAACATAAAGTCACTAATATTGGGAAAGAAATTGGAGGAAAATGACAGATTTTTATTAGATTCATTTTCTACCATATCAGTGACATTATATTTTGAATGGACCCTCAAAGGGTTAAAAAAATGTTTTTAGATAAAACATTTACTAGTTTTGATCAAAGCAGAAGTTAATTAAGAGATATATGAAAAAAAATTGGAAAAAAATATTAACCCAATATGTTTTTACAGCAGTCAAAGTTAGTGGCTTTTGAACTGGTGAAAATTTTGAAGTCATATTCTCAAAGTGTCCATCAATATAAGCATCTGCACAAAAAAATCATCCCATTTGCTGCAGTAAAAAAAAAGTTACGTGGAAATTTGTGGCTAAATTTTTCCCCTAGTGGCTGATTTTACACAAGGGTTAAGACACGGGTCAAAACCAAGCCTTAACATGGATGGTGCGTAGTAAAAGCTAACACAGGAGGAAGGTTAAAAAGTTGAAGCAGAGAAAAAGCTAAGCTCATCCCGTTTGAAGCATTAAGTATCATGTTTTTATTATTTGCTGGAAAAAGGTTAAAGCGGCGGAAAGTTGGCTGATCTTGACTCTTGACAGAGTCATCAGTTTTTGGCGTTGGAGTTGTGTGGCTGTTGTGTTGTTGCTATTTCAAACTGACCCTGAAAGCCCTCAAAAGAAACCAAAAGTAAACAGCTCTGTCCTGACTTGATTACGTCTTTGGAGTAAAGGTATCTATCTGCTGAACCATCAACCGCTTTCAGAAAGTCCTTGAAATGTGAGAGAAACTGACTCAGCCTGTGTGACTCAACAGCTTAGCCCAGTTCGGCCAACATTTGGCTAATGATTTATGAACTCTTGTAGCTGGTGGCATGAATCTTGGAGAACAACGATAAATAATTTCTCCCTCTAACACTCACTGCTTGTTGAAATGTTAAAATCTTCTCGCTGTTGTCAGGCTGCCACAGGAGTTAAAGGCTGCAGTTCAAGCGAACGTCAAGGGTTTGGCATCACGGTTCGTGTCGCTAAAGTGGCGAGAACAGTCGTGCGATGTGGATGGAAATGAACTCGGCGGCGTGGAAAGCTGTGCTTGTGATAATTCACGTGTTTATTCACCGTCCACCAAACAGGACACTTAAGTCCTTCAGCCACTTCTGACAGCAACAGCTCTCTGCTCGCAAAGTTACAAATATCACAAAAGGCGGCGTTTATACATCTCATCTTTCCACTGAGAATGAAAGTATGACACCACAACACGAGGGTTTATCATAAGCGCTAAAGGCCTCATCAGCTCATATTTAGTAACTCCATTAAAAGGTCACCTGTCAGTACAACTCCCGCTCCCTCACTGTGGCCTTTACTAACAGCTGGCTGGTTTACGTCCTGGCATGTTTAAGAACAACCCAGCGGATATGTTTATACTCTTAAAAACAAGTTGAAAAAAAAAGAAATGTTGTAATGTCAGCCAGCATTTCACTCAAAACTGCTCAGCGCAGCGAAAACACAACGACCACAGGTGTTTTGGACATAAACACATTAGCTGCTGAAATACAAGCCTTTTAGCAGATCTGTTTGACCAGTCTTCTGGCAGGCACGCCGGTTTGTTTTCTATTTCAGGACGGTGAGATGGACCTTACTTTCATTTACTGTCTGTCCCAGTATTTCAGTTATAGTAAACAAAGCGAGCGTACGACGAAACAAGCCCACGCACGGAAGGAGATCAAGGGTTCGTTCTTTAATCTGGAGTAAAACTAATTGTTTTAATAAAGAGCAAACATGCGATTTTACATAGCTTTGCTGCATGGCACCGACACAGAGGATCCAGATTTGTAGTACGGCAGCAGTGGAAGATGGTGTTTGTTTTTCCTCAGAATTAAAGATCAAGGGCTTCTCTCTAGACTCACCATGCCGCACTGATGTTCAGCAATCACACAGAGGCAGAGAGAGTCAGTAGATTTCTCGACTGACAATAGCCTCAATGGAGCAGAAACTCTTGCTCTTTGCTCTCTGCTATTACTACCACTCTCTCTATCTCTCTCTCTCTCTCTCTCTCTCTCCACCTACATGAAACACAAACCGCTGGATAGAACAAGTTCACGCTCCTTCTCGAGGGGTTGTTGAAGACGCTTTGGGAAATATGGGAAATCACTACAAGAGAGGTAGTAGTCGACGAGGTAGGCATGCGAGGCGTACTACAACCAGTAAAAAGCACTTCTTGGAAAGCGCTCAGAATTACAGGATGATGAAATTTAACAGCGTCAGTGTATCCTCGTATGAACTGCTGTGGCGCTGTTCTCGGGCTTTGTATGTATAATATCTCAAATTTACTGTAGCCAAGAAGACAGTTTTCCAATACACGCACGCCTCAGAAAGAAGAAAAAATTAATTTTGCGTACACTGCAGATTCTTCCTCAAATGCGCTCTTTTCATTTTTGCTCTGTGTATTATTCAAAAGACAATGAAACACATTCATCAGTATGGGGGGAGAGGCTTGGCAAGCGGAAGCTCAGGGGGTGCCTCGGCTCGACTGGAGACTACAGCAAAATCCCTGCACCAGATCTTCCAAAAAAACCCTGCTTCTATTGACTGTACTTCTGCAGCAATTCAGATGACTGACAGTATCCCACCATTTGAGCAAAGTGATCAATTATAAGACACGCGGCTCGCCGAGAACATCCCCAATATCTCCCCTGATGGGTTTTTTTTATGGCACCTAAATAAATCTTGGACAATTATTGCCTGATCTTTGATCCCCGTCATAATGATAAAAACCCACAAGAGCAAATTTACTCAGCTTCTGCGGCCAAAGCACGGCAGTTTCCATCTCAAATTGATTCCAGTGTTTAAGACCAGCAGAGTGAGTTTTTGTGTTTTTCCTGGAATAACAGTAAATGTGCTTAAAAATGTCGTATTTAAACACGTCTGCCGACACACTGTCTTCTGCGTATACTGTGAGTTAATTATAGAGTGCAGTCTAAATACTGTGAGTTTACTAAAAGCTTTTCTGTTTTAAAAGAAAAAAAAACAACATTATGATTTCATGCACTCTTGTTTTCTCTGCTACAAGCACCTGTAGGGGCTAACCGGAGGTCTATAATTTGCCTTCGCAGCAGAGCTTTGATTGACAGGTCGACAGCAAATCACACACGAGGTGATCAGGCGTAAGAATTTTAAACGCTGTCTGACATGTTGGACAGATGCTCGCAAAAGAGGAGGGGACGGATCCCCGGGGATCGGCGCTGAAGCAAACGATACCTGAAATAAAATGCTTCAGAAATTTCAACCAGATGGAAGTTTGTTGATATAAAAGTCACGCAACTGCCAAAACAAGGCAATAAATGTGTTTATTAAACGCCTCCTTCTTTAGCGTGCAGTCGTGCTGAATTACAGCACAGTTGTAGTCATGCAGTCATGCTAAAACACAGGGAAGGCGAACCCTGAGCTGAGCTGAAACTGCAGCAGAGAGTTGTTTCTACTCGCTCTCAGATTGCAATCATGCCATTATTGCAGCCTCACAAAAGCCCACAGTGGGCTAACTCCAATAAAGTGAAGGAGCTTCCTGTTGTTCAGAGTGAGGCACTGGGAAGTAGCCGTACCATGGCTCCCACAACAGCACTGCTGAATCATCTGGAAAAGCATCCATCTATATCTGCAAGCCAGGGAGATGGCCTAACCAAATTAGCATGACAACATTTGCACAAGGCACTTGGAAGTGTGACAGAGCGAATATCAGCTTTCATTGCCAGTGTCGTTGCTAAAGATACTGAGGAGATCAGTTCCACAGACAATAACGTGATGTAAGTGATTCCCTTTCGTGCATAATCTGCTTTCGCCGTGTGGCAAAGTGAATATGTGAGTTTGTTTTAGGACGGGAAATCAAACTAGCTGGCAGTAAGAAAATGGATTTACGCGCATACCTATTGGATTATGGCACACGGGAGGGTTGCATCACCTCCTGTCTATTGTTCAAAAGCGCTGTGATACACTCGCACGCCTGTCGCGAAACACCTGCCAGGGAGTTTGGTCGATAACCACTTATGCAAACTCTGAGTGGTTTTTATTGTGAACTGAAATACTTCCTACAACCCGCTGTAGCGAATGTGTGAACAGGTTTTATGGAGAGCCCTTGTGGGTGGTACAAGTTGAGTTGGTCACCGCTCAGATTGGTCTCTATAATCGAGAGCACACGGTGCGTGCCCACTGCTATTCAGGAAATGTGCGCTCTCTAATGTTCCCGCGACCCTGTTGTAACTTTATTTACATATAATCAGAACTTTAGCATCACCCGCGTATTACGAAGTGTGAAGTAAAGACTCTTGCCAAGGTGGAGGGATGTTTTCTATTATGCAAATGCTAAAAACTCATTTCATATATTCTGGCTTGTGAAAGGCTCAGACATCAAAGGAGTGAAAACATCATTTTTCTTGATGTCATCTTATTAGTCGGGCTTCTTCTTCAAGACAGGAAACCTCAATCGAGTTATGAATATATCTGTGAAAAATGTCTGCAAATTTATCTCCTTTTTGTGTTTCAGTTCCACAAAGTGATTCAGGATTTAAATTTCATGGCAGACCGGTAATTAGCCCGCTGATTCACAATGACAGTGCGCTGGGGTGTTGTGTGTTTCCGCAGGTGGACTTGCAGCAGAACCCGTGGGAGTGCAACTGTGAAGCGGCTCCACTCAAGCGTTGGCTGGAGGGGCTCAGCGCGGTGGTAGTGGTGGGAGAAGTGGTCTGCCATTCCCCGGAAAAGACCAAAGGTGTGGACCTGCGCTCCCTCTCCATGGAGCTGCTTTGCCCCGAGCTGGAGCCGCAGGAGGACCAGGAGCAGGAGGAGCAGCAGACGGCCACCTCCACAGCTGCGGACGGAGGCGTATCAGTCAGCTACCCAAGCTCAGGCCTGGGCCCGCTGATCCCTCCGGGGAAGGATTCAATCCCTCTGTCGGTGCTGGTGCTCAGCCTGCTGGTGTTGTTTGTGTCGGCCTTCTTTGCAGCGGCAGCGCTAATCGCCTACGCCCTGAGGAGGAGGGACAAGCTGCCATTCCGCCGCCAGGGAGAGGTCGACTTGGCGGGAATCCAGATGGAGTGCGGAATCTTCACAGAGCAGACGCACCATCACCACCACCACCACAGCCATCACGGCCTCCCGGAGACGCCGCCCTTACCTGCGCCGGAGCACAACCACGTGTATGACACCATTCTGCCCCCGGAGGCTGCGCTCAAAGGTCAGAGCCCGACCGCAGCCCCGCACATGTGTAGCAACCCCATTTATAAGGAGGAGCAGGATGCGGCGGTGAAGCAGCGGCCGCAGACGTTCGCAGCTTCCAAAGAGAGTGGGGAGGGAGGTTACAGCTCTGCAGCAGACAAAGAGAGAGAGTGGACTCTGGAGGTGTCATCGTCCCCAATCAACACCATCACCGGAGCGATGGGACCGCTCGCCGGCCTCCATGGTAACGGCATCCTCTGCCCCACTGTCATCGACAGCCAAGGCCCAACGCCTAAAGTAGAACTGGTGGACTGCCTCTTCAGACTCCCCACCCCTGAATTTAGAGACCTGCCAGACAGGTATGCCAGGCCTCCACCCTGCTACCCCCACCCCCCAGATTCCAAACAGGAAACCAGACCCGACCAAACGCTCGTGGTCACCACCGCCAGCTCCACGGCAGGCGGTGGCAGCAGTAGCCAGAGCGAGCAGGGAGCAGGAGAGCAGAGACTGAGGACCACTCCGGACTACATGGAGGTGCTGGATCGCTCTTACCAGTTTTAACACTCCTCCTTCACCTTATCCTCTTCTTCCTGCTCCTCCTCCTCTCTCTCGTCTCATCATCTCCCTCTCTGGCGATGAATCATCCGGTAACAATGACTCCTGTACAGAGGCTGGCGTGGCTTTAAGAGGAGCCTGTGGGGGAGTGGGACTTCGCTACACACCATGTTTATTCCTGGATAACGAGCTGAGGTCAGTTTTTTTGTATTTTCCCCACAACAGGTCGGTGTTCTGCAAGGATTAGCTGATCCCAGAGATCCGCCTTGGGGCGAAACTTCAGCTGCAGCTACTACAGAAATTTTCCCTCCATTACGCCTCACAGTCATAAAAAAAAGTACTGAGGCTAATTTTTTTTTCCACTTAGCTCCACATTGAACAGGAGACATCGTGGTAACGGCTGAGGTGGGCGGTAATGTCCACGTTATCGCTCTCGAAGGACCTGCGCGGAGGTGAAACGCACCAGCCCCCTTTGCAACATCCAACGCCGATCCGTAAATCGTGGCAGGTGTGCGGACACGTCAGCTGGAGACGCGACTGAGACAAAGCGAGAGGGGGGAGAAGTGACTGAAAACAGCCAAGTGCCTTAGCAATGAACAGCCAGCAGCGTGGTCAATGCTTATTTTTCTATGAATACAGATCTATTTATCTAAACAAAGAGGTTTGACTACCACCGGATAGGACGCTGATGGACGACAGAGACTGAAAGCAATCAAAGCCGCCGGATAATTGCATTCCCTGGATGAGCCAAAAATAATAATATACACAGTCAATATTGGAGTTGTTTGTATGCAGTTCAGTTCATTTTCATCTCATCCAGTTCACTTAATTTTGCTTATCCAGTTGAATTTTTTACAGGGCTAGATGAAAGGACTTCTCCAGGAGCGATGGTTGGATCGCAGAGGAAATGATACGCACCTGTTTTTTATTAACGCCGGACTTAACGAAGGAAGGCCGACTTACAGACGGACATTGTGGCGATGGATGCATTTTGGATTTTATTAATCAGTCAGACTTAATGGAGCTGGGAGGACCTCTGCTCCGTATTTTTTCTTTTCTGGGACTAAGGCACTGCGATTATTGTATTGATTTTTTTAGTATTTCTCTCAAAGGAAAATCTGAATGGCAGACAAAAAAGAAATGGACTAAAAAAAAAAATAGGCTTTTTTTGTCAAGAAAAAAAAAAGACTGACACTTCTATCAACTATCGATTATTATCTTTTGCGGAGGTACCTTTTTATGCTTTCATCTCCTACCAATAGTAGAGGCAGTTGTGAATATATTTATTCTTAGTTTTTGCGTGTTGAAGCTCTCCTGTAAGGGATCATGTTATATTAATGTATAGGATGATTCTGCATCTGGTTCAGCCTTCTTACCGCCGACCCACGAAATACAATAAAGGGTGCTACGTAAAAAAAATAATAACACTGCGCTGGGAGCTAATGTGTGACAACCTCACTCACTCTCACACACACTCACACACATGCCTAGACAACCTTAAATGCACATCCGTTGCCTTAATAGTGCATGAAAAGAACAGCTCGAGGTGTGTTAAGCCTGTAAGCTCATCCACGCAGCGTGTTAGAGAGATGAGCAAAGCTGAGACCTGCAGGGCTCCTCACACACACTCAGAGATGGAGATAGAAGCTAATAGTGTGAAATCGTCCACATTAATGGTTTAAAATCAATACAATCTATTTTTGAACTCAGGACATGTAGGGCTGGTGGCCCCGGGGCCAAAGCGGTGAATTGGTCAATCTTCCTCTCTAGCTCTGTTTCTTTCTTAATGATTATCTCCATCGTTTTCTTTTTTTTGTGTGTGCATGTTTCTTCTTTTCTCCTCTTTTCTTTCCTCTTTCTTCTCGCCTTTCTTTCCTTTCCCCTCTCGCCATTTTTCCTGCTGTCAGCTCAGCCTCACAGGACAGACACACAGAGACGCTGCTCTATATGCTCGACACACAGGTAGCATCTCACTGAGGGGGGCCTACGTGTGCGAGTGTGTGTGTTCTGTCTCTCTCTCTCTCTCTCCATCCTTCGGTGATGAGTGCACTTCTTCAGACGCCTCCTCACTCGCAGCGTTCAGAACTCTTGCACAGATAATCCTCCTGTGGGCGTGTGTGTGTGTGTGTATGTGTGTGTGTGCGCAGGACTGTTTGGTGTGTATTCAGAGGGGTGTGCCTTTGTTTGTAGGTGTGTGTTTAAGAAAATGTGTGAAGCTGCAGCTAGTTTAGTGCCAGGCCGCTGTGTCTGAGTGTGTGTGTGTGTGTGTGTTTGTGTCTGTGTGGTTGCGTGACGAAGAGAGAGAGAGTGCGGCGCCACAGCCTCCGTCCAGCCTTAATCCTCTAAGCTGTGTAGTTCACTCATGCCACATCAGCCTCATTGTGTCTTCAGACAAAGACGCCCAGTTAAAACTAAATGCCAGTTAAGGCAACAAACGACTAATTATAGCATCTCTTTCTCCGCGCTATTCTCTCTTTTCTCTTTCTTCCTCGCTTTTTAACGCTTCCTTCTCACTTCCTCGCCTGATTCCTGCAACACTTTCCACTCTGGACTCCTTCCAGCTGCTGCGCGCATGTGTGTGTGTGTGTGTGTGTTAGTGTGTGTGTGCATTTTTCTCTCCCCCTGTATGCGTCTCTATATGTGTGTTTGACTATCTGACAGCTTTGCCATGGTTCATGTGTTTGGGTCCTGTCAGAGCTGTCCTGTCACTGTGTGAAAAAAATCATTCATTTCCCAGAGTCGAGGATGAAAGAGTCTTTAGACTTCAAACGCCTTTGGGCCTCTGTGGCTTAGATTGCCTCTCGCTCTTCCTCCACCGCCGTGTCATTTATTCCTTTAAAAAAAAAAAAAAGGAAAACAGTGCGGCTGTGGCATCGGTTAAGTAGAGATGGCAGAGACACAGCGAGGAGCTGGACAATTAGCCTGATTAAAACACTGTCATTTTGCATAATAGATTTAGCCTGAGCGGAGATAGGCGGATCCTTTCTGAGTGAGCTCAAGTGTGTGTGTGTGTGTGTGTGGAGGCATGAAACCATATTCTTCTCTGCATAAACATGCGGGTATTAAAAATGCACAGTTGGGCATAGTTTGATGTCAGTGAAAAGAGATCTATTTAAAAGTCATGGTGCATAGCTGCAGAAGCTTTGGTGTTTGGGCATGACAAATAGTTTGTGGTGGAGCTGGTCATCGCTCACAAACACACACACAGACAGACAGACACACACGCGCGCTCAGATGGCATCACTGTATCTGCCTGCTGTGTGCACACTTTTCTTCATACAAATACAAACAAAGACCATATAAATATGTACACACACTGTACATACAAGCACACATGCAAACAGAGAGTGAGCGCTGCAGCAGCGTGATGTTGTTTGGTTGCTCTGCATTGCAGTAATCGGCTCCTCTCTTCTCCTCTGCTCTCACCCACAGACAATCACTGGCTCTCAATGGACAACATCAGCAAGGGAAATACCTACAAAGAGAGCGAGATAGAGAGAGAAAAGGGAGAGAGAGAGGGAGAGAGGGGAGGAAGAAAGGGGGTAGGGTAAGGAGGAAGCTAGGAGAAGCAGGATGATGAGAAGGTAGGGAGGGAACGAGGGACTAAAGAGGACAGAGGGAGATTTGAGGGAGGATGGGGGGAGATGAAAAGACGAGGAGAAAGATCAGCGAGCGGGTGTTTCCAGGCTTAAGGCTGCTGGAGGACTTGTTAATTTGTGAGCGGAGAGGAGTTACAGTGGAGAGGAAGAAAAAGTACTTACAGTAGATGTGTGGAAGAGACACGGATAGCGTGTTTGCCAACGTGGATCTTCACACTCGCACTTCTGCTTTGTGTCTGCTCTCAGGCGCACGACGCCACCCACATGAGCTCGGAGCTCAATTATGTCTCCGCCAAACAGTTACGGTCAGAAGATGAGGATTTTCTGTGCCTCCCAGAGCAGCAGGACAGTGCGTGTTTACAGTATTGTGTACCAAAAATGGCAGATAGTACAGCTAGGTGTTATCGTAGTAAGCTGATATGTGTCTGTTAGCGTGTCGTCACTGTGCTGGTGCAGTAAGCTGGTGTGGAGACATTAAGATGGCAGGGACCGGGGCCTGTCTGACGTTGAAAATATTGCATGAGCTTTGCAGAGTGTGTGCTGCAGCTTTCAAAGCTTGTGTGTGTGTGGTTTTATATCTTTGTGCAGATTTCTGTGAGTTTTAAGGTTTGTATGCGAGAGATCAGAAAGAGACAGAATAAGGAGAATATGGATGAGAGGATAAAAGAACCTGGGAGTTGTTTTTTTAAGGGTCTTCTTTTTTTTGATTGTCAGAAAGAAGTAGATTGCTTTAAGCAGATTTTCAGTGGGTTTTTAAGTCTCCACATACCCGAGCCGGTGGTGAGATTTGTGCTGCAAGAGGACGCCGTTCCTGTTTGGTTCCTTGCACCATTCAGAAGATGAGAGGCCGGGGCTGGAAATGTAGATAACCTGCTGATCGTGCACCCCTGAAAGCAATAAAAAAACAAGAGTAAATGATTAACTACAGATGCTTTTTGCTACAAATGTCAGACTTGCAGTCGGATATTGATTTTCTTATCCAATTTTCCACCTTTTTATTATTCAGTATACAAGGATTATTCGCTGGATTGAGAGCTACAACAGCAGCCACAAAGCCTCAGGATCAGTGTCTCTCTGAAACAACTATAAGACATTGTTGATCGCACCATAAATTCTGATTTGTGAGCCTGTCTCCCCGCTGCTTCGACTTGCTTCCTCCCCTGTCAGGAGCGAGCCAGGAGCGGAGGATTAGAGCCTACCTCAGCAGTGGAATGCCTGGTGGCTGCTGCAGCACAGCTCCACATCACCTCCTTAAACAACCCCAGCTGCTGGTTTTAGCATTGAGATGCAGTGGGCCACACAACTGTCGACTTTGCTCTTCATTTATGATAAACTTAAGTCTGCCTTAATCTCCGCCCTTCGCCGTGTGTTGAACCAGTGTTTGGAACAACATGTTTATCTGGCGGGGGAAGACGAGTGGAGTGGGAGCCAGGGGAAGGCACCCGTTCGCAGAGATAACCCAGAATATCTCCTCTTTCCCCTCCAAGTGCAGCTCTGAATGCTGGGAGTTTGATTGTGTTTATGTGTCTGGGTGCAGGGGCGTAACCGTGATTTATGGGTCCTGTGCACCGAGGCGAATTCTGGGAAGTCGCTTAACTTTTTCATCAGCTGAGCGATGGCATCAGACATCTAAATCCAGCCAGCCACAAATATAAAGTTGACCCTTTATGAGAGACTGAGCAGCAGCTTGAAAACATCTTTCCGGGGGTTTGGGGGTGGGGTGGGGTGGGGGGCCTTTTGTGATGAGATGCTCGAAACAATAGCATGAAAATCAATACTTTGTTAGTCCATTTCCTGCAGTTCAGTGTAATGTAAGCTCTTAAGAAAGCTTTTAATGCTTTAGCGACCTTTTTGGAGGCGTATGGATCTCAGCCCAGATCTTAGAGTTCACCCATTTTCCATTTTCTTTTGTTTCTGTCTAATATTTAAAGTTTATTTTACGGGCATTCATTAAGAGAGATGGGGCAGTGGATTGAGTTGAAGGTTGTAATTAAACCAAAACTACCTTTTCTGCCAGGCAAACAGTTACTGTCTTTAACAGTAATAGACGAACTAGCTGAGAAGCGCACTGCTGCCACTAGCTGGCCCGGAGTGGAATAACAGGAGTAGATTGAGCTGAGGGTTGTAATCATAGGCTGTGTCCGAAATTGATCCATTAGTGCCATTTTGAAGGGTGTCCAAAACCTGAGTGATCAATTCCAACGCCCCGTATAGGCGACTTAAAATTTCCCATAGAGCATTGCAAAATGTAACGACCATCATTGCATTGCGTCATGCCATGTAGTGTCCGAAACCTCTGGTGATTGAGCTCACTACATAGTCAGCTATATAGTAAAACCCCATATGGAGGTTAGGGGTTAGGGATTGAGTGCTTAATTTCGGACACAGCCATAGACTGTATATAGAATGGACGCCGTCTGCCTCCTCGCTGGGTGAAGCCACTCCAAGAACAGCACCCTCAGTTGCCAGGCTGCAGTATAGGTCATAGATCCCGCCTCCGCCAGCAAAGCTTATGGGGCTGTGGACAAACTTTAAAAATCTATTACATAGAACATAAATCTTTCTCCCCCTGCTTGTGATGTTGACATGTATTTACAGTGACACTGGTTTGTGCTCAAGTCCCCCTTTTTTTTCTGTGCAGCTCCGTTTTTAAAAGTTATTAGGGGGTTCATGTTTTCTATTATTGACACCTGATACAGCCTATTGGCGTTCAGGGATTGCGTAGCTCACCCGGGGGATACGCTATTTGAGCCGAGCGTCATCACAGCAACTCGCGGTGACTCTCCTGCCGAATCGTACAACGCTACTGCGCAATGTTGGTTTCAGGAAATGACGAAAAAAACGCAGAATTACCGAGAGCTTTTTGGCGTCAAATCAGGTGGGAGGCGGAACCAAGTTGTCCAAAGTATACACAGTCTATGGTTGTAATTAAACAAAAACTGCCTTTTTTTACCAGGTAAACTGTATTTTTTAACAATACACAAACTAACTGAGAAGCTCACTGCTGCCACCAGCTGGCCTGGAGTGGAATAACAGGAGTAGATTGAGGGCAGGCGGTAAAATGTAGACTCAATGCGCCAAAAAAAAAAAGTGGCTCTCAATTAAAGCTTGACTCACTTTGTTAATATTCAGCAAATGTTCAGAAGAATTCAATTAATTGGGACTACAACACCATTGTTGGCTTCACGCTTGTTTTTTAGGTGCGTAAATGTATTCAAAAGCCCTAAAGCAAACTTTTAAGTTAAATTTTTTTCATAGTCCTTTTTGCAGCATTTTCCTTTTTATTATTCCATACAGTACTGAGAAATGTAAAGAGAGAAAGAGAGAGAGAGAGGGGGAGATAAACTCAGAAGAGGGTCCTAGTGCAGCAAGAAGCAAACCAAGGATGTCATGGTTAAGTGATTCACAGCTAAGCCACTGCAGTGCCCCAAAGTCAATATGTTCAAGAACTGTCTCATTCTCTTACTTACACACGCGGAGACACACACCGAACAAACTGGTGACAGACTTAAAAAGCATTCAATGCAACAGCACTCAAACAACACAGCCTCATCCGCTGCTGTTTTATAAACCTATCCATCATAATGTAGTAACAAGTGAATCGACTAAGAATATTGACAAGGACTGGAGTTATGTTGCTCTCACCAAGCATTAGTTAGGAAACCACCACACACACAAACAAAATCTTTAAAGCTGCACCGATCAATATTTTTATATTAACAACCAGGCAATTGGCTTTGTGTAATGTGGAAGGAGTTTCTGGTTGTGTCTAACAGATTTATCCCCCCGGCGCTGTTGTTCGTCTCAGCTATAGAGAGCTGCTTAGAATCTCACAGCTCATTGTTTTGGCTTTATGATGCACAGATTTGCTCCTTTGTTTAGCGCCGTAGCATTTATCATCATGACAGCTTGAGTTCAGTTCAAACTATCGTTAAGTTAGCGACTAGCTCGTGACCACAGAGGAGCGTTTAGGAGATGAGAACATGAGGCTTTTGGTATGAAGTGACAGTTATGCTTATGTAGCATCATTACCTCTGCCAAGGAGGTTATGTTTTCGGTAGCGTTGGTTTGTTTGTTTGTTTGTTAGCAACTTTACAGAGAAAGTTACAGACAGATTGACCTGAAATTTTCATCAGAGGTGCGTCTCAGCCCCAGGAGGATCCCATTACATTTTGGTGGTGATCCGGATCACCTTCTGGATCCAGGAATTTTTTGAAGGATTCTTTATCATTGTGAGATAGGGCAAATTTTGGAATTTTTGCATTTAACTCTAAAAAAAATGGCCAGCGTCTTTCATAAAAAAATGACACAAAAGGATCTCAATGAGTTTTATGAGGTGTCAAAGGTTGATCCTGATCCAGACAAAATTCTGGATACTGTGATCCAGAACACAGAAAAATAGGGGTGTCGTTGGAATTTTCAATGCTGAAAGATAACCAATGGGCGGCACAGTGGTGTAGATAGGCGGTACAGTGGTGTAGTGGTTAGCACTGTCGAATCACAACCAGAAGGTCCTGGGTTCGAATCCCAGCCAGGGCATTTCTTGAACAGTGAACATACCAGTTTAAACACGAATAAAAGTTAATAAAAGACACGTAACAGTAAAAGTTTTGTTGTGAATCACAATATAAGGGGGGATATGAGCTGCTTGGCGGAGGTCTGCGCTCTGCGAGTGCTTTATTAGTTTCTTATTTCAACTCGAAATGAGCAGCAGTTAGCTCGCTAGCTGATGAAACCTTTGGCAGCGGATGACTCAGCTACTTCTCTAAGGGGCATAAAGACTCAACTTCAGTTAAAAACAGACCAAATATTGGATTATTTTCATTAAACATGACAGCAAATTGATACTAATGTGAGTTTGCTATTCACTCCAACAAGGTGAAGTGTCGACGGTATTTCAAAAGTTGTTTCCCGAGAGTTTGAATGATTTTTTGATAGAGTTATGAGTTGACTTTGAGGACATCAAAATTAGACGGACGAAGTTTAAATCCTCACCGAACAGAAAACTGAAAAGAACAAAATTTCAGATGCAAACTTCTCCTTTATTTAGAGCTTTCATCAAAAAACTTGAACTTGTGTGTCTGTGTGTGTGTGTGTGTGTGTGTGTGTGTGTGCGATAAAGCAAAACAAATGGGATATCATCAGCACTCAATGCACACTCCGTGTCATTGATATTTTAATACCAGTTTAGCAATAATTAATAGCAACAGTCAATATTTTATGGTTGTATTCACACATACTTATCCTGAACCTGCAGAGTGCAACTAATTTATTTGGGAGTAAACTTTAAAGAGGTTTTTGTGATGTTTTATTTGTGTTATTGAGTCCACCTCATGTACTTTTAACAGCCAGCTCTCAAAGTCTGTCCGGGGGGCAAAATCTCGCAGACTGTTAGGTTAAAAAAAAAAACGGCTGATTCATTCCTGTCTCATTTCTCCGTGACATGAACAGCACATTCCTACGGTTTACCTCAAATTCATCGTGACTAAAGATAAGATAGTTTCCGCCTGAGAACTTTGCAGAGGTTTTGAAAACCCGGCCTGTTATTACACTCGCAGTGGTGCGGCGTTAAAGCATACTGTGTGTTACATTTGTTTGTGGTTTCGATGATTTCCACTAACCTGTGTTTCACAAACCGGAGCAGCATGAAATATAACTGTGAAATCTTCATAAATACACACTTGGGGATGACAAAAGCCATTTTGGGAGCCATGGCTCATCGGAGGGAGCTGCTGTTTGTATAAATGCGGGCATAAGAGGAAGCGTGCATGATTGTGTGTGTGTGTTTGCAGTGAAAGAGAGCTTGTTGGTTGAGTGCACGTGCCAGTTCTTCTTCCGTGGAATGAATCAGATGTGCTCTCAAGACCGCGTACCTCTCTCCAGCCGGGGACTCGTAAAAGAAAGCCCTACATGAAATCCATTATGCTTAATTCCCCAAATCCATAATACCCTCAGAGGTCTTAATCTCCATCCCATTCTTATATAAATTAGCTTCCTCGTCTCTGGCAGCCAGAGCTTTCTCAGTCGACACCAAATGCCCAGACCTCTGTGCTCTGAGCTGTGTGAAATCACTGCAACTACGAGGAACAGGCAGGAACAGTCTTTGGCTGCAGAGCTGCAGAAGAATCTTTCTCTTGTGGAAAGTTGGATGAAGAAATTGATATAACTTTCATGTCTGATCTAAAAATTTATGGCCAAGCTGAGCACAAGACCAGAAAGGAAGAGACACAGTGGGCTTGTGGGAAAATTAAATAAGGGGGGATTATATGCGGTATTGTTTAACAGTTACTGTTTTAGCAATCGCTACAACTGTGACTCGATTTGATTACTAGAGGCTGTTTATAACCGCAGCAACATGTGGAGATAGACTGATTCCACGGTTCTACCTTGATACTGTTGAAATCTTAAATTAGGATGATTCTCTGTGAGTTTTGGAGTTATGAGGAGCCTTTTTTTCTCGTACCTTCCCTCTGCCGTCTCAGCAGATTTTGGGACATTTGTGCAAACATCAGAGATGATGATATCTGCCCGTAGAGAACGGCACACTGATAACGCAGTCGTATCATGTCTTTGTGCTCACGCTCACTGTGCTTTCTTTGACACAAACTGCGGCAATCAGGCACAAAGGGAGGGTTTGAAATTACCTCCACGATCCGTATGTCACAGCTGGTGTTGATGAGCGGGCTAAATCAGCCTCCTGTTGTTTTTACAGTACCTGGCGTGAACTTTCCCCTCGCTCCTCCCGCAGTATCTCCACTTTATGTGAGTGTTTGGACAGGTATTCGCAGCATGTACGGACGAATCTTTATCGAGAACATTTTTAAACGGGTAGCGCTGCCTCTGGGTGTTTCCATCATGTTACTTCCAAGTAATGAAAAGACAGCTCACAGACAGAATCACAACTTGATAACTTGGTGTTAAATAATCTGCTGCTGGGCTTCGACTCGATGCATACTGCTTATTTTGACTCGGCTGGTATTGTACTGACTGAACTGAATGTGACAGCTCAGACTAGCGGCATATTGAACACGCTACGGCTAGATGCTAGTCAGGGTCGTTTCTGAACGCCGGGCCTTGAGACGCGTTGAAGAGAGATAAATTCACAGCTTGTCGAAAAAGGCATTGAAACAAAGAGGTTGGCTCGGGATAAAAAGGAGGAAAACAAAAAGGCGGTACGACTCTTTGAAGTGCATAAAGTGATTCTGTGAAGTCACTCATGATTTCCACCTGTACTCTCTCAATATTCCCATTTCACAACATTCGAATCGGTGAAATGCACTTAAACTGTAATGTGTTTTATACATGGGAGCGATTTGAATGACTAAAGCACTTATTCCTCATGGCCCTGTCTTAAACTTCTTACAGAAAGCAAATCCAAATCACTACACCTCTGTACCTGCACACTGCAACCTGAAACAGCGTACTAGAATGTTGGGCGGTATGAACAAAATCTTAGATCACAGTGTAATAAGCAGTTTTATATCACGGCAATGGTTTATCTCACGGTAAGTTTTTTTTTTCCCCCCTATTAATTCAATTAATGGCTTAAAAATAACCATACTGTCATATTTGTTCATTTTCCTTTTCCCACCAAACATCGGACGTCGAAGAGACATGCAGATCAAGTCAGTATTGGGTCGGTCCGTCAAAGACCACATCTAGACGTCAGTGCAACGTGCAAAATAGGTTCGAAATTTAGACGTCCAAATTGGACCTTTTTTAGACGTCGCTCTGACGTTTAGAATTTGGATGTCATCTGAAGACAAAATCTAGCTGTCGGCACAATGTGCAAAATGGATCCAAGATTTAGACGTCATTATTGGACCTTTTTTAGACGTTAAAACGATGTCCAGATTTGTACCTCATCATCGAAAAAATACGTTGAATAGATGTCAATTCGACGTCCACAATCTTTGCATAGTATTGTTTTTTGAGCATTGTCGGATTTTCTAAATCTGAATAATCTCCAGACAACTGATGTCGCGACTCGCGCCCTTTTTCGATACAAGTTCCTCTTCCTCTTCCTCATGTTGGGTGGGTTGGGATGCCTCCATTTGCTCGGTACTGTCACTAATCTCTGCAGCCACCATGACCACCACCAGTGATGCCATTTCTTCTTCATCAAAACTATCGCCAAGCAGCCTGCTGGACGTGCTGGTGATTATAGAGAGAGCACCCAAACCTGACCAATCAAACAGAGCGGACAAACTTGGCATGACACACTGGTGAATATACAGAAACGCACCCAAAGGGATGCGCTCCGGCTTTCCTGTTAGCGAGCGCAGACAACTACACACAGTAGTACAGTATAGCAACATTTCTACCGGTAGACACTTATTTAACGTCACACAGTACATACCGTCATAACGCCAACACTAGCGTACTATCAGTATACCGGATTTTACGTTGCAACACAGCAAGAGGGCCAAATACACACACACACACACACACACACACACACACACACACACACACACACACACACACACAGTACTGTTCCACCCTGACAGCTCCAATGCCACACATCAGCTCCTGGAGGAACGGCTTTGCCCCGCCATGACGCCTCTGTGGGTCACACTTTGCAGACAAGGCGTATCAGAGGTGCAAATGAAATGGCAGTGTGTTCGAGCTTCTACCTTCACGGCAGAGATTCAGTCTGGCTCCTTCAATGTGTTTTTTTTCTGGACAGAAAGAGAAAAGCTGTTGCCAGTTTGTTCCTAGTTTAAGTTGAGATGAGCTAATTTGCTGCAGCTTTAGATGAAGTCCTCTGAAATAAAAGAGATGTACAGCATATCTTCTGATCTAACTCCCAGACAGAAACCGATGTTACCCAATTTGTCTAACTTAAGCTCCACCGCCAAAAGGGTCGAGGGTATGACTCGGGAGCAGTTCTCCACCAGTAACCAGAATGAACTTGTTATTTCGAGGGCACGCACTCCTCGTCGAGGCGGGAGGGGGAAATCATCGCTTTCTCTCTGGCTCAGATGTGTTTTTAGCCCCCAGTTTCCTCTTTGTTTGGGGCATCTGTCAGAGGCTGTTTTCTAGAAAGTGGTTCTGGGACGAGGATGAGTGAGGCGCTGCGGCGCGTGCGCGCGAGCCAGTGTGAGTGATGCTGGGTAACCAGGGGCGATGCACCACAGTTTCGAACCAGGAAATAAAAACAACATTCCAAAGAGAATAATGCAGCAGGAGGAGGAACCTACTTCTGCTCAGGTCCCCTGGCATCGCTTGCTTGCTTGCTTGCTTGCTGCGTGTGTGTTTGTGCATGTGTTCCTATGAGCTTTTGTGCATTTTCATGTGTGCTGGTTATGTACACATGCTTGTCCTCCAGCGTAGGAATGACTCACACGTGCACGCACGCACACACACACGGGTAGAGTCACATAATTAGCGCGGGGTCCCCACAGCAGCACATTTTACAGATTCTTCTCCACATTTCCACAGAACACAATGTTTTCCTTTCCGTCTTCTGCCACATTAATCAGAAGACTTTTACTGTTTTTCAGCACATTTTTTACCCCCTTTTATTATTCTCCCCTAACTCTATTACTCCTCCCTCTCCTCTTAATCGCCCCTACTTTCAAACACCTCCCTCTGTAATTATTTCCTTCCTCTTTACCCCCATCTCCCTCCCCCCTCTTTTATTATTTCTACCTCCCTCGCCGTCCTTCCCCCTTCGTTACTTCTTATTTAATCTCACTTCGTTGTTACTATACACGTACACTCCATCCCTTCCCCTTTTCCCTCTCCTTTCTCTCCCCCCCTGTCTGTCTGTCTCTGTTAAATGGGAGCAGTGACCCCATTACGGAGCGTCGTTGCCGTGAAGCGGAGGAGGAGGAAGAGGAGAGGAGGAGCAGGAGGAGGAGGAGGAGGAGGAGAGAGATGGGAGGATGGATTGCGCTTCTGTGTGTTTTGAATAAGATGATTAATGAGTGTCGCCTCCAGAGGGTGTTATCCCTGCTCGGGACCAGCAGGGACACCACTGGGTCACCTCTGGTCACACGCACACACCTATGACAAAGTGCACACAAAGGCTTTCACACTCTTCAAACACTGTAAAGTACACACACAGAGACACACACCAGTTACCGCTGACATTATCATTAACAATGGAGGGACAATGGGAGTGGGGGCCACGATAGCAAACACAACCCAGAGGATGGCGGTGTGCACAGTTCATGAGTGGGACGTTACTCCGCTGCCACTCAGACTCTTTTTATCTCGATGCTGTGGAAAAACGCCGCGCCTGATTGATTGATTGGATAATGCGGGTAAAGCCGCGGTCCTCCATTAAAATCCTGCCTGTGCTGCTGCTGCTGCTACTGATGATGATGATGATCTCCTTCTTTCTCCTCTTATACTTTAAAAAAATGGAGGCACAAGGGGGAGGTGGAGCGCACAGTCTAACTAAGATAAGCTCTCGTCTGAAGAAGCATCTTGACCCCGACCTCACTCGTGGGTCTGAAGAAGACGGTGAAAGGAGATGCCCACATGCTGATGTGTTGGATCCTGCTGCCGATCTAGTCCATGATTTGGATTTGAGGGCCAATAGGGGCCGAAGGAAAGAGCACAATACCTCGAGTCTTGGTGTATTGAAGGTGGCATCTTTAGTGGGCCGTTTATCTTATCAAAGAGACAAAAGCGTCTGAGCGAGGGCTCCTCTCTGAGTGCTTGTCCTTCTCCTCGAGTATCTCGAGTATATTTCACCACTTTTGAGTTTCTGAAGAGATCAGACGAAGTGCTGCGCGATCACTTTTGTCCCGCAATGATTGATCTCTTAATTATTCTTTGCTTAATGGAGTCATTGTTCAGCCTATTGAATGTTTGACATTTTCTGACATGTTGCCCCTTTCCTGAGATTCATCAACCGTTTACTTTTTTCACCCAATTAGTCAGCTTAAATGTAATTTTTTTATCGGAAATGCATAAAGAATAGGCGTTGCATATTTCAAAAGTTTTTCAGAGTTGAACCTGAAGCAGTTTTTAAAAGAAACCGCTTTCAATATTTTCACTTAAACCACCTTATCCTGATAATTGGATGCGGTGTCTGTGGAGCTGAAGGGAATTTCAGACTAATTGGTTGTCTGCCTGGAATTAGTTTCAACAAATATTGAAATATATTCACTTGTTTAGAGAAAATAAATGATCTGGTCACTCCCTGGATATCTACTCAGGCTGGAGTTGCGAGTTTCATGCAATTATTTCAGACGTCAAAAATTTTTTTTCAAACCCGGATCCTGTCGATACAAGCGTTCACATCAGCGACGTTTTCCTAGCCTGGCTGGGGCATCCAGTTGCGTGAATCACTTGCCGTTCCTTCCCACAACAGTCTGGACTTCGGCCAATTGGAAGCGAGTATTAGAAATCAGAAAATAACCAGGCCAATCAGTGACTGTGTTTCCACTGTTACCCAGACAACAGGGAAAGGCAGCCCCTGATTGGTCCATGTGTAGATGGTGACGTCTAACACATGCTGCAGGAGTTTTCAAAGCGCCGTTCATTCAGAACGCCGTTAACGCTGCAGTTGACTTTGCAAAGTCGGCAGAAATCGTTTATATCTGCTGAAGAAGACGTAAAAGACATTGTTTGCTCGCACACGTTGAAATATTACCAAACCTTTACTTGATGCTTGAGAGCCCAGCAGGGAACACAGTTGCGCACTGTGATGACATCAGATGTTTGGTTACGGCGATTGGTTACAGTAGTCTGTCTATCAAGGAAAGTACTCCCGCCCACTTTTTGGGCTCCCAATTGGCCGAAGTCCAGACTGTTGTGGGAAGGAACAGCAAGTGATTCACGCAACTGGATGGCCCAGCCAGGCTAACGTTTTCCTGTCCTGCGATATTGTGGCATTTATTTTTTCGTGTCACGGTCGAATTTTCTAAAGTTTCGCATACTGTGTGTCCACTTCTGACCAATCAGATTGCGTGAATCTGCGACGTCAGATTCACCGGTATATCCAACATTTACGTGTCGGAGAACAGAGTGCTTTTTGATAAAAAACACAAATATTACAAGGATAACAACCTGAAGGACAACTTGTGGAGAGTCATAGCATCGGATTTCTCACATGACGATGGTTTGTGTGCTTTAACAGTTTGATAAACGTCTTTGTTTCAACTTTCATCTGTGCTAAGTAACTTTAGCTCATAAGCTAACCTGTTTACATACAACATACCATATGTATTTTCACTGTCTCAAACTCAATAGGTCTCGGTTGTTACCTTACGTTTATGGATTACAGTTTAATGTGCTTATCTGGTACTGGCCCTGACTCAGTACATGCTATCATGACAGACAGGCATCTCAACACTAGTGTCTAATCAGAACTGAAGAACAGTCAGTCTTCTCGCTTTCACCCGGGACGCGTCTTTTTTCCCCCTAGAAAGTTTGCGTTGTATATTTGCGTTGTTCCCAAGGACCTTAATACCATTGGAAAAACAAATGGAAGTTTTCTACATCAAAAAATTAGTCGAAACAGAGAAACAATTGACAGATTTGTCAATGATAGAAGAAAAGATTTCACATTTCTGCCCAAAGCAAGGAGACAAAACCCTCGCATTAATAAAACATCAAGTACGTGAGATGTTGTTAAAAGGTACCAGAGACAATAAAACCTGTTTCAGGATTTCTTGTTGGACTGAATTATTGAAAAGCTTGTCAGATGCTGGGAAAATAATCAAGCAGTTTACACACGGCGTCAGGGTTTATAGAGGTCCTCACAGCGGTAACACTATGATGAGGTAATCTGTAGAAATCTGCTATTAATGTTATTGGGCAGTCAGAAATGAGAGCCTGCATGCTTACTTTGATAATCCAATCTCTACTTTATTAGAAGGTGACGCTTTGCATCATGAAGTTGTTGTTGAGCAAACCTGCATTTCTCTTCTGGAGACCTCCTCTGGTGTGTGCCAATAACCAGCTCTGTTTAAAGTCCCACTCCGAAAGTTTCTTTTTACTTCTTAAAGTGTACTCGGGTGGAGACAGCACTGCTCTACACTAAGGATGAGAAGATTAACCGTGGCAACGCACATGCAAGGTGTCGGTGCACCGGTAGAGTAGCTGAGAGTGAATGCAGTTTTGAATTCATATTGACATGTATCGTTATTATATGTTTTTAATGATACAATCAGATCCGTTTAACACATCAGTTTTTTTTTAAATTACCAAACCATTTTGAGGGCATAATTTATTCGGACTTGCGGATGTAGACTACAAACTTAAGTATCAGCTCTGCGGATTCACTACATGTGCCGCGGTTATGTATGTTTAAATTAGTGTACCTAGGGATGGAATTGATATGACTTTATCAATGCCATTATCAATTCTGCTTATCGATTCAATCCTTTAACAATTCCCACATCAGTGTGCTTCTTCATTTAAAAAAAAGGTAGCCTACTAGTTTTTTCTCTTAACTCAAAAATTTTTTGAGTCTGATAACAGAAAAAGATGTAAACCACCTTGAACGAGAGTCTAAAAATAATAAAACAAAAATGCTTTTTGTACTGCATTTCTGGCATGCATTGTGCTTACGTTAACACGGGACATACGTTAGGGTGACCATGTTCAGAATCCCCAACAAGAGGACACTACAACGCGGGGCGGAAGTTGTGCGCGAAATTTTGGTTGTGTTTTTCATGCGCTTTTGACTCAGTTAAACGCATATTATCCTGAATTCCCAAAGACAGCGCATTCGTGCGTCGCGTCAGTTGCTTTGCTTAGAAGTGAGTGGAGGGGCAGAGCTGCAGAGAGCACTGATGCACCGCACTGTTTTATAATAAATGGACACACATTCTGGACATTTGAAGGATTTTATAAACTCCCCTGACATATCCGGGTAAAAGAGGACGCATGGTCACCCTGTCATATGTACCTTCAATGCAGTGCTGACGACCGGCGGAGAGCATCAAATACATGTGACTCCTTATATTTGATGCCGTGCCTCGTTGACAAATGTTTAAGCATATTGCTGCTGTTTCCACCTTTGCATGTTATCACTCTGTAATCGTCTTTCTTAGTAAAATTAAGCCACGCTTTAGCTCATTTCTGCCTACTTTTCGTTACCGTCCACCATGTTTTTTTCTCTGTCTCTGTTCCCGTTCGCGTAGACTGGATCTCATGGGACCGTTTTTTAAGAAAGGAATCGTTAAGGGAATTGTCAAGAGAGCGGCTGTTGTTATGCAGAACAGACTTGAAAAAATGGGGGATCATTTTTAATGCAGGGCAGGAACATCCTAACTTTCCCCATTTCTACACGCTGTACCTTTAAATAAAGCAGGATGAGACTCTCACCTACACGTCTGCGGCGTAGGATCAACTAAAGTTTCTTTGTTCCCAGCAGTCACAAAGATCACCACAGGCAGTAAACTTCTCGGTCTGTTCCCTAACAAGAAAAGTTTTCAGGTGTTATCCCCTCCAAGTTCTCGCCCACCTTCCCGGTGAAGGAACAGTTAACTCAGCTGTGAGTCTGCTCTTTTAGTCTACTTTCTTGACTTTGGTTTTGACTGATTTCCATCCGCTGATGACTCTGCCTGATAAGCGTGGCCTGTTCTTCTTTCCCTCCATTACTTGTTGTTTTGCTGTCTGAACGACACTTCCTAACCTGAATACTGATAGCTGTGCCTGAGTGGAAGCTCTCTGTTTGTTTACTGACGTGACAGATCAGATTTATTCAACTTTAGTTCCACTTTAAAGGCCTTCAGTTTGCAAACCGCTACTTTTATCTGTAAAATTCCAGAAAAATAGCTGCGTAGTCTCCAAGAGTTCATAATGACCTATTCGTACCTCGTTCTTTTATTAACTTACAGCCTCAAACCCTGGAAATAATTGACATTTTCCTTTCAAACAACGTCAGCTATTGCAAACAAATGCTGTTCTGCAGACTAATTATTTAATCAGCATCTTGTTTCGAAAATGCCAGGCACTTCAGACTCTAATTACTGTGTATAAGTAAGATGATATAAGTGTTGATTACAGCGTTGTTTGGATGAGAGAACAGGGATTAGCATGACGCCGTAGGTCTTATGAAAGGTGCAAAACCCTCCGTTTGAAAAAGCTCCCTGGAAGCCGCTGGGTTTGCCCTCATTTTTATTTCCCTCTTTCATTCTGTCACTCGGCAGGATACTCTTCTTCCTCCTCCCCCCCCTGCTGCGTCTTCCTCTGTACAAACAGCTCTCGTTCACTTCAGCCACATGTGGACATTTGATGGCAAAATGAATTCCACTCATTCGCGCAATGATGGGAGACGATGGGAGACCGGGGCTGCTGCTGATGCAGACTGCAGCGGTTGAAGATGTTTCGGTAAATCATTTCAAAATATATTAAGCCATCCAGATCCGGACCAAATGCTGCCCTGATATTTACTCTGCTTTTTTTTTCTTATTTTATCTCGACAAAACTTGTTGTGACAGGGAATTTGCAATTACAAGCGGCATTACCCCGCAACTTTGCACAAGGATAAATCAGTGCGGATACCCAATTGTTGAGAGGAATAAACACATAACAAACCAGCTGAGACCTGCACAGCTGAGTGGACGCGTGAAGGGGGAGAAATGTTCAGTTGGTATTTGACTCATCAAACCCAGAAGCTTGTTTTTAATGTTAGGATGCACACGCAGCGTTAGCTCATACTCAAATCTGCCTGGACTCTTCTGTGATCCGAATACAGCCCCGGTTATAAAGCCGCGCTCACAAGACACGAGATTTAGCAGTTTTCATTTTAGATTTGGTGATTTCTTTTGCTCCAAGATCTCCCAGCTGTACCTGTGTTTCTCCGTCCACTCGATTATTGCTGTATTACACCCGACTGCCTCCGAGCTCTGTTTCTCCATCTCTCATTTCAACCTCAGAAACACCGAAGCGTACGCTCTCTTTCTCCCCCCTCTTCTCTCTCTCTATCTGCCTCACTCTATTTACCTCACTCTCCTTTAAGGCCAGGCCGTTCTCTCTCGCTCAGGATCACACAGTGAATCACAGAAGCCGAAATGGACACAGAGCACCTGCTTTTTTTTTTCTTACACTTGATCTTTGAGGTGAATTCGGTCCACCTGCACCTTACTGGACTTTTATTTTCTCGAACCGAGCGCAATAATCTACTTAAGAAGCACAAACTTCTGCTTTTCCTCCACAGTCCTTGGCTCGGTTTCCAGAAAGCATCTTAGCTTTAAATACCATCTCGCTCTTTCTCTCTTCACAGTCTGCATGACTTACGCTGAGAACTGAGCCTCATGCCAATGTGCCTTTTGGAAACCCTGAAAGAAAACTAGAAATTATGTGACATTTCACTTTGAGCTACACTTTCCCTTCAACAATGCACTCATTTGCCGAGACTCCGTTTTTTTCCTGTGCGCCTGACATTTGCTGTCACAGGATTGTGTTTATGTCCTTGTAGGTGTTTGCTGTTTTTTTTTTTTTTTTTTATGTTGCTCAAACAGGCAATTACGTCTTCTGAAGGATCGCGGAGTCCGCCGCCGCGAACAGGGGGCGTAGCTGCTGACCTTGTGTGATTCATGCACAAAGCGGAACTCCGAGACGAGTCAGAAGTTTTTATAATACCCCGAGTTAAACAGCATTATGACAGTCCACCGCAGGAGGAGATGTCGGTAATAAAGCAATCTGAAACGAACACGTGTTACCTCTCAGCTTCTTCTCTGCTCACACGCGAAGAGAGAAAGGAGGGAAAAAAGCGGAGAAAGAGGTGTTAGATAGAGGACAAAGAAGTTCTACCTCCCACAACTCTCAGATTTTCATGAGGAAGAAGACGAAAGCGAAAAAAGATATGGAAGAGGACGGGGATGCACGCAGGCTGTTTTGGGTTGGCTGTACATTTTATATCCCCTTACTCAATTCAGAAAGAGAGGAAAGGAGGAAAAACAGATGTAGGATAAGGACAGTTAAGTCAGTCAGTGCGTTTACATGCACAGCTTCATCGGACTACGCTTGTAGTTCGTTTTTTTTAGCCAAATCTGACTTCTTTCCTTGTCCACGTACATGCAGCTGAGGAATTCGAATGATTGACGTTAACATGTCCTCACTCGCCAAAACTAGGGGGCGATATGGGTCTTTTCAGCGGCGCTGTTTCTGGACTTTTTTAAAGGTGTCTCCTTTCTTCATTTGTGACTGTCCGTATACTTTAAAATGTCCATTTCTTTCAGGGGGGAAAGCATAACGGCACTCTCCCCTTCATTTCAAAAGTGAAGATTCTTTCAAAAGTTCTTTAAATGATAGCGCCACTTCTTCTCCAGTGTTTTTGTTCCGGGGTTACGGGGGCACGGCGTACGCACACATGCATTGTCCAATCATACTACGACTACGCTGGTTACATGGTAGAGAAAATCGAATTCCAATCGCATTATCTGGGTGTCTTAATCAGAGTTCTCAAACTCCGATTATTGTCGGACTAATGTGTTTCCACGCACTTCAGTTTGGCGGTCTTCATCGGAGTAAGGCGATAATTCAGTTTTCTCGAGTGTCATGTAAACATACTGAGTGAGAGGCACGTTTTGCCAACTTTGGTGAATTTGCCCGTACGCTCTACCTCCCCCGACACTGTTTTCAAAAGAGTAGAGTGAAAGAAACAACAAATTAGAGAAGGTGCTCTAAGGAGATGTTAAAGGTGAGCTAGTGTGAGAAGCTTGTTCAGGCTGGAACTCAATCCTGCCTGTATGCTCCGCCTCCACCCACTTTTCAAATGAACAATGAAAGAGAAAAAAGGGAGGAAGAGAGAAAAGAAATAGTTTTTTTTTCTTTAACTTTGTCTTGGCCTACAACTTTCTCCATGAAAAGACAGTCTAAGAAGTTTTTTTAGGGCTAAAGCTCAGCCCTGATGTGTTAGGCTGTACGCTCTACCTCCCCTTACACCCCCCATTTTCACAAAGAAAGAAGGAAAGAGCAAAAAAAAAAAAAAAGGATGTAAGGAAGAGTACAGACAAGTCAGGCCTGGATGAGAGGCCGCCTGTTGAGACCAGAGCTCGACCGTAGCTCTGCCCACCTTCCATTTCAATGAAGAAAGTTTGGAAAGAAAAGAGAGCGAGCGAGGAGCTGATGGATTTTCTCTTTAACTTTGTCTCGGCCCCCGACTGAGCTCATGTCTCATGTTATCTATATCCACTGACTTGTTTGACTGTTTTATCAGACTTCTCCTTCATTGCCTTTCGCAAAACTCTGTCCACACACTTCCAATCCTCCCAGTCATGAGATAGTTGATCCTGCTCTACGACCCACTTTCTTCTACAGGACAAACCCAAACTTTCCATCCTTGCTCTATAATCTCTACATGCTTCTTCCATTGAGTCTCTAAGGGCAGCATTAACTACAGTATCTGAAATCCATTTAATGCACAATAATATAGTAAATATTTAAATAATATGTACAAGATTACATGTTGGAAAAAAATTAAATATACGTTACAGACAATAAGTTGACTGTTTCATGCTGAGCGATCATATTTCAACTGTTTTACTGCAGCAGCCTATAATGGGTCTCATTCAAAAGCGAGACCCCCCTCTGTCTCAATTTTCCCCTCGCATTCCAGATCAAGCTTTTCTTTCCCTCCATCCATGCATCCATTTCTCATTAAAGCCTCCTCTGAACCAGCGATAGTATCAAATGTATCTTGTTTTTTTGCATCAAATATTCGTACTGCTCATTAATATAAATCAGTCTGTTTGTGTTTCACTTCCAGCGGCGCTCGCTCGGTTTCAAAACTACTACTGTATGTTTTCACTCAGAGTCCAGTCAGCTTTTGGTTTGGATTTAAATTTGCACTTTTTAGATATGTGTGTGTTTGTGTGATTTTTGTGTGCGAGTCCTCTATGGGCGTAGGAGGGGGCGTTATCTGTGATGATTAGGACAAACTGGTGCTAGCCTGAAACTCATGTGGGCACCATTCATCACTGTAAGAGCACAGGTGTGAACAATTCTGCTGTTTAAGAAACGGTCATGAATCCCGACTTCGAGAAACTTGCAGCTCACGATAACTCATCGTAATGGAAAATTCAAAGACAGGACGTGACAGGCTGCCTGCTGTTACCTCGTCTAACACCTACCCGACAACAGCAGCAGCTGCAGGCATTAAAAATAACCATCAAAATAATCAATCTTCCCTCTGATGGTGTTGTTTATTTTTACAGGTCATATAAAAGCAGCAGAATAATTTTATTAGTCTTGTCATCAGCTTCTCAAAGCAGCATGAAGTTAGCAAAGTAAAGTGAAAGGAATCAGATGTTTTTTTGATTATAAGTGACAGAAAATGTATTCAGGTTTGTTTATGATGAATGAATGTAAGTCTGATCGGGATGGGGATATGTCGCTTTTTGTAAGTCTTAACCCGGGATTTTCAGGAACAGCTCTGATCCAGAACAGCGGCACCATTTCCTATCAGATCCGTATGTGAGGCGAATTTAGTGGCGGATGACGAACAACAGGAATCACAAGAACTCACAAGAACCTGTAGATTCACATGCAATCAGAATTACAACAAGTTGTCTTTAGCCACATAGGCTAACAATATAAGCAGAAGATTGTGTCCACCCCTAGACTTCTAAAATCAGCATCTCCTCATCCATGGTGTCATCGGGATGAAATGCCGCCTAAAAACCTTTCATTTGTTTTTCCCCGCCCGTTTGCATGCTGTGAAATACAATCTGCCTGTTTTATTTCGTGTCTGTGCCCGACTTCTTTTCCAGCACGGGTTAATCTGTGCTGAATTTATCCGGCATGCTCCGGCGTCCGTAAAAAATAGAACTCTTGTGATCAGCTGCGCAGTCCAGCAATCCGCAGTGCAACAGAAAGAAGCTGGTGGAAAATTGACATGTTAACTTTGATGATTACGATCAGCTACGACCTTTTTTTAAGACGGATATGACCTTTTCGTAGCCATTCCGGATGCGGTGGAAATTAAGGGTAAGTCTCTCATAATGTCAGTAAACAATAGCTGAATTTTCCCACTTTAAATCTTAATGGATATAAAAAAGATATTTGTTTGAAAATGAGCGATACTCAAAAGAATTAAAATTAAATCACATCTGATTGCAAAAATTATTGATTGTTACACGAAGCAGACAGCCAATCATAGTGCAGGATTTTGGGGCAGGGTCACCCCTGGTGTCACCCTAAATCCGCCCCTGACACTCACAGTTCTTTGAGCTCAGGTTTTGGATGATTCTCTCACTTGAAGCTTTCATTTCACATAAACAATTGGCTGATATGGGAGCTGTGAGACTGAACAGAAAAAGAAATGCTGCGAGTTGGCAAACAAACAAAAAAAAAAAAGAGCAGAAAAACACAAAAATACTACAAACACAGATGAGGGTAGCTAATAAATACTACGAAGGTCAAAAACACTTTTAATCAGTTAAAAAGTTGAGTTTTTATCTATTACATAAAACATTACATTTTTTTAATCAATACTGATAAATTACACAGCTCTTTATTGGACTCCAAAAAATTTTAAAACAAAATCAGGCTCACTACCTCTGCATGACTCATTTTTTCGAGTTTGGATGGTATCATAATTTGGTTAACCCCAGTACTGACGTAAAAAAAACCTTTTTTTCTGCTGTTTTTCACCCTCTTGCAGTTTCTTCTGCTTTAGCTGTTGAATTAAACAGCAACACAGATTTTTTTTCCTCCTTAAACTGTAGACTTTACGGCCTATAAAAGGCAAAGGACTCATGCATATTCATCACCCACATTATAACTAAATTATTGTATTTATTAACCATTAACAAAGCTACCAGAAAAGCGCCAATATTTAAACTCTTCACAAAGGGTTATTCATAAGACAAGCACATACGTTGGTGGAACATGTGGTGAAATATAAAACCAATTAACTCTGATAGCACTCTGTTAAACAGATGCAGCATTAAATCTTTTTTCTTATCCTGTCACATAACACAGAGCCGCAGCGCTGCCGTGTGACAACTTAACCAGCTGTCAAAACTACAACAATGGAGCATGGTTAACAAGCCGCCGACATAACAGGAAGAACTGCGGTGACATTAGCTCAAGGCTAAGAACGTGCTAACAGCTAAAAGCACTGACATGTCTGAATGTTTTCTTACACGAGTCTTTTAAAAGTGAATGCTGTCTGACTATTTCTCCTCACATATTCGGTACATAATACAGTTCTCCTCACAGCGCCTCGGGCCTTTGAAGTCCCTGAATGCAAAGGTTATAACTCACAAGAATCCAGTGGAAGCTGCTCAGAGGGCGACAAAAGGTTGTTGGGCTTTGATTCACACACCTGTGACTCGGAGTCACTCAGGGTGTCGGATGACTGGAGACGGACGGGAAAAGAGCTCTTTTTTCTTGTAATCCATCTTCCCTTAGAGAAGTCGCTTTACACTCGAGTATTCACTACTCGACCACAACATCGAACATCGATTAAAGGTGGGCTAGGCAGGAATCTGTTAAAGAAGCATCTTTTTTTGGTGGTGTATATACAAAAAAGCTTTTAATATCGGTCAATAGTTATTAGTTATTGATGACTTTTGGGAATATCAAGATATCGCTGTGTTTTGTGATGTCTTTGTAGTCAATATTTCAAAATTTTTGAGCGGCCCTTTCTCATTCTCCGGTTCCCCCAACCTGATTGGTTGAGAGGCGGACCCTGCTCCCTCATGCTGATTAATTATGAGCGTAGACTGTGTATAATATGGACAACTTGGTTCCGCCAATAAATGGATTTGGAGCCAAAAAGAAACCAACATTGCGCAATAGCAGTGTGCGCATTCGGCGGCAGAGTCGCCAAAAGTCGCTGTGACGACGCTCGGCTCAAACTGCGTATCCCCCAGGTGAGCTATGCAATCTTCGTACGCCCATAGGCTGTATCAAGTGTCAATCATCAACATCGCAAGCAGGGGGCAGAAAAATTTATGTTCTGTGTAATAAATTTCTAAAGTTTGTCCACAGCTCCATAAGCTTTGCTGGCAGAGGCGGGATTTATGACCTATACTGCAGCCCGTCACCAGAGGGTGCTGTTCTCGGAGTGGCTTCACCCAGCGAGGAAGCAGACGGCGTCCATTCTATATACAGTCTATGGTTGTGAGGCAGACGCTGCTCCCTCGTGTTGTGAGGCACGCTACACATCCTTGAATAACATTCACGAGCCCAAACAAAGTTAGCGTGCTACAATGTTGGACAGTAGAAACCAACCAGGAAGTTCGGAAAATTGACTGAATCCTCCTTTGGCCACGACTGCCGACACAAGCAAGAAAACAAAGTAAATACAGGAGACTCTGCTGGACAGGTAAACCACTTTAACAAAGTAAGCCAAGTGTCTGTAACAGAAGTGTTTCTTGTCAAATGGGACCTGCTGTAGCGTGTTGTAGCACCGCTAAACTGTTGACCTCGGGTCCTGGACTATGTCACTTTATCCTAGTTGTAGAAGTCCTGCAAACATTGAGTTTGCTGGTAGTCTGTTGGCATCTACAGTAGCACCAATGCTTTTTACTTTCACGTTGACTGGGCCTCATTTTTAATTATCTGAAGTATTTATCTGCATTATATCTGAATTTAGGGGAGAGGAGCTGAGGGGAAAATTGGTTGGGAGGGGTAGAGTTTACGTTCAAGATTTCTCCCCATAACTGTCTCTTCCTCAGATCCTGACTACCCCACCTTTAACAGCATGTATGTCAATTCGCTTTAAATAGGAATAACTTTGTTTTACAATCCCTTATATGGGGCCTAGAACATATATTTTCAAGGGGCCCAGGATTCCTGCGGACGAGCTTAGCTTATAAAAAAAACAAATGCAGACACTCGCGGTTCAGTGGTTCCAGAGAGGAAGAGAAGAAGTCGCCTGGTTCAGGAGGAGTGACGGTCTCTTCTTTGTATGCAGATTTTATGTAAATCCCGCTCCCCCTGCCACCTCCCTTCAAAATCTCACCCCTATGCCAACATGTTAAAAACCACTGACACTGAAAGAAAAACCTCAGCATAAGAAGAAAGTCCCTGTAGAGTAGATGGCATCACAAAATAAAACAAATTTGAGCGTCTCTTTTTCTCTTTCTTGTGCCAACTTCTTCCCTTTTTCGATGCCAGTTTCTTTTAATTGGGTTGATTTTCTGTGCCAAATTTTTAATTATTAATACAAAACTTAATGCCACTGTCCCAGCTCTGTGACTTCAGAGATAAGCATGTTTATACAACCTGATCATATAACAGCTATGGGACTGTTTGCCATAAATAAAGACATTCATGGTCCCCAGCTGATGATAAGTACTACAGCTGGAGAAGAAGTGATGATATACCGATTACTAGCATGGCTGTTTATGAGCTACGTTTATCCCCCCCTGATCTCCTCACAACCGCTGGATAGATCATGTTATGACTTATGTTTCGACATTCATGGCCACCAGAGGATAATAAAGCCACATAAAAAGTGAAGAAGTGCTATTATACTAAATATCAGCACAGCTGCAGCTTTGTGCTATGTTTATCCTCCCTGATCTCTTAACTACTATTTGCTGGATTGCCAAAAACAACGATAATAGACATTCATGGTCCCCAGGGCAGGTATCCCACCTGTAGAGGTTATAGTCCTGATGGTTGTAAAAAAACAAAAATACTTTAAAAACAAACAAAAAGCAATATTTACAGACAATGCGATCCTGGCCAGTCAAGCACAGTAAAGCCAGGGTCGGCAAACCGGTTTCTGGTAGTTCTGGCGTCATGGGCAGGTGCCAGCTCTTGCTTGAAAAGGAAATCTGGATCTCCAGAAAGCTTCTTTCTCAGCAGATGGGAACATGAAGTGCTCCAAAATCTTCTGGCAGACTTTAAAGCTGCGTTGACTGGACGTGATAAGCACAGTGGACCAACAGCAGCAGATGACATGGCACCATCAACCATCACAGACTGTGGAAACTTCATCCTGGACTTGGAGTCTGTTCCACTCCGGCTCTGGGATCTTGATTTCCAAATGAGATGGGAAATTGACTTTCATTTGAAAACAGGACTATCCACTGAGCAGTAGTCGAGTCCTTTTTCTTCTTAGCCCAGGTGAGACACTTATGAAGTCGTCTCTGGTTCAGGATTGGCTTGAGAGAAGGAACACTGCACTTGCGGTCCATTTCCTTGTGAAGCTCCTGTAAGTCCTTGAATCTGCTTTGTTTGACAATCCTCTCAAGGCTGCAGTCGTCCCTGTTGCTTGGTCACCTATTCTTCCCACACGTCTCCCTTCCTGTTAACTTTCCATTGATATGCTTCAATATTTGACTCTGTGGACAGCCAGGCTTTCCAGCAGGGCCCCTCTGTGGCTTACCCTCCTTGCGGGATGCCTCGGTTATCGTCTTCTGGACAACTGTCAAGTCAGCAGTCTTTCCCATGATGGTGGTTGTGTGTACTGAACCAGAATAAAGGCTCAGTAAACCTTTGCACGTGTTCAGAACTAATTAGCTGATTAGAGCTCTGAAGAAAGAACTGACAAGAAACTGGACTTTTCAGATGACAGTGTTATTTTTTTATTTTCTGGGCGTTTCTTAGCCAGAATTTAACACTCAAAACTCTGCTGGATCGCCGGCGATCCCACATGACACCATTAATATTGTTTGAAGTTTCTCAGGAACTATAGCGTGTATCTCTATGAGATAAAAAAGTGTTCAAAAACGTACCCTTTTGGCGATCTATCGAGGGTTTCCAGGCATTTCCACACCTGCCACAAGGTTTACAATCCAGCCACAAAAATAGGTGTTTGATCAAAGATGAAACATGATCATTCATCATATTGTTGTGATAAAAAAAGATCGCTATCACTAAATGCCGCTAATGTCTTCTGGGTTTGAAAAGCTGTTTTGATGACGTCTTTTTCAGTCAAACTTTCGACCGATTACATGGTCTCATTTTCTTCTTCTATTGTTCCCTCGACGGTAGTGTCCAATAAGACGCAACCAAAGATCAACAAGAGACAAGAAAGCTCCCTGCTTGTCTGCAAAATAAGAAATAATGGTCCTCAATACTTGGAAACAAGCAAAGAAGAGATTATGAGCAGTATGATGTGGCCCTCTGTCTCATCCCAGACAGGAACTGCTTAAAAGAGTGGCATAAACAATAGCAAAAAACGCCTGGAATAATTAGAGTAAATATGTAAATAATTTCTGTTGTGTGTTTATTCCAACCCTAATATTTCTTCTCCTGATAGCCAAGACACAACAGAATAATGTGCAGGTAAGAAAAGGCTTGGTCACTGTAGATTTGCCTTTTTTTGAAGCAAAGTACTATTGGGATCAATTTTTGTTTTTGCTTTTTGGTTGACTTTAATGGTTCTAAATCTACTGTCACATTTATTTTACATAATTTTTACACCCATAGCCTGACAGCTGAGGTTATCCTGAAAATAAAAAAAAGGGTATTTATTTGCTGTGCTTAAAAGGATAGAGTTGAGACATAGATTTTTACAAAAAATAAAAATAAAAAGGCAGAAAATAGCAAAATATCAAAGTGTCCCTATTTACAATCTTTGTTACCTCTACATAATGAAAACAAAGGGTTTATTGATTGTTAAAAAGGAGTTTTAATGAGATTCGCTCGCTGACTTGAGTTATTGTTGGCATCAGCTAAATCAACCCAGGAAAAGACCGTTTATACTCAGAATACGTGTGGCAAAGTGAGACCATTAGCAAAAGGCCCGGTTCTGTTATCTCAGCATTATATCAACACTTATAAAACTCCTCTTGTCAGGTAACTTGGTCAGAACCGTCAGTTGTACTAAGCCCTCTAATGCATGAAATGTTAAACTAATGCTTATGCACTCAAGTCCGGCCTTTAAGAGCTGCTGGAGGAGCTGCGGTACGCCTCTGTGGCTTGAAAGCTTTGATAAGATTTTAACCCTTAAGTCCAGAGTAGTCATAAAAGCATCTGGTGATCTCATACATCTCACGCCAGGCTGGTCTACGCTCAACTAAATTTGACTGCAAGGAGTGTTGCGGTGAACAAAAGCACGGCCAAAGGCTAAGAGAAGGACAAAGTCTAAAAGCAGTACCGGTGAACTTTGGAGGCCACGCATACGCCTCTGAAATGTTAAACCAACTTCTACTTCTTCTGCTGGGATACTTTAGTCAGAAGCAAGAGATACATTTTCTCTCTACTCCCCTCCCTGCTCTCCGGTGTCTCAGGGTAGCTCGAGCTCTGGTTGCGCATCGGGTTGGATGCAGCAGACGGGGGCGGGTTTGCAGAGAGAGACGAGGAGCAGCACCTGAACTTCATTAACCCTCCTTGTTTTTTTTGTTTTTTTTACACTCCCTGGGTCAATGTCAGCAGTTAGAAGAGTTCTGCTAAGAGTGAGAACTACGAGCTGTGGGAACAACACCTACTGACAAAAAGCATCTATTTATATTAGAGCCGAAGTGTCTGTTTCTATTACGTCTTACAAGTCTGCACGGCTCCCAAAAGGCAAAAGGAAG